GGCTTTGAGCTCGAGTCAGAGCCTGAGCCCGTGTCTAAGCCTAAATCTAAGAAAAAAGTTAAAATTAAGCTTGAGCCTAACTTTGTGACTAGACTTGAGCCTGGGCCTAAGTATAAGTCCATACCTAAACCTAAGCCCAAACCCAAGCTTAAGCCCAAGCCTAGGCCCAAGCCTAGGCCCAAGCCCAAACCCAAGCCCATGTCCAAGTCTAAGTCTAAGTCTAAGCCCAAGCCCAAACCCAAGCCCAAGCCCAAGCCCAAGCCCAAGCCCAATCCCAACACCTAGCTCAAGCCCAAACCTAACTTCGTTCCTAAAACAGTAAACTTAAGCCTAAAAAGCCTAGCAACTAAAGCCTACCCTCCCTCACACTACAGTAAGCATCTAGATTAGCCTTTTTGAAATTACTATAAATCAATTCCGCAAGTAGCCGAATTTAACACCAAAAAGTAATGGCATAAAAACACGGGCTAAAAATAAGCCTCTAATTGTTTACTACATTCGCGGCTCAGACGAGATCGTAATTCGACGCCAAATACATTTCCATCGAATTCAGAATAAAATAATTTAATAAGTAAACACTGCGGTTCGAAAACTAATTTAATAAATTAAAACTGTGAATTTTACAACGTAATTTGTGGTCGACATGTTAAATTAGCGTCTAATAATCTTGACCCAATAGTAGGATAATCTGATTGTAATTTGTGCTTAATTTTATTTGTTAACAAACGTTAAAAATTTTTTTTTTAAATTAAAATTTTAAAGTTCTGGTCCCTTATCATTAACCTGTCATAGATTCACCTACTTTATTTACTTTATTCTACGCTACCCTTTCCTGCCCTACCCTATCATATCCCACCCTACCCTACCCTACACCACCCTATCATACCATACCTTATCCTACTTTTCTCTACACAATCGTAACTTCTGCTACCCTACCCTGCACTACCTTACGTACATCCTAGTCGAACTTACAATTAGCTTAGTCTAGCCTTGGCTTATAATATCCTATCTTAACCTACATACCCTAGCCTACTCTGTCCTACCCTTCTCAAACAAAATTACTTTACTCTAGCCTTATACTAAGCTCAAGTTCAAGCCCTAGCCCTAAAAACCATACTCTAGCTCTATCCTTCTATTATTCTAATATAACCTTAGCCCTGCACTACCCTTGCCCTTCCCTTTTCATGCCATAGCTTGGCCTATCGTAGCCCTGATTTACCCTTCCCTACTTCTGCTATAGGCGGATCTTATCCTAGCATGAAATTAGTCTTTCTCAAGCTTTGTATCCGACCCTAAATCTACTTTTGCCTAGCCTTGTCTCTGCCCCTGTCTTTTTCATGACATATTCCCACTTGCCGTACCTTGCCTTGCCGCAGTCCTGGTCTACTCCTACCCTACTTCTACAATAATCTTGCCTTATTCTACCCCATCATTAGTCTTTCTCAAGCCCTCATTTCTCATACATCTATTTCAATTTGCTGCACATAAACTAATTTACTGTAATATAAAAACTGTTCTATCCAAAAGCACTTTATTTGATCATTTTGCAACTTATTCCTCTTCCTTTTCATAATTGCGTTTTTGCACTTGTAAACAAAAAACAAAGTTTTTTCGCGGAAATGTTTTTTCGAATGTTATTTGCTCGAGTTTCCATTAAAATAATTCCTTCAGGGAGTTTTAGCACTTTTGCCGATCGACATACACAGCCAACTGCGTAGTTATATATGATAAATGATACTCGTGTCACATAAAAAACATTCAATTTGGAAGTTTGAAAAATGCGGTTATTGCAAAAAAAAATAATTATTTTATTTCAAAACAAAAGAAGTAAAAAAATATTTAAAAAACTTGAAATTAAGCATAAGCTTACTAAACCAAAGCCCGGCATGATTAAAGTAGCTTTTTTGAACCAAAAAAATCAGAAGTGGAAGAAACGGCCCTGCCCTATGTTTAGACCTGCCTTATTTTACTCTACTCTACAGTACGCCTTGTCTTATTTTACCTTGCCCTTCATTATGGCTTTTTTTTATTATACCCTAACCTTCAGTATGACCTAAATAAATAACTACCCCAGGGACGTCGCTACAGATTTTCTCTGGGGGAGGGGGAGGCCGAAAATTTTTTTTTCGTCCACAGGTTTTTTTCGTTTTTTCACGTACAGGTACCTACCTGTGCAATTTTTTTCGGATCGGCTCTGGGGGAGGGAGTACCACCCCCTCCCCTCCCCCTCCCCCAAACGACGTCCCTGTACTACCCTTCAGTACAACCTGCCTAAACCTACACTACAATTCAGTATGACCAGGCTAATTTTACCCTACCCTGCAATACGCATTGTCTTATCTTACCCTACCTTTCAGTATGACCTGCCTTATCCTACAGTACCTTTCAGCATAATTTGTTTTATTATGCTTTAGCTACCCTACCCTATTCTAAACTACCTTACTCTACCCTAACATACTCTACTCTACCCTACCCTCCCTACCCTAGCATACCATACCCAACGTTACCTTATCCTATCCTATCCTACCCTACCCTATCTTACCCTACCCTAGCATACCATACTATACCCAATCTTACCCTATCCTACCCTACCCCACCCTACTCTACGGTATGAAATGACATATCTTACCTTTTTTTATTCAAATATATTTCAAAAGTACAATTTTTTACTAATATCACTTTAGCAAAAGAAATCATATCCTGTAACCCGATGCTACAACAATATATCCGACTATTAAAGGTCACTACGCTAATTGCAGCACTTTAGCCAGACAAAAACAAAGTACGTCAAAATAGATGTCCGGATGCAAAATTCGATGAAAACTTAATTCTGTTTGCTCTTTGAAACGCTCCGCCAACAAATTCAGAGGACAAAAACATTGTTTATTGCACTACTATGGTCATTGGACTTTAGTAGAAAAATAGATTTCTTTCCCTTACATCTTGGGGACGTAAAACGTATTTTGCAAAACAAAAAATGTTTAGAAAAAGAAATAAGTCGTATCATAACATATTGATTCTCAATTTTTAAAGCAATTTTGAACTTGCTTTATTTAGATTAATATTTGTAACCATTGATTAGCGTATTTTAATCTACCCTGCCCTTCTCTACAATACATCTTAATTTGCCCTAGCTTTACAACTGTTAGGCGAAACCAAAGAAGAACCACGAAAAACTAACAAAGTCAAGATCAAAAAAATCCCAAAGAAACCCAAAAAAAATTTTTAAAAAATGCTCAAAAATGTTACCTAAATTGTTTTCAAATCAAGGTATACGCAAAAATATAAAGAAACCATTAAAAATATATACATTTTGTAGTAGAGCTTACGTATACCGAAACTCCTTTTAAAAAAACAAATTTAAAACTCTCTAGCAATTTGCTATACGAGAATTCCGTTATACAAGAAAATATACAGTTGTTCTTTTAGCAATCACAAAGCATAAAAGCGACAATGCGACAGAATGCCAAAGATCAGGCGTTTCGTGGTAATAAATGATAGACCAGTGCCTGCGGCTAAATTAAATTTGAATTAATAGAAAAAATAAAAGTTATAAAACATTAAAAATCAAAGAAGTCAGATGGAATACTCGTCATAGGCAACAAAAAATACCCAATAATCGAGGTTTCGTTTGTCTGGATTTTAACGAATGAACTTCTAATGAAGCGCCAGTGGACTGGCCTAACAAAAAAAGCCAAAAAGTTTTACTTCATTTAAGATTTGAGTAGACCTAAAATAAGCTCAGCCGACCCGGCCTTGGCTAGGCCAAAACAAATTTAAAGGAAACCGGGCCAAACTAGCACATTCAACAAACCAAGGCACAGCCCAAGAGCTGTCCTAAAAAATTGGGCTTGTTTTGCCCTGTTTACAAGCTTAGATTTGACTAGCTTAACATAAACCTAAGCTTTATGTCCTGAATTCTAATGTATAGTTTTAATTTCCGCTTTTAAAATGAAACAAACAAGATGACACTTGAAGTGTATGACACAACATAAATTATGTAGATTACGGAATGTTTGTCACAAAAAGTAATTAAAATGCCCACCCACAATGGATTATCACTACAGTATAAGAATGTAATTAGTTTGTGTTGACAAAGTTCAGATGACGATTAGTTACTTTGTCATACATTCGTAAACATTTTTTTTTGGTATCATGAGATGTGACAGATTAAAGTTATCTCAAAAGATTCTTTTTGTTGTTTTAGACATTGTAAAGAAAGTTCTTGCCATTTTATGAATTGTAAAGAAAGTTCGTGCCATTTTATGTCCTGTAAAGAAAGTTCTTGCCATTTTATGTTCTGTAAAGACATTTCTTGCCATTTTATGTTCTGTAAAGAAAGTTCTTGCCATTTTATGAATTGTAAAGAAAGTTCGTGCCATTTTATGTCCTGTAAAGAAAGTTCTTGCCATTTTATGTTCTGTAAAGACATTTCTTGCCATTTTATGTTCTGTAAAGAAAGTTCTTGCCATTTTATGTTTTGTAAAGAAAGTTCTTGTCATTTTATGTTTTGTAAAGAAAGTTCTTGTCATTTTATGTCCTTTAAAGAAAGTCTTTATCATTTTATGTCCTGTAAATAAAGTTCTTGCTATTTCTCCCCCTCTTTCCTCAACAGAAAAAAATCTGTAGCAACGTTTCTAATTCATGACATACGATGGTAAAAAGCGTATACTTACTAAATATCACGTGTTAAACTATAGTAAATACGCATAAATAATGTGTAATTTAACATGAAATTGGGTGTAAATTTACGCGGTTTTTGATGTCAACAGGTGCAAAGTTAGCAAAAAATGCTATTCTACGTATAATGTAAATGGAGTTACTTCCAGGAATGCTGTTGTCACGGTTTTTAGATACTTGTTACAAGTGTAGAAGTACTTAATGTTAGTTCGAAGTTTAGATTTTTGAACTTTATAAGAATTTTTTATTCAAAAACAATGTAAAATAGTAAACTTCAAAAAAAATATTCATTACACCTTTTAAAACTTAATTTTTAAAACTTAAAATCGTTGATAAGGCAAGAACTTTCCACTCCAAATGATCTTAACCCTGTCTCCATTGGGGTCCGGCTCCCTTTCGACATTGAATTTAAAGTCGATGGCACTCATGATTCCATCACCAAACTCTTCATGAATCAACTCTTTCATTGCTGGACCATAAACACCCAGAGCTTCGTATAATCGATACAAAGCTGGGTCACTAGGAATACCCGGCTGAGACTTATATGGGACTGTTTGGAGCCATGGAAGACATTGAGAAGGCAAATTAAAAAACGTCACTATTGCTACGGCTTCTTCTTCTGTCAATTGCATTTGACCAGGAAAGAAAAATCTTTTAAACTTTTAACAGACCCACCAAACATTATCATAACCTTCCCTACCTATTCTATCATACACTACTCCGCCTACGATACCTTATCCTAGGCAAATTAAAATGAACTTAAAAATTTACCCAAACAAGCAGCAGTAGTCCACTCTTTTGACCGGCCCAGCTTGTTAGCCACTTCAGTCCATCTCAGCCCTTTCGATACCTTTTGAACCAATATCATCTGGGTAACATCGGCACGACTTGTGATTGCAGTATTCTCCATTGTGTCCTGATATTAAAAAAATAATTTGAAATCGAGTTTTTCAACTTACAGAATCCAATAAACTCTTTAGAGCACTGTTTTCCAAGTTTTGAAACTGTGAAATGACAGAGAGAGATGTTCAAAAGCTGTTTACCTCGTCGTTGAGCAATTTTGAAGGTCAAATAAACAAATTTTAAATAAAATTTTTGTTATAGCAAAACACAGAAGCTTCATCAATATTTAAATCTTTTAAAATATCGAAAAAGCTTTTATAATACCATGTATAAAAAAATCTCTTCTCACATTATGCTGCACCCCTAAATGGTACTAGAAGTTCTGTTTACAAGACCTCTTATTTACTATGACTGTTTTTTCTTAATATTGTCCCAAAGCGTTGAAAAAAGCCAAAAACCTTCATAACACTCATTTATCAACCATAAAAAAGCAACAAGAATATCCTCATAAGAGAAAAAACAACATTTAATAGAGACGTTGGGGTTTGCCCATGGTGGTCTTCAAGTGCAGAGCACGGACGTTTTGCCAGTTCTTCTTCAACAAAGAAACAAGGAAGTTAACACCAAGGGAGATGTTACCAACCAGCTCTTCTTGGCTCATTTCGACGTGTCCGATGGCGACGGCCAAACACAACACCTTCTTCATCTGGAACTTGACGGTAGCCTTGATTTCGTCGGCCTTGGCGGTCAGGGAATCGTTGTGGGTAACGACTGAAGGGAACTTGCCGGCCTTGTTGAGACCGGGACCGAGAAGACGAGGAATCTGCTTGATCAAGGAGTCTGACGAGAGGAAGGCGTCGTATGACTTGGCCAATTTTTTGACAGCCTTCTTGTCCTTGTTCAGCTTCTTCAAGTCGTCGGCGCTCATGAATGGAAGTCCTTGTTCCTTGGCTTCGTCGCAGTGCTTCTGGTCGCCGAGAACGCAAACCTTCATGTTTGGGCGAGGGATGTTACGCAGTCTATAATAATATCAATATTATTCTACGTTATAAACATATTTTAGGCCCTCTTTAGCTAAAACACTATCAAAAGCATTTTTAGTTAAAACGTCAAAAACAACATAAATCAAACCTAAAAACATAAAACAAATAAAAAACAGCAACTTACGGCCCTCACCAAGGTCTTTCACAAATCAACTTTAAATTTGTCGGACTTTTGATCTCACGACCAGAAGTCCTACCCAAAATTTAAAGACCTTGGGTAAAGTCCGTAGTCCCAATCCAAAAGGAATATTCACCTGACGGTACCGCTGAAACGCTTGTCCTTTTGAGGATCGTAGTTCTTCAAAGCGATCTGGAGCTCCACGGTCTCACGGAACTTTCTCTTCTTCTCCTGGGAGCCCTTGAGCAACTCAGCGACGACCTCATTCAGGGTATCACGACTAATCTTAGACATGGTGTAACCTGAAAGGATAAGATTAAAGTAAAGTTAAACAATTATTAAAAATAGTGCAAAAACACGTAAATATTAGCCAAAAAAGAGTTAAAACGGACGATAAACATAATAAAACGTTAAAAACCAATAATGTTACCAATGTTAACATAATATTACCCAACAAATAAAAATCTTCGACCAAAACCTCTACTTACATTGAAAAGCCCCAAAAGTTTAGAGGAAGAAATAAATTCGGAAAATAAAAGGTAAAAAATCTTCGACGATTCTACCGTAACAAAAACAGAACGCCAAATTCGTTTCGGGACTCAGAGCGACCAGAATAGAAAGAAGGGCGCAGGCCGACGGACGGTTGGTTTATACGTATTTTTTATATAAATTTATATAAGAACAAGTTGTAGTTGATGTTCTTAATCCGATTAGTCTATTGTAAGTTTATCTTTACATTATTTATTGGTTTTTAGGCTTATGAAGTTGAATATGAACTTTTGGAGACGTTATTTTAGTTTTTCTTGGAAATTGAGGCGTTTGAAAGGGTTTGAATATCTATAACCTAGAGTTTTGTTAAAGGAAACGTGGTAAAGATTGTTGAACTCAGGTTAATATTAATGTAAAAGGTTAGGAATTGTCGTTACTTAATAAAGAAACATTTATTTTAAGGATAATAATCAAAATGGCAAGTTTGAGAAGTTTTAGTAAGGGTACATATTTATAACAAAATCAAATACTAACTACTGCTTCAATTACCCTAAAATTTTGTCACAATGAAGTGAGTTGTTATTGAGAACAAAAGATTCAATAAAAATTTTAGAAACATGTTTTCCGCGTTTTAAAACCGACATAGCAGGCAGACTTCTGTTCTAAGGCTGTTTAACATCGTTGCTCAGGGATTATTGAAGGTCAGAGAGTAAATAAATAAACATTACATTCAGATTTTAAAGCAGAAACATATACATTCAGATGATGAGCTTAAAATAACAATGATAAATTTGAATAACAAGCATAAAAATCAAAAACAACATGGTTAAAGTATTCTACAAATAATAAAAACGAATGTTTATCTTGGTACACCCTATCCTACCATATTCTACAATGCCGTACCCTACTCTACGGTACCATATCCTGAAAAAACTATGATCAACTGTTAAATCAAAAGTTTAAAGTTATTCAAAATTCGAAGAAAAATTAAAAATTCCGTCAAACCTTCAAAAAATCTTTCATTTTTTGCAAATTTATCCCCACAAAACGGTTGAAAATGACAGACCGTAACCCTAATGCCAATGCTGTTCAAGATAACAAGGTTAGTATTATCCAGGATACCGCCAATCCTACCCAGGATACCACCAATGTCACCAATGATACTCGCATTCTTGATGGCGCCGATGTGAAGCCTAATGTTCCTGCTGCTCCACGCTCTCTTTTGGGTAAAAATAAGAACAAATCCAGCGATCCACAAGTGTCATATATGGGCCCTCCCACTAGTAGTGCACATGAGAATCCATTCGAGCTGGCTGCTGTGGGTATACCTAATAAAGATCAATTGAATCAAGATACGTTGGAGGCGGATTACGAGTTTTTTCCGACTGGAAATACGGAAGATGTAAGTGGTTTTATGAGTGGTGTTTTTGATGTTATGTTAGGCCATCATATAAGTCTTGTCGTCAAATTACATTCTGTTTTACTAATTTTAAATTAAGCCACCTTCAGATCTCGGACGTGACCGGCTCCCATTCAGGCAGAACTCGAACATCTTCACGACTCTCAATCAATGCCAAATCAATTTTCGTTCGCATGGCCGCGATCTACGAGCGTAGTCATGTCCAGTACATAACCGTGTTCAATGTGTTCCAAATGCTTGTGATCATTGCGATGCTCATCTTCCTAACCACCGTCTCAATTCAGTACAAGCTACAATTAGATGAGGTAGTCTTAGTTTTAGCCTACCGAGATAACCATACTCTACCCTACTTAACTCTATCATGCCATAGAGTACCTTACTTTACACCTACCGTACCCCTAGCCGCCCTACTTTACCCGACCCTACTCTAGCTTGCCCTTCACTACCCTGCCCCACCCAAAAAAACCCCTTAACTTGTCCATTTCAGTGGTACAAACTGTATAACATAACCAAGCCCTGCTTCTTCGAATGGGGCCAATGGTCGGAATGTTCGGCGACCTGTCGAACTGGAGAGATACCGCCAACGAAATTCCGCAAAGCAATTCAATTCATTCATGCCGCAGGCAAGTTGTCTGATGTTAAATGCGATGCGGAGAGATTGTCTAAAGTTATTGTAGGTTTTTGAAGCCATTCTTGGCTTTCTTTACTTATATAGTGTAACTCATGTATAATGAATAGCTTGGGGATTGGAAATTTGTTCGGTATACAGCAGTTCGTTATACAGAAGTTTCAATGTACCTCTTGTAATTTATATGTTTAAAAAATTTTTTAAAACAAAAATAAAATTTCAGGACATAGCGCCGTGTAACGTGTACCAATGCCCAATAAAGCTATCGGAACTTAAATTTGGAGACTGTCTGTACGAAGATACGAACGATGAAAATCGAACTTCTTGTATCAGAACTCGAAGGGTATTGGATGTAGCTCGACTGGTAAGTATCAAAGTTGTACGATATAAATCTATCAGCAAGTAAAAAACGTTTTTGGGACTTACAATGAAAACTTGAATTTTTAATTTTTTTTTGGTTACCACGAAAACTTGACTTTCCTTTTTTTGGGTCTTATCCAGACTTGGACATACGGCAGGGCATCGAGGGGTTTCCTTGCTTCTGCACTGTGTCCTGCGATGCCCTACCATAAAATAGGACAAAGAGCACCCTGCTTTGTGTCAACACTGGTCTAATCAGGAAACCCTTATTTTTATTTTCAGATTGAATTGGACGGAGATGCTACCCTGTTCGAACCATGCGATTGTTCAACTGCCAACAATTGGATTTCTCGAATGACGCCACAGAACCTGTCACTGATCAATCTACATTGAACACACAACCAAATCTACTGTAATATATAATACTATAATATAAAAGCTACGGATAATATGATATATGAAAGCTATTCACAACTGTTACATAGGAAAAGTAACCGCTCATTGAAGACCGGAAAGAGGCCTACTAGGCCCGGTCCAGTCCGAAACTAGTTCGAAAAGGGCCTTATCGTGAACTAATTTTTAAGAACGGTATCTACATAGAAAAGTAGATAAATATTACAGCAATATTACCCAAAATATTCAAATAAAAATCGAAAAACGATAAAGTTTCAAATGAAAATGAATAACCAAATAAAGAATTTATTCAAAAACCAACACAAAATAAGAATAAATACGAAATTAGTGGAATTCCAATAACCGTAAAATACGAAATTAGTAAAATGAAAAGGTGAGTATATGTAAATTACGTCCAGTAGTGAAATAAAATAGGCAATATAGTAGGCTTTTAAGCCTTAAGGAGAGGGAGGGTGAACAAAACAAGGGGGACAGTAGGGAGGAATAAAGTGGGGGGGTAAAGTCGAAGGAGAAAGAGAGGAGTAGAGAAACAAAATTCAAAAAAAAAATTCTTTTTTAAAATATTTTTTCCAAATTTAATCCCCCTTCTCAAATTTCAAAAAAAAATTTATCCGCCCCCCCCCCTTCTTAAAGTGTCCCATCCAATGCAACAGAACGAACAACTCTTGAGATCAAGGTATGTGAAGATATATTAGACCAACATAAAGAACAAGTAAACATTATCAATTCAAGGGCTATAGAGTCTTGTCGTCAATTGCTATTGTTTCTAAGCGAAAAAAACGACAAATGTTTTTTAAAGCCCTAACATCAAGCGGAAAAAATGAAAAATTACATTTATACATTTTCATGATTATTCAATTCTTTTCTTCCTTATCTTCACGATGTTTTGAATCTCTTCTTCCTTATCTTCACGATGTTTTGAATCTCTTCTTCCTTATCTTCACGATGTTTTGAATCTCTTCTTGCTTCTCCTGCCACTAAAAGACCTTTCCGTACGACGGTTCTTCCTGGCAACGCTTGGCTTGATCTGGAGTCGACTTCTTCTGTTCTCTTCTGAAGATCGATCGGTTTTCGAATCTCGACCGCCTCGTGAATCTTGTTGTTTTCCGGAAATACCGTCGCTTCCACGATCTTGATCGCTTGTTAAATCTCGTTCGTCCTCTGAACCGCGATTTTTTTCTAGGCCTTGGCATTTTTCTGAGCTTCGACCGTTTCCTGAGCCTGGGCCGATTCCCGAATCTCGACCGGTTTTTGAATTCTTGGGTTTTTCTGAAGCTCGGCCGTTCTCTGAGCTTCGACCGCTTCCTGAGCCTCGACAGCTTTCTGAACCTGTACTTTTCTCTAACACACGGCCGTTCTCTGAGCCTTGACCGGCTAATGAGCTTAAACATCTGCCACCACCTGAATCCTCTTCTTCTTTGAAGCTAACTTGCAAAGGTACCCTTGTCTCCGCGTTCGTACTCTGATAGCACTTTCGTGTCGCTTCGATGATTTCGGCCTCTCGAAATGGATCTCTTTCTCTTCTTGAGTCAAAGATAAGGTTCTTTTGTTCTTTCAAACTCAACGACTTCTTTCTTCTGTTTGTTTTGAGCTGGCTTTTCGTTAAGCCGGCATTGAATCCGTAGTTGAAGAAGAGCTCGTCTCCAATATTGATTTTCTGACTGGCGAAGAAGGCGATTCGTTGTTCTGTATCCACGCAAAAGATCTTGGCTTGGACGTTCGGATTCTTGGAGTGGTTGACGAAGCGGGCTATGTTGCCTTTGTGCCACGCGTCCACACTGTATTTGTTGTTTAGGTCTGGAAAATGGTTATTGGAAAATTGTAAAAACCCAAAAAAGAATACATATAGATCGTGGAATCGCAATAACTTTCTTTACAAAACAAAAAATGGCCAGAAGTTTCTTTACAAAACATAAAATGGCAATAACTTTCTTTACAAACCCTAAAATCGAAAGAACTTTCTTTACAAATCATAAAATAGCAAGAACTTTCATTACAAATCATAAAATCGCAAGAACTTTCCTTACAAATCATAAAATCAAAAGGACTTTCTTTACAAATCATAAAATAGCAAGAACTTTCTTTACAGAGCTTAAAATAGCAATAACTCACGAAACAAGAAGGTGGTTTTATATTGATCATAAACGATTTCTCGTCGGTCCGTTTCCTCGTTTGATATCACTTCTCCAACATATTCACACACGAATTCGCCTGGCTGAAACGGTTCGCCCGCAAAGGCTCCAGTACCGTGCACCGTCGACGGAGCTGTGAAGACTTTCTTCTGAATATGGTGTTGTAGATTCACATTGTTACAAATCATTCGTTGATCGTCCGTGCCTACGTCTGAAATTCAATTCATTTAGCAAAAACTTTGTTTCCAGACAATAAAAATGCAAAGACTTTCTTTACAAAACATGGAATGGCAAGAACTTTCTTTACAAAACAAAAAGGCAGGAACTTTTTTTACAAACTTCAAAATAGCAAGAACTTTCTTTACAAAGAATAAAATGACAAGAACTTTCTTCATAAACTTCAAAAGCGTAAAAACTTTCTTTACAAACTTCAAAATAGCAAGAACTTTCTTTACAAATCATAAAAATGCATAAACTTTCTTTACAAATCTCAAAATAGCAATAACTTCCTTTCCACCTACCTTTACAGCAAAACCTGCACAGATCAGGATCGCACTCCCAGCCCAACTTGAAGCAATCACAACTGTTCTTCATACACATCCCCTCCTTACATCGACACCCACTGAACTGTAGCGTACAACACCCGCTTCCGTAACATCGGCAGTACTTGGTGCAAATCGCGTTTGACGTGAAACATTTGCACGTTGTGGTACATTGACCATCGTGATCGCAAGCCTCGAACGGATTGTCGAATTCGAGGAATTCGACTTGAGACTTCATTCGACGGAACCTTTGTACTGACTTTTTTCGAGCTCTGATAATGAACAATTTTTAATTCAGAATCCAAGTATCGAAATTCAAAATTTTTTTAAAACCCACGTTTCAGATAGGTAACGCCTCTTCTGTGTCTTGTAATTCCGATCAAAATACTTCCGAATGTCATCACATGACTTGAACGTAGTCGGGAACTTCTTGTTGAAAACATTAGCGATGACACATATGTTATCGTAATCAATCCTTGGGAAGATATTCAAAAACTGACGATGAGCCTGTAGCCAGACCTCGGCGCATTTCCTGTAGCCCTCCGGATCTTGATTGATTTTGTCATCTTCCAAACGTGCTCTTCGTGCCACTTCACAATGTTTCTGACATTTCGTGAACTCGTACTGTACTAGAGTATTAGATTGACGTGTCTGTTGTGATGTTGTTTTGGCTTGTGATGGTGCTGTTACGTCAATTGTTTGTACTTTTGCCCAAAGCTGGTCCACTTGCTGTTGGTATGGTGATTTCAGGCCGTTGACACGATAGTAGAAACGTTCCTCGAGCCATGGAAAGATATTTTTTAACTCGCCACAAGTAAACTTGTTTGGAAAGAGATGGTGGATAGCTTTGTAAAGAATGTCTTCTTCTGAAAAGGAGTGTTACAAGGTAAATAGTAGAGAATAGAGAGTAGGGGGTAAGAATAAAGGTAAGAGCAGAAGTAAAGATAAGACATAGAAAAAACCCTTACCAATTCGAAACTTCTTCTTCATCACAACCACCAGCTCGTACATCATCTTATCATTCACGAACCAAGTACAATCGTACGATGATCCGTGTACACCATCTGGGTACATGGCTTTCAATTGGTCGGCGAACTGTTCTCCTTCCTCCTCATGCTCTAGAAAGTAGGGAATGTGAGAGAATCTGAGCTTGTCTTCTACCTAAAATAATATTTTTAAAAATATATTTGGAAAATTAAAAATATTGCTTAAAAATGAAATTTCAGGTAACACTTTCATTTTTTAACTCAAAATAAATCAGCAAAATATCCAAAAAAAAATAAAAATGTCATCTAAAATAGGGGTTTCCTTTTAAAAGTAAGCTTTCCCATGAACTTGCAGACCAAAACCATTTAGAATTATATACCAATATGTTACAATACCTACCTTAATATTCTTCCATATCCTGGTGCAAAACCTAAACTTTGGGCCGACTTCGACTTCTTCCATCTCAATAAAAGGTAACGGTCTCTTCTCAGTCTTCTTTTTGTCTTTCTTTTTCCATTTCAACTTTTGAATGCCCTCTGGCATTCTATATTTTCGTTTCTGTCGTAGTTCTTCTGGATATATCGTCTATAATTATGAAAAAATTAATTATTATATAGCTAAAAATTCAAAAATTGTGTGAACATTGAGGACTTCTGTGCCGATCTTAAACCTTTTTCATTTTTAAACTCAATATTTATTTAAATTACCTAAAAATAATTGTCAATAATTCAGAAAACCTTAAATTGTCTATTCATACCTAAAACAACTAATAATTTTAAGTTAAACCTAACGGAACTATTAAAAGCGATATTACACTAGGCACCAGCAGCTTGATCCAGAACTTTTTTCGTTATTAGACTCAATATCAATTCAAACTAACTAAAAATAAACGTAAATCATTCACAGATTTTTACAGTTTCTAATCATATCTAAATCAATCCATAATTCTGAGCTTAACCTAACAAAATTAATAAAAGCAATATTATACTAGACATCAAAGCGTTGCTCATAATCTATTTTCATTTTTAAGCTCAATATCAACTCAAATTAACAGAAAGTGACTGTATTTTAATAAAAATCATTCAAAAAACCTCAAAGATTCTATTTATGCCTAAACCAACTAATAATATCAAATTAGACCTAAAAGAAGACCTAAAACAACATTACACTAAAAATCACCGACCTGACCAACTTTGACTTTATCCACATCTGCTGCTATTCGTATTTTCATTAATTCTCGATAAATCGCATCCTTGAGGAAGTCTTCATGCGCAGCAAACTCCAAAAAGTTTCTCTTATCAAACAAGTGTTCGTTATCAATATTGGCCAAAGCATCCAATTCCAGTTCCAGACTTTGAATTTGTGTGGCCTTAAATTCCTGAACTGAGTTTAGAACTACCGGCTTTGTGTTAGTGTCAGAAGAGTTATCAATCGATAGTAATCCAACGTCATCGCCCAACCTGATTTGGACGCCCATGTCATCAAGTTCAGCCGAAGTTGTGATTGACAGCAGGTTTGTAGCTGAAAAAAGATGTGAATAAATTTTAAAAAATAAAAGCTTTAAAATGTCATATTAAACTAAAAAATCAAAAAAAGTTTTAAAATTTTAAAAATTGCACGGTGTTGCCCAAAAATTCAAAAAACGCTCAAAACGCAAAACAAAATAAAACTTTGAACAATAAAGTGTTGTAAAATAAGCAAAAGTGCATAAAGTAACATGAAAAAGTCCTCATCCAACTTTAGCATTTTTAAAACTATTTGAAATTTGAAAATTCTTCAAACCGTCCGCACAGTGCAATCAAAAAGCAATAAATTATAAAAATTAAATCTAAATTTATAGAAAATCATAAAAAAATGCAAAAACATAACCATAAAAACACTGAAAAATCATAGACACAATAAAACAAGATTGTTACCTAAAAATCTAACTTTATCAACAGCACACGCCCAAAATAATATGAACACTTCAAACCATTTATACCAAGTCAAAAACGTATCAAATCTTACAAAAACTAACACTTAACCATCATGTTACCTATAGTAATAAGAAAAACCACGATTGTTACCTAAAATTATATCTTTTCCAATAAGACATGTCTAAACCAATATAAAAAATTATAACGCCTACAACACTTATAAAACGTAACAAACTTCATAAACTTAAGATCCAGGTACAATATAAGTTAATAATAAAAGTTTTAAACCTAAAGAAATAGAAAAAACCGTCTAAAACATCTAAAACACATTTAAAAAACAAAATATCTTTTAAAATTTTAAAACTGCAACCAAAAATAATAATATTATCACATAATACTCACATATTTTCAACAAACTAGTACCGCATTAACTTATTTTACTAATTTTCCAGCCGAAAAAGTAAATTCGGTCAAAATCCAGACCCAAATAAGAGGACGCGAACTGCTTGCAGCCTGCGAATTCTTTTTTACGAAAAAATTATTGTTCATCAAGATAACAAAAGCTTTGAAGTAAAACACAGAAGTTATATATAAAAGTGTTCAATACTTAAATGTTTTCCAAAAAAAAATTTTGGAATGAAAATTTATCTAAAACAACTTAAAATGGCATTTTAAACCCTTTCTTCGCCCATTTTTCATGTTTTTTACTTTTCACTGCCTGTATCGCTAATACAAAAAATTTTATACTTCTGCCTACCATAATTTATAAAAATTTATTTCTTTTATTAACAACCAATTTAATATATATCTTATTTTGATACAATAGACATAGAGTAAGCTAAAGTGAATTTCGGCGTGAAGATAGTGACTAGAATTAGGTGATATAAGCGTGGATAATCATGCACGTACTATTTACAGTATTAGACAGTTCGAAAATAAAAAGAAAGATACTTTATTCCAAATTCCGATCAAATATAAAGAAGCCAAAAAAAGTCTTGTCGTCAAATCAAATGTAATTGAACGGCCAAAAGCGACAAGACTTTTTTACTACATTCATATTGACAGAACCTAGTACAAAATAATAGTGAAAGCCAAAGATAATGCTTGAAGAAAGGTTTGACACGTAATCAAGTTGTTTAAAAAGTGGCATGTACAATAAAAATTATAAGACAACATATAATATTCACCATGCTTAAAGCCTTTTCAGAAAGGCGATGCAGTTTTAAAACTATAGATTTTACTGATACTATAGCTTTCAAACTACGACATTATTCATGAATGTGGCTTCAGGTAGACTAAAAAAAAGTTTTACCATACCCCTAGACCTAAAAATAATTTTTTACCCCGCCCATCAATTTTTTTTCAAAAAACCACCCCAGCAACATCCCTGATACCAATACCCTTTAAGAATTCTCATCAGCAACCTTCTTCTTAATCATTCTTCCACCATATAGTCCAGCGATCGCTCCTCCAACAGCAGCGGCCGCTCCGGCCACCATTGAGCCGGCTGCCACTGCCACTGGTCCTCCGGCTGCCAAAGATCCAACGGCAGCCGCATAGAATGGTACTCTAGCTTGCTTTGTCCGCACCGCTTTCTTCAACTCTCTATGGCCGGTATTGACGTCGTGGACGGTACGTTCAACTTGATCTTCGATGGAATCGACCATTTCGTTTTGACCATGAACAAGTTGGGCTAGGTCTACCATTATTTGGTTTAGGTCTTCAATGTCCTGAAAAGAAGATAAGATTAGTTAAGAGAAGAGAGAGTGATTTAAAGATAGAATAAAAGTAAGGTAAGAACTCCCTACATTATTCAGCTTTTTAGTGGCTTCAGCATCAGCTCTTGCTTGTTCTGCCTTCAATTTTAGATCCTGAAGTCTTTTTTCTTTATACGACCGCTCGGCTTCAACCTGTAGTTGTGCTTCGTATTCAGAAGCGGCTCTATTCAGTTGTTCATCATCAAAACAATCGTCGAATAGGTTTGTATCGAAGGGATTTGATGGGCCGGTTGGCTTGAATGGAGTGTCTTTGTCTAAAATATTATGTTTAAGATAGAATGACAAAGAAAAAGGGTTGTGATAAAGTAGGATTACGGTAAGGCAGAATTACAGTAAGGCAAATTTAAAGGTTGGGTAGAAGTGAGGGTAAAGACAAGGGTAAGGATAGGGTTAGATATCATCTTTTTATCTAAACCATTACCTTTTGAACTCTCATTTTTAGTACCACTAGATCCCAATGGTACTCCAGTAGGTTCATCATCGTCAAATGGATTCGTTGAGGCTTTATCAGCTTGACCTCCAAGTTTTGGCAAGATTAAAGTTATGGCTTGAGTGATTCTGTTCCGAGTTCCTTCGATTCTAGCGTCGAATCGTTCTCGAACTGATGGATCTAGTTGTGATCGAAGGGATAGTAGCTAAAAAAGTAGATATAATAACTAAAAAAGTAACTATATGTTAACTGTAAAGATAACTATAGTAACCATAATAAAGTGTTTTTCCTTAACTCGTTAAGTATAAGCTGTGATTTGAAGCTAACTCATCAAAAAAGAAATGTAAAAGTGTGTGGATAAATATCGTACCTCTTGTAATGCTGTCTGTATTTGATTGATAAGCTTTTTGACGTCCTCTTTTTCTGTCGTGGCACGTTCGTAATCTCTTTCTCGTTCTGACTGAAACATAAGTATAAGTAAAGTAGAACTAGGCCTGTAAAACGCTGGGTTTTACAAAAGTTAGTTTAAGCCTTGACCCTCGGGTCGGCGTGTGCCGGTCTGTTTACACTCTTTTGAACTATGCTTTGGCCCGAGTACGTACAATCCGGGCTCGGGCCGAAGCATCGATGACCGGAGTTTAGGCCACGCCTAGTAGGCCCCCTTTCAAGCCTACCACAGGCCAAAAATTTAAAAAAAATCAAAATCACCCGCCCGACCAAGAAGAAAAAGTTACCTTCTGTATAACTGAATGTTTCTGTCTCAATTCAGCCAAATTCTCATCACAAACCCGTATGAAGCGATCTACCGTGAAAGAAGCTTGGTTCCAATCCATGGCTTATATTAACTGTAACTCGATAGTATACAAATAACAAAAGTCATAGTAAGGCACAACGGACAATATTTAGTTCATAAAAAATTATAACACAACGTAATGGGTATATCAAAAAGGTTAAATCAGCTGTCGTATTTTACAATTAAATGTTCCTAAAGCTCTGTTTTTTAGCTACCGACGTTAAAAATCAACATCTGATCATTTAGCAAAGTTAAGAGTACAATAAAATTTAAAAATTCATATTAAAACTCAAAAATATTATGGATGAACAACCATTAGTCCAAGAAAAACGCCATTTTTAACTCAATAATTTATTTTTAATTCTATACCAATCAACACAAAAAACATAAGATTTAAATTAAACTAACAGTCATATAACGAGAACGTCAAAAAATCAAAGAACGCAAGATCCTAGTACTAAAAATTGAAAATTACATTGTTCAGCATGAGAGTAGATCCAAGTCACCCTCCACAGAGGCTATAACAGAAACAGACAGAAAATGTAATAGCACAATACCACCATCAAAGAAAACTTCATTCAACATCATAAAAACAAGCAACCGTAATTATATTAACCATAGTACATACTACTCTCATATATGTATTTGATATTATCCAAGATAAATGCTACTTCAATATATCATAATATTCTTGCCAAATACTACTTCAATATATATATTATCCAAAACGAATATTACTCAACTCTATATTATCCATGACAGATGCATAACATATCCTACTTCATCACACTTTTGGAAGCCGCCAACAGAGCTGCAATGTCATTTGGATCAGCGAATTCTTGAGGTTTCGGCCGAATGACTTCAGTAACAATTTGTCGTAGATGTTCTGGGATTCTTCCTTCTTCATTCACGGCTTCTTGGGCCTTCTGCCTTAAGGCATTTAACAGTTTTTTGTAGATTTTGGACTTGTTATTCAATGTGGAATAGGTTCGTGTGAGGTTGTCAATTTCAGTTGTTATTCGAAGGGTTTGTGTGTATGATAATGGGTCGTATTGGTCGGTTATGAGCTCTGAAAAGAGTAAAATATTGATTATAATATAGCCTAAAGATGCTTTTTTACTCTCAATTAAGCCTAAAAATGTCTGTTTTCACTAAAAAGTAAGCCTAAAAATGCCTTTTTCACTAAAGATTAAGCCTAAAAATACCTTTTTTACTAAAAGTTAAGCCTAAAAACTCCTTTTTCATCAAAACTAAGCCCAAACAAAAATTCTGTACCCAAAATCTCCAACCTAAGCCCCAAATTAGTACCAAAAACTTACTAGTCAGCTTAGGAACCACAATTTTCTCCACAATATTAGGAATCAATCCAATGATCATCCTATGATCTACATCAACTTCAGTGTTGTCGAAACCTAGTCGTAGCACTGCTTTGTACCATTCCATCTCTTCCAACTTCTTGCTTCCTGGCATAAGCGGGTTATATTGGAAGAGTTCTATTCGTACCAACGGTCCTATTAGTTTCGGTATGCATTCGTCGATGTAGGCGTTTTCAAAGCTTTGTCCATCTGTCGTTAGCCAGTCGATAAATCGTTTGTAAATTTGATTGAGATCATGATACTCGGCGGAGGCGTCGGCGAAGATCAGTTCTGTACGTTGGAGGAGCTTGGCTGAAAAAATGAATTGTATTATCATTGCTATATTCACCATAATCTTGCCCTACCCTACCCATTACTATATTCATCATGATCTTGACCTACCCTACCCATTACTATATTCGCCATGCTCTTGCCCTACCCATTACTATTATATATTCACCATGATATTGACCTACCGTATCCATTACTATATTCACCATGATCTTGCCCTACCCCTTATTGTTTTCACCATGATCTTGACCTGCCCTATCTATTAATATACGCACCATGCTCTTGCCCTACCCTCCCCATTACTATATTCACCATGATCTTGAGTTACCCTACCCATTACTATATTCACCATGGTCTTGCCCTACCCTACCCATTACTATATTCACCATGGTCTTGCCCTACCCTCCCCATTACTATATTCACCATGATCTTGAGTTACCCTACCCATTACTATATTCAGCATAATCTTGACCTACCCTACCCATTACTATATTAACCATGACATCCACGTACCCATAGTTTCTTGATAAGCATTAGCCACGTATTCCTCCTCTCCTTCACTGTCCCATCCCTCATTCCTATTGTATTTCTCTCGCCTTCTAGCCGCCGCCCTTCGCCTTGAAATTTCATCAGCTCTCGTCCTTTGAAGATCCATAATCAACTGGTCGATTTCGTTGATTTCAGTCATTTTATCGTTGAGACAGTCCATCACATTATCAGTAAAAAACTTCATTTCCTGGTACAATTTGAAGTAGATTTCCATTTTACCATTCGATTCGGCCAGTTGAAATACTGTATTTTGGTCGGTTTTGAGATTTCGTTGATTGTTCTCGTACAGATCACGTTTCGCTTTGAGATCTTCAATTTTACGGCCGCGACTAAAAGTATCAGCATTATCATCAATAATAAAACAAAAAACAATTACGGTAAAGTAAGATAAACAATAACATTAAATAGTATAAGCAATAGTGTACTGTACTTAAACAACAACAGTGAAACCTACGCAATTTCCAAATGTTCGATCATTCCAGCCAAACTTCTATAACTGTGATTCACTTTGTACGTACCATCTGTATTGAAAAAGGCTGGCATTTGAGTTTCGCCAACAGAATCAATTTCCATATCCTCGTCTTCCAGCACCATACCCATATCACTCAAAGTGGCAGGTTGATTATTGTAGCGTCGGCTGGCTGCGTACTCGTGTTTCATTTCGGTTATCTAGAAATTATAGTTTAAAAAAATTTTTTGACGCAACCCTAACCAAAAAAAATTTTTTTTCACCCACCCCTACACAAAAATTTTTTTTATCCACCCCTGCCACAAAAATTTTTTACCATGCCAAAAAATTTTTTCCATGCCAAAAAATTTTTGATTTGCCTAAAACTCTCCCCACAAAAAAAATTTTACCCACCCATCCCCCCCCCCTAATTTTTTTTTACCCCGCCCTTCAAATCTCCTGCCCCCACTAAAAACTCCACACAGCAAACAAATAACTTACCCTCCTCTGACTGACGGCCTTTTTGATCTGTTCCTGTTCCCACCTCTGTAGCTCCTCATCCTCGCTCTTGTTTGACTTCGCATCTTCATCATCACTGCCTTGTTCCATTCTTAGTGCTTCCAACTGTTCATTCCTTCTTGTTTCTTCTTCATTCATCAACAAATTCGATGAAGATATAAACCTTCCTTTGTCTTCGTCGTCACTTATGTCATGTTCGTCATCTTCTCTCACTAATCTCGATTTGGATTTGGCATCAGAATCCTTGCCCAAACTCAAAGGTTGGTCCAGGTTTAATGGTCCTGGCTGGTCTTGTTGGTTCTCTCTTAGAGCTTGTCGTCTTTTTCTGGCTTCGTAAATCGTTTTTTGGTCTGGAATCGTGGATAATGAAGAGAATTTGTTCTTGGTGTCATCTGAGTACTGTGTTGAAGTTGATTGAGACAACTCTTTGTAGCGGTCCGATTCTTCGTCCGGGATTCTGGTTGGGTCAGGCTGAAAATTATAATTTGTTATCATTCTTTATATTTAGATAACAAATTCTCAAAATATCAAAAAATCCAATCCAAAACCAACTTCAAAAAAACATTATCCTACCTTAACTTTACTTGGTTTGACCTCCCTTTCCACAATGATATCTTCCTCAACTTCTAGAATTTCAGTTTTTAGATGTAGTTGGTGATCTTCTTCATCCTCCGACACCTCGCTTTTTACTCTTCTTCTCAATTTATGTGACTTCTTAGTCTTTATAGCCGCCTTATCCTTCTTTACTACGAATTCTGTTGTGTCATCTTCTAAAATTGAAGTTTTATTATCAATTTTATTAAATTTACATGTTGAAAAAGAGGTTTTAGCTCACAAAAGAGCCGCAAAGACGTTTTAGTTAAATATATTTTTAAAAAAATTAATTCGAAAGGCATTTCAAAAGTCTTGTCGTCATTTTACATTGGCTTGTTAGTTAAAAAATGACAAAACTTTTTTGAGGCCTTATTTTCTGAATTTCAAAAGTTAAGAATGTCATTTTAAGTTAAAAAAGATCCCAAAAATTTAGGAAACAACTTCTTTCGACCAAAAAATTTTTTAAGTAACAAATTTTTTTTTCTAACACTAATCTCGATTGCCATCTACAATAACATAAGACCTCTCAAAAAGTCGTATATATGACATTTTTTAGCAAAGATTGGTTCAAAAATAAACCGACCTTCGCAGTCATTAAAACTCAGACCCGCCTTGGGGAAAGTGTCAGTGCGCACCTCTTGTTCCAATTTGGCCGATTTGATTGGCGACCCGTCCTCATCGTCCGAGTGTTGAAGATTTATTCGTTGACGTACGTTGCGACTACGGGGCTTTCGAAACATCTTGGTATCTACTGTAATATTGGGTTATATCAAAGAGTAGGAAGTAAGAATTTGAGAGGGGGGGGAGAAGAAGAGTAGGCCTTACTCACCACTTATCCCTAAATAGTCAAAATTTTTGTTTACTACTCCATCTTAAAGCTTCAAAAAGTCTTGTCGTCAATTTACACACATTTTCATTCTCAAAAACGACAACACTTTTTTAAACCCTAATAATAGCATGTAAAACAATATTAAAGCCTTGTAAAACATTCATATTTCCTCAATAAAGCTCAATATATAACAAGAAATCTCAATGTAAATCAATATATCCGGCGTAACTTTACTGTTTGTTCAGCCATCTTCATCCTGATATTACCTTGACCCTAATGATTCAAAATTTCAAAAAAGAACAAAGAATGTATTCAAAAAATCTGTACAAACATTCATCTACACGTTCATGTTCATTATAAACTTGTAATCACTTTTAAAGCCTTTTCCGACCAAATCATGCGGTTACTTTTGTTTCTATTGGTATTTACAACTTATTCTGTTAGTGCAGATAACTTTTGTCCTGACGGAAATGCAGCTTTTGCTAGTAAGTTTGAGAAAATATGGCAATAGAGTAGCCGTATTTGGCTGAACATTCCAAAATTTAAAGTTTTATTCCAAGATAAACCTAATTTCAATGTAAAACAATGTCTTTATACCTATTTTTAAATTAAAACCTTTAAATTTAAAGTTTTTATACAATTTTTATATTGTTATAATTTTGTTTCAGCTTGTGAAGGTGTGTGCGACTTAGATCCAGAGCTAAACTGCTTGGAAATCTCAGGAACTTCATATTGTTGTAGGTTTTTACTACTTTTTCAATTTTTATTACTGAAAACGACTTTTTTTTGACTTTTTATAAGCTGAGTTTAAAAAAACATAAAGTTCTGCATCTAATAAACCAAAAAATCAAAATTTTCCCTACCTTAATTAAGGCGATGGAACGTTCCCTCCAACTACTCCAACGACACCTACCACCCCGACAACTCCCACGACCCCAACAACTCCTACCACACCGACTACACCAAACACAGATTCTACACAAACTACACCAACCACTCCTACGACGCCTACTACTCCAACTACCCCTACTACACCAACAACCCCCACAACACCGACAACTCCAACAACACCGACAACTCCTACAGCACCAAATCAAGGCTGTAGTGTTCAAACAGTTCCAGATACAACTTCTGACTGCGCTAAGAAGATCCAACTGTGCTCCATTAAGGTGAGTTTTTCAAATTATATTATACTAGACGTCAAGGTGAAGATAAACTGTTATAACTTAACCTAAGTAGCTGCTAATGCTGCGTCTCACATTGAAAAAGCAACGCTTCACATTTAGTTAACCCCGCAAAGCAAGTTAAGCCATCATCATAAACATAACATTCAGTTTTTACAAAATCTTATTCTTTAGGCCTATGAAAACCTAATGTCCCAACTCTGTTCAACAACTTGTTGTTTAACCCCTCAAACCAAAGAACCAGCACAAGCTGCCCCAACTCAAGCTCCAGCAAACAACAATCCAAGCTGTACCGACGTCTACACCAATTGCCAAGAGAAAAAGAGCATGTGCGGTGTTAAGGTAAGCCTAAAACCCAAAAAACGAATAAAAACTTACAAATACAATTCCAGGCGTATCAAAAGTTGATGGAAAAATACTGCCAGAACACGTGTGTTTGTAGCCGGCAATAGAAACAATGTTAGAGTGAGGTTAAACTCCTGAAAGAAAGAGATTTATGTTCAAGTTGAATAAAACGTTATTAAAAATCGATATTTTAAAAACTTTAAGCGTTAAAATTGTTGAAAACATAAAAAACAAAGCTATAAAATATTATATATTAATATTCCAAAGTGTTATCTACAATAACTAACACGTGAATTGTTTATCGAACATCAAAGTAAAACAATTATTTCGCAAAATAATATTTCTTTGCTTCCGAGCTGCGTGCGAATTGCTGCGAACTGCGGCGATATTTTATACGCAAACTAAGTACGACTTCAACGCGGCCTAAAAAACAAGATTAAAGCTTAAAATTAACTAGAAAAATTTAAAAAAACTCCAAACCCTTCAGCGCAATATTTATTAATAAAAATACCCATAAAACTATAAGTAAACTACATTAATATCAAAAAATATGTGGCAATGAAGGCTAAAGCACAGGATTTGAAAAAAACAAGTTCAGATATGTCATTTTTAACCGACTTTTGTATATAATAAGGTACACTTAAAGCAAACAAGCATTTTAAAGACAAACAATATAAAGACTTCAAAATTCAAAAAAAAATTAAAATTACCTAATTTTATACCAGTTTTATATAAGATGATACAACAATATAGCAATGTATGATAGATTTTTAGAAACAAAACGCAATTTTATTAAAGGTAAAGACAAACAATATACGTAAACTTTAAAATTAAGTATCATTTTACAATTTTTGACTTGAAAATTGCCCAAAAAGAATAAAATTTTGATCAAAATCAATAAAAAGTCAAAATTTAAGGCTAAAATCATTAAAAACAAAATCAAAAAGATCTAAATTTCACTTTTAAAGCTTTCTTATAAACTTTTAGACCAAAAGATTTCAAGCAAAATCAATTTTTTGATCAAAACCAATTAAAAAATTAAACTTTTCGTCCAGAATCAAGCCAATAAGTTGTTATAAAAGCCAAAATTTCATTTTTAAAGCAATTCTACGGACTTTTTGACCGTTTTTGTTTATCTAAAATTGCAAAATAGGTAAGACCACTAGCATAGAATTTAAAAAATCTGAATTTAGAGACCAGAAAATTTAATTTATAGTCCAAAAACTTCATTTCAGATGTCAGAATGTAGATCAATACCCTTATTTTTAGACTTTAAACCTCATTTTAGACCAAAAACCCCTGATTTTAGGCTTAACTTTCCATTTACATGACCCTATCAATCACTTCAAAGTCCGAGCTAATCGAAGTTTCACTCCAGGACCTCATGACTTGGCTTAGTTCGTTACTAAACTCCAGTTTCGGCCGAACTTTGGCCATCACAGCACGTTCATACGAAGTCAGTTCTCGAGGCTTGAAGAGGGATTCCTCCACCTTGACCCACTTCTTCTTTTGTTCTCGTTGACCGCTGGGAGTGACTGTTCGATTGTAGTTTAGTGATACTTCTACGAAGACGAGTTCGCTACAGGAAAGAATCGGCAGGAAGGTTTTGTTGGGTTTGCAGACAACCACTGATCCTAATACGTGGCCGCATTTGCCGTGGGGCGTTTGGTTTTTGCATTTGATCTGAAAATGGTTTAGGATATAGTTAGAGAATATAAAATTGTAACACAAGTAAAATAATGAACATTATCAATGTACTAAAAGTCTTGTCGTTAAAATACATTCATTTTTATGTTGAAAAACGACAAAACTTTTGTAAAACCGAAGCTTACAAATTTGATTAAAATTGGCAAGGTTTCTCAAATAAAACTCGGTTTAAAATATGAAAACCAAAGTTTTAGGTACCAAAAAGCTTATAAAGAGCAAAACATAGCTATAACTAGACCAGACAAACATAATTTTCAAAAAAAAATCATATTTTCGTATTAAAATCATATGTTATCCATAAAAATAGAAAGAAATGACAATACAAAAATAGAAAAAATTACCTCATTTGGGTTTGTCAGACTTAGAGACCTGCTAAAGACTTCTTTTTTGACCTAAAATACAAAGCAAGACATCACATGTCAAAAGTTTACGTTACAAGTAAAGGATCTTTTACTTCTCAGTAATAGGTCATGTACTAGCCAATAATAGACCTTATACTTATCAGTAATAGGTCTTATACTAGCCAATAATAAACCTTATACTCATCAGTAATAGATCTTATACTTCAATACCAAGCCTGAAGGCCAAAAGACAAAGCCTGAAGGCCGAAAATCAGAATAAACTGATCGAAGGACACAAAGGTGTCAGAAGGATCACACGGGATCGTTAGAAATCGTTCGATCTTGTGTTCAACAGAACATTATCATTTCGATAAAAAGATCTTACACTAGCCAGTTATAGGCCTTATACTACCCAGTAATAAGCCTTATACTAGTCAGTAATAGGTCTTAAACTAGCCAGTTATAAGTCTTATACTACGCATTCTTAAGCCTCATACTTAAATTCAATACCAGGCCTGAAGGCCGAAAGTCAGAAGAAACTGATCAAGATGACATAACAATGTCAGAAAGATCGCACGGATCATTAGAGACCGTTAGGTCTAGTGTTCAGCAGAACAACATCATTTCGATGGACACTGCCATTACATATTGCAAAGAAAATATTGTTATGATACATTACAATGTATACCTTTCACAATAATACATGAAAATCCTTACCTTTCCCACCGTCGGTTCAGCTGATTCCAACCGGTCAATTTTTACATACTCCGATGTATCAACCCGATCCCAAATGGCTTCGTCTGCTGCCACATAGAAACTTTTCTCCTTGAACAACTTTGTCGAGTGAATTATGAAGGCATTGCAGTTTCTAAAAGATAATTTTTTGTAGCAATAAAAAGTAGTATAGAGCCAGGCATAATAAAGTAAGATAGGATAGACCATGGTAAGCTAGTACAAAGTGAAGTAAAGCAAAACAGAGTAGTAAAGGTAGAGAAAGGCAAGCTAATGTAAAATAAGATAGGTAAGTGAAAATTAAAGTGAATTATATTAAAGTAAGACAAGATAGTTAGCTAAATTGGTATAAAGAAGAGCAAAGCAAAACAGAGTAGTAAAAGTAGAATAAAGTAGGTCAGGATAGAGCACGATAGGCTAAAGTAAGGTAATGTAAGACAGGATAAAGTAATATAAGGTATAATTAGACAGATAAGGTATAATTATACATGAGGAACAAGCAGAACCTAAAAATTAGGCCCGGCCGAATTTTTTTTTATTTTACACGTGCAATCGGGCGGGGATTTCTAAGGCCGGGCCTTGGTTTTCAGTCCCGGCCCGAAGTAACTTTGGGTTAAGGCAAGGACGGCCCATTCCTCATGTCTAGGTAGGATATGTTAGAGTAAGATTGAGTAAGATAGGGTAGGGTTGAGTACGGTAGGAAAGGGTAGGGCGGGGTAGGGTAGGGTAGGGTAAGATAAAGTACAATAAGCTAAAAAAACCCTACTTGCAAGCTATAACATAATCATTCCTCCTGTTTCTGTAGGCACGCGATTCGTCAGCAGCTGCAATCCTTCGTTTTCTACGTTCTTCATTGTTCAACGATATATAATTCTCAACCTAAAAACCAAACGTTGTATACTATATTAAAACTCACCTTTTCTTCAAACAAAATACGGTTGTTATCAATTTCATCAAGTGCCATTTTCATTAATGTGACTCTGAGCTGGTTTGATTCTTCCATTCTCCTTACAGTATCATTTTCAGCAATCAGAATCGATCTGGCATTTTCGGCACGTCCACGACCTAAAACGTACCAAAATATTTTTACATTTTTCTTCTAGTAAGTACGGTAATTCTACCATACCGTACTCCACCTTACCCTACCCTAGCTCTCCACCCTATGCTGCCATACGGTACCTTAACTTATTTTACCTTACCGTATTTCATGCCTGTCTTTCATAATGCACCTTACAGTAATTTTCTCTACCAGAACCCTACCCTGCTATACTGTACCGTACCTTCCTACAGTACCTTACCTTACCCTCCCCCCCCCTCCAAGCCACATGCCGCTTTACCATAATCCATCTTACAGTATTCTTCTCTAAGATAACCCCACCCTACCTTTTCTTTGCACATGTGCCACTTCATTAGTAGTATCATTGTACTTTATGACAACATTACACTCCGGAATGTCCAAACCTTCATCAGCCACCGAAGTACAACACATGATTTTGATCTCTCCCACCCTGAACTGCCTTACAACCTCGTTCTGCTTGGCCTTGTTCAGGCCGGCCTCTTCGGCCGAGGCATAGCCAGTCAAGTACTTGGTCTCTATATTAGTGTAGTGAGCAATTCGTTCGGCCAAAAGTTAACATGAGTTTCTAGTTTCGACAAAGATTAGTACTCTTGAGCCTTTGTTTTGAACAAAGGTTGATCCAATGAGTTTGAAAAGCTCGGTTAAAGGCGCTGATTTAAAGTCTTGCTCTTGGTCTAGTCGTTCAATCAGGCCTAAAATTCACTGTATTAACAAAAACTTAATTTTCTATTATAACAGTCTTTTCAAAATCTAATTTTTGACCCAGTCTAGCTAACACAAAGCATAAAATAAAAGGTAATATAGAGAACGATAGAGTAGAATGCTTCTAAAATCAATATTTTGCTAGAAACCCTATACATATTTTTAAAATCAAAGAAGTTTTTACTAGTATAATGTTGATTGGAATAGCCAGTTCTGTGTTTCAACGCTTCATAAGCTTTTTTGATGTCTTCAACAGCTGTAAACTTGTCCAGAATTCTGGCCACGCAAAGACCGTTGTTTACAATCTGAAAAAAATACTGTAGGTCATAAAGCTGCACCATATGCCCTACCCTACTCTACATTACCTCACCCTACTCTGTCATAACGTACCTTACCTTATCTTGCCTTGCCTTACCTTACGCTGAACCTTACCTTCAGCCTTTCTAAGCGCTCATCTTAACCCAATATTATCTTATAGTATGCTTTATCCTACGTTATGAAATGGTCTGCCCTACCCCACATCTTACCCTACCATATTTCATGCCAATTCCTACTACAGTACCCATCTCTACTGTACCCTTAATACCTCTTGCAATAGTATTACAGTAATATCATTATCATTCTATCGTAAAAAATAGCTCTTTTCTTGCTCTACAGTACGTCATACGATACCGTGCCCTAGCCAATTGCCGCACAGTCAGGTCTTAACTTCCACTTTTACGAAAACCTCACCTTAATCCACTCGATCATGTCATTAGCCTTCTGCCTTTTGTAATCGTCCATATGAGTCAAGCCTACCGTTCTCTGTAAAGCACAAATTGATGAATACACATTAATGTTTTTGATCTGCCGCTTCAGAGAAGTAATTTCGGATTCCTTGAGTAACTCTTTCAGGTAGTTGATAATGTCTTCTAACACGGCAGTAGCTTCTACTTGTAATGTGTGTATGCAACCAATGTCCATGTTCTCACATAGCTTTATTTCTAAAAGTTAAAGTATTACTACGTATTCTTATCAAAGCTACTATGCCCTGCCTTGCCCTGTTCTGCATTGCAATGCCGGTGCCCTTCCCTGTACTGCCCCTACACTATATAACCATACCATACCTTACCTTACCCTACCATACGTTATGCCATTTTATCACAGCCCATCTTACAGTATTCTTCTCTGCCATAACCCTCTCTACCCTACTTTACAATAATCTACTTGCCCTTGTCCTGCTCAACCCCAACTTATGATACCCTCAACATTACTACATATACCCAATGTAATGTAACACATACCATCCATAACCAATGGTGAATGTTTAGCAAGTGCATCCAAATTCTTTCTAACCCTATTGATACGTCTAGCGTCCAAATTGGCACATATTTTAGAGCAGTAATCTCTAGTGTCGTTAACATCTTTCGCATCTTTTGCTCCAATTGAAGCTGTAAGGCCGATAACTTGAGGTAGACCAGCTGAAGAGCCAAATGATTTTCGATCGTGATAAAAGTTCATTATCTCTAAAATTTAAAAATATTTAAAAGATTAGGTTAGGTTGGGTAAGATAAGGTAGAGTAGGGTAAAGTAGGGTAGGTAGAATAGGGTATGATTAGGTAAGGCAGGGTAGGAAACGCTACAATACGGTACAATTGAGGAAAGCAAGGTATGATACGGTAGAGTTGGAGGGGGGGGTGACTCAGAGCCGATCCGAAAAACAATCCACAGGCAAGATACCTGTAAATAAAAAAAAAATTTTTTCGAAAAATCCGCCCACAGGAGCTGTAGACCAAAAAAAATTTTTTGGGTCTCCACCCCCCCCCCACACAGAAAAACCATAGCGACGTCTCTGGGGGGAGAGAAGAATGCGGAGGGGGAGAGGTTGGAGAGGAAGGGAGAGAGTAGGGTAGAGTAGGGTAGGGTAAGGCATGGTAAAGTAAAGTAAGACAAGCCATAGACTCACCATTATAAGGATGTTTTTCATTAACATGATGACATTCATCAAAGATCAATAGTGTGAACATGTTGATTGTCACTTGGTCATTCACATTTTCACTTTGTTGATTCAATATGTTCCTGAAAAAACCAAAATTAACATAAAACTTTAGATTTTTATCCTGGTCGACATTAAACAAGAGTTATTTAAAATACGAAAAAATAAACGTTCAAATTTCAACAACTTACAGTAAGACCATGGGAGTCATAACAATGACATCATTGTTTAGAATGTTCTGACGTTGAGGCTGTGAGGTCGTATCATCACCACAAATTGATATTACCTATAAAAAAAAAAGTCAAAAGCTTGAATTATTCATAATCAAGGTAAAGAATAGGCCTAAAAAAGGCTTACTATACCTAGCCAGACCAGTCCAGAAGTTTGAAAAAGACCTAGCCGCGTCGACACATGTAAGCCCAAAAATCAAAGCCCAAACCAAGCCTTAAAATTAAAAAAATAGTTTTTATCCTCATCCTAGACCTGAACGACCCCCCCCCCCCTCTTAACAGGACCCGGCCCACTCCGGACAAGGCTAAACTCAAAACAAATAACGAACAAGCCAGATCGTGCAAGCCCAATAAAAGGGTAGGTCCCGCAACGAAAGATTAGTTTCAAAAATTGTAAAACAGATCTGATGCAAAAGCTTTAAAAGAAAGCACAGAATTAAGTAAAAATCTAACACTTATTCCTTACTTTAAGCTGTTTCATGAACTTTTTGAAGTATTTGCATTGTTGTTCAACCAACACTCGTGTTGGTACGAATAGAACTGCTTTGAACTTTGCACCATTCCTCAAAGCACTGTACCATCGTTGCCGACAGATGTAAACTGCTGTCAATGTTTTACCAGAATTGGTCGGAGCACAAATCAATGTATTTTGGCCGTTCACAGCGCCTTCAGCCAGCTCGGCTTGATATGGTCGAAGGTTTATTGGCATTTCTATAAGGTGTGAGTCGGTTAGTCAATACTGCAGAAGAAATATAGCAAAGATAGAGTAGAATAGGGTAAGGTAGGTAGGGCAGGGTAAAGTAAGGTAAGATAGGGTAAGATAGGATAGAGCGATGTACGTAGAATAGGTTATCACAAGATGTGCCAAAGTAATTTCAACAAAAGTGAGTAATCAAAATCACTATACCTTGTCCAACATCAACTTGAACGTCTTTGCAAGTCGGGGAAGTTGGCCGACTTCAATGGGTCATTTTTTGGCGGAGCTTCAATCAGCCTTTTCATGGCCTCCAAAGCTGGGATATCAGCGTTTACCAGACATAGATTAGCTAAAAAATTTCTGATGACCAAAAAAATCCAATTTTAAACAAAAACACCTATTCAAAATTATAAAATAAAATTAAAATTTTTGCCAAAACGTACCTTTTTTTAGTTTAAATAACGACAGTTTTTTATAACAAATTTAGTTCACTAAACAAAAAAATTTAAAATTTTGAGTTACCAAACGTATTTTACCATACCTATTATTTTGTTTAACAAAGCAAAAACTTACGTCTACTTTCAGCTTCGATGGCCACAGCTAAAATTAAAAAAGTTATAAAATGCAATTTTTTAAATATGCTTTTATCACACTAAAATTAATAAATATAGAATTTTTAATTTTTTTCTATTTTTTTTAAGTACAGTTACCTGACAAATGTTTTTCGTATAGGTTCTGGGGGGTGAATCAACCCCGAAACTATATTCTATCTAGCCCTAGCTCTATTTATAGCCCTAACTTTAGCCCCTCTTGAAGTTCGAAAAAATCGGGATAAGCTTACCAAATTTTTTTTTCTAAAAACCCACAAGGGAAACCACGTTCAACGTTATTTTTATTTTTTTCCTGGGGAATTCCCCCCCCCCCACGCTAATACATATAATCCAATATTAAAACCTCAAAAAGTCTTGTCGCCAATTTAAGCTGATTTTCCCGTTAAAAAACGACAAAATTTTCTTGTCATCAAAAAAATACCAAAAAACCACTCTTATATTTTTTTATATACATACCCATCTAATCACTATACTCACCATATTTCCGTTCGAAATCATGGCTGAACTTCCGAACTTTACATTGAACCGCTCCACCTTGCTCCCAAAGGCACTTCAACAAGTGTAACTCCGCGTTTGGTCCAAATAGTACCGAATTTCTCAAGAATTTTCTTTTCGCCGTCTCGAGATCAATGACATTGTTCTTGAGCTTCAAGTTAATTGGTGATAAGGCTGTTTTGATTGAATCTGAATACGATTCCATGTAGCTTAAGGCTACTTTAACATCAATGTCATTGTAGAAAGTGGTGACAATATTCATGATTTTTAGCCATCGCGCTAGAGAGGGCTTCTCGTTCTCTTTGTCGACTTGATCTGATGGTGTGATGTCGACCAGTTCACGGACTTGGGGATTGGCTGGAAATTAAAAAGTAAAAATATAAGTTAATTTTAGTCTAGAAGACGGTAGGACAGTAACCCTGCTCTCGGCTAGGCTCTGGGCTAAAGCTCTAGGCTAGCGCTCTGGACTAGGACTCTAGGCTAAGGCTCTGGGCTAGGGCTCTGAGCTAGGGCTCTGGGCTAGGGCTCTGAGCTAGGGCTCTGGGCTAGGGCTCTGAGCTAGGGCTCTGGGCTAGGGCTCTGAGCTAGGGCTCTGGGCTAGGGCTCTGAGCTAGGGCTCTGGGCTAGGGCTCTGAGCTAGGGCTCTGGGCTAGGGCTCTGAGCTAGGGCTCTGGGCTAGGGCTCTGGGCTAGGGCTCTGAGCTAGGGCTCTGGGCTAGGGCTCTGAGATAGGGCTCTGGGCTAGGGCTCTGAGCTAGGGCTCTGGGCTAGGGCTCTGGGCTAAAGCTCTGGGCTAGAACAAGCCCTACAAAGGCTACACTATAAAACTAAGCTTTTTAAGATAAGCTTAAAAATTTAATTTTTCAAATTTTAAGCCTAAAACATTGACGTTAAGCCTAAAGTTTAATGTTTTTGATTCCAAGGCAAGGGCTTTGGGCTAAAGCTCTGGGCTCAGGCTGGGCTAAGCTGAGGTTGGGACAAAGCTAGGATATGGTTAAAGATAGGGCTTAGACTAGGATTAAGACTAACGCTGGGATATGGCCCTGGGCTGAAAATAGGGCTAAAGCTAGAGCTAAAGCTAGGCTCAGACTGAGCTAAGGCTAAGTAAAATTAAAGCTGGAGCTAAAGGTAGGGTTAAGCTAAGGCTAGAGCACTTAAACTTACTATTATTCAAATACTCCAACAAGACAGCATATAAATTGTCACAATTCCTCGTATCAACCATTTCCATCCACAAAAAGTTGACCAACTCTTCCAATTTAGAGGTATCCTCTTCATTCAGGTCCCCAATCTCTTTCAGCATCTCTTGATATCGTAAAATCTTGTCGGATTCAAATAAGGGCTCCAGAAATTTCCATTCATCAGTAAATGTCATCAAACTTTGACATATTTCGTCTTTGAACAGCTTGATCCATGCTATATAGTACTCAACGTTGTTTGTTGACATTTCGGACTAGTTATTGAGATGAATATAATGAATATAAACTTGAATTGAATAAAGAGTAGAAGAAACTAAATATCTGAAAAAAAGAGAAAATTATTAGGTATAGACCACACTTTTTGCCATATTAGAAATGGCACAAAAGTCTTGTCGTCAATTTTCATTCTGTTGCATGGTAGTAAGCGACAAGACTTTTTTCACGCCTCAAAGTAACATTTGAAAGAGGACAGGCCTTGCCAAAGCGAATTCAGTTATAATTTTAATAAATTTATATATAAACCCAAACCAAAGCAAAGTTGAAAGTCGCCGGGCCATACCGACACACGTGTGCCCGAAGACCGGTGTCCAAAGCTACCCTAGATTGCTGGCCAAGCCAAAAAATTGTGCCTAACAAGACCCCTTTACAATCTTACTTTATCCAAAACTAAGAAAAGAAACAAGTTTGCAACAATTTTTTCCTGATCTTTAGGTATAAAATAACTACAATCAAACAAATGTCACTAATCAATCCCCCTTTTTCTAAAAAAAACAGCTTTACAGCTTCAAGTAACACCCTATAACATATAAAAACCCATGCTATCCATCAAAAAGCAACTTTGTAAAGTGTGAAGCCTGTCCTTATCCAAAAATCATTTATAAAATCGTTTATATCACAAAATTAATCTGCTTTTTGCGACCTCTAAATCACTAAAATCAACGTTCTGTTTTATCAAACAACCAGTACTGCAGGGCCGTTTCCGTTTGTTTATATTTGTGTTAAACTTGTCATTAAACTAGCCCTAAATAGAAAAAAGTGAAAAATATCGGATTGTTCAAGTAGTGATGTGCCCCCTATCAAAACAAATTTTTGCGGCATAAAGGCACAGAATTAATTGAACAACCTAATACAAAATCTTATGCCTTTTTGGCCGCTGGTCTTGTCTCAGCCAATATCCTATTTACAGAAACCTAAGCTAGGCCTTTGGAGTCTTGATTTGGTCCCTGTGGTCTTGGCTTTAGGTCTTGAGTCTCGGCTCTCGGACACGTGTGTATCAGACCGGTCCCTTTCAAATTTGGTTAGACCCAGCCTAATAAACTCCTTTCTAGCCTAGTTTCCATAAAATCCGATAAAGTAACACACTGTCATAAAGCATAATGCTAATGTCTAAAAAAGACTTGTCGCTTTTTCCCTTCCAAACACAATTAAAGTGACGACAAAACTTTTTTATACTACCATTTTTCTTGTTTTTTATAAATATAGTTCATTTTCACCAAAAATTACAGTGTAAAAAGGCCAAAAAACTATTTTCCATATCAAAAAAGCAATGTCCAACACAAAAAATCAAAAATAAAACAAAAAATAAAGAGGTATTCAACCCTTGATTCCACTTGATTTATCAATTTAATTTACAAATACGTAAGTAACATCAACAATTTAATACAAATAAAAACAGTTTTGAATAGAATATAAAGACAAACAATAAAAAGTAATAAAGAAAACATACAATACCTATTACAATATACCATAAAGTAAAACCTAACATTAAAAAGTAAAATTTCTACTATAGATTACTCCCTAAATATAAAAAAACTAACTGCTAGTCCAATTGACAACAATATATCTTGATTTTTCAAAATTTTTCTTAAAATTCATACCCAAAAACACAATTTTTTATCCAAAAATGATACCTAAAACAATAAAACTTCAAAATAGATGTTTGAAGATATATTGTTCTTTCTCTTTAGATCTAGTAACTCTACTAGATTCATACTGAAGAGTTAAATCTTCTTGGCATCAAATTTGAATTGAGATAAGATGTTCTTGATTCTGCTCAATGAGTCAATCATATCGTTGATTGACTGGGTTTGAGATTGAGTTAGGTCTTTGTCGATGGCGTAGACACTGTCGTTCAGGCCGAGCTGAAAGAGATTTTGATTATTTTTATCAAAATCTATCGACCATTTTATGAATCGGGGAAGGGGGTAGAAGGTAAGAGGTAGAGGGTAAGGGATAGAGAGTAGGGAGTACGGGTTAAAGGTAAGAGTAAGGGTAAAGTAGATAAAAGTGGGCTTAAAGGTAGATGTACTGTTGAATTTGAAGTCGAATATGGAGGGTAAACCCCTTTTCGAACAGTAGGTAACTGTAGGAGTCTTTTTAAAAGTAAAGGTAAAACAAAGAATAGCTACCTTAACATAGTACTCCGATTCTAATAAAGCCGCTTCCGAAGAAGAAACCTCTTGTTTTAGAGCGTTTAACCCATCTTCCATCTTCTTGCATATTCCGTTGATCATTTCTTGAACTGATTTGAAGGCTTCGTTGCATTTTTTCTAAAAATATTCACCTTTGGTTGAACCAATTTCAATTTTTTCAAAAAAAAATTTTTACCCCTCCCCCCTTATAAATGCCCCCCCCCCAATTTTACCCCTCCCAACAAATTCCCTTGCCTCAAAAGGTGTCTTCAAGCACTGATCCGCGAGCAACAACCTTTAAAAAAAATCTCAATCCCCCCCTCAAAAATCAACCCATATTTTACCCCCCCCCCATCATCCCAATTTCACCCCTTCCACAACAATCTGTCTCACCTCAAACGGCGTCTTCAAGCACTGATTCGCGACCAACAAGTTTTCAATCTTCATGTCCACAAACTTGACCATCAGCTGAATCAAGGCCAATGTTGTTATGGCATAACTATAGTCCTTTAGCTGCTCTGTCACTCCTTCACCTTTATGCTCTGGTACAATTGGAGTTAGATCTAGGCTATTTAGGGTTTCGATCACATTTTTTGAGGCCTTTTCCGTCGATTCTTTTGTGTTTTCCTCGATTTGGAATAGATTACATCCTCCTTCAGCGATTTTGATAATTAGATTTAGGTATGTGGAAGATAGTATTTTGGTCCAAGATGGTTCTATAAAGCCTTGGAGGTGCTTGCACTGAAAAAAAGTTATAATTACATAAAAAATTTAGAAAATAGGGTACACCTATATAAAAAATACAAAAAAACCTCTTTTTTTACATATTACCCGTAAGAAAATGCCTATTTTTCATATTTTAAACCTAAAATTACTCTATTTTATTAACTGCATTAAAAATAATACCCTGCCGTACCTTCTATATTACAAATACGTACCTTCTATATACATTATCTTCAAGTTTTGTTCATTTTTCTTCAATATTACCTATGATAATATAATTTTCCACCCAAAATTCAAATTTTTTAATAAAAAAAATTAAAAACACATGATATTCGACCCCTTTTTTCAACCATAACCTAATTTTTAATACCTAAACTTCAAAATCCAGTTTTTTTTTCAATTTTAAACCAATCGAAAATTGTGTTAAAAACCTACATTTTCAGCCGTCGGATACTTCAATTTGCACTGTTCCAGTTTATTTTTAAACAATTTAAAGTTGGTTTGAATCACATCCAATGGTATGTCCTCCCAGCCGATATCACTCACCACACGGCACAAATAGTGACGGAATTCAACCATGTCTAACTGTAAGAAGTCATGATTAATATAACTTAAAAAAGTATATGATATTATCATCCAATATCAAAATTTTTGTTAATTAGGTAACAAAACGTATTCTAACCTCATTTTTTTACTTTAATCTAACTCATTTTAAAGGCTTCCGTAGTATAAACCAGCTTAAAAAGTCTTGTCGCTTTTTACCACTGTCTGGCCCAGTAAAAAGCGACAAGGCTTTTTTAAATATTTTTAACAGCCTTTAAGTATTATAAAATTATATAGCTTCAATCTACTACAATATAAACTATATAATCCTTCAACCATAACTCCCCTCCCCCTCCATTGATCCCCTTAAACTTACCATCTCCTCAAAAGTAGCCTTTCGAACCTCTTCAGTAATATCTTGATTATAAAAAGCGATTGAATTCAGTACATTGTAATCCCTGGTATCCTTTAGCTTATCAAATTCGATTGGTTGGTCATCTCCTTGTAATGTGAAAACCGCCATTTCTAATGTAGTCACAGCAAAACATGATGAATATATTCTGTTTGCCACATCGGCCGCGACCAAATATAACGAGTTGTTACAGTTTTGAGAAAATTCGACTAGTTCTGGAATTTGGTCTACCGTGCCTGATTTGTAGGCGGCTACGTAGGAGGCACCGATCTGAAAAGGTAAGATTAGCGAGATAAAAGTAAAGTACGCGTATTTTACCAAAAAATGCGTATTTTAGCGCCCCCCCCCCTAAAAATTATAAATTCTCATCTTTACCTCCCGATCATTGGCATCAGCAAAGGCCGATATGCCAGTGTACTGAATGATGGCTTCTTTGAACCGTCCACTAGCTTCAGCCAAGCCAAAGTTGAGGTAAGCCAGCGAGTCCTTCTGAATGTACTTCACATCCAGCTGTCTTAACAGCTTTTCAACTCTGTTCGTGTTGCCCAAAACTCCATGTACTCTTATCAGTAAGACCGCTGTGATGTAGCTGTTCGAGAAAGTTGAGTAGATGTGTTCTAGATATACAGCCAACTCTTGGATCGCTTCCTGACTTTGTGAAGCTTTTTGTTGATGTTCTTGAGCTTCTACTCTCTCTTCCTCAATATAAACTAACCATAAAACATTAGAAATGACTAGTGATACCGCCATTCCGAGGAAAATGTCTTCTGTTTTGGTTTTATTCAGTTTTTCAACCAAATTTGCAGAGTATTTGCGACGTTCTTCGGCCGATTCGGTTTGGATTTGACCGTATGTGCAGCGAAGAAGCTCATGCATCATTTCTGGGTATGTCAACTTGTCCTGCAATTGATTTAAATTTTTTAAAATGAAACAAATGCTTTGTAAAGAAAGTTCTTGCAATTTTTTACAGTTTAAAGTAAGTTCACGCCATTTTTTGTTTTGTAAAGAAAGTTTTTGCCATTTTATGATTTGTAAAGAAAGTCCTTGTCATTTTATGTTTTGTAAAGAAAGTTCTTGCCATTTTATGTTTTGTAAAGAAAGTTCTTGCGATTTTATAATTTGTAACGAAAGTTTTTGCCATTTTATATTTTGTAAGAAAGTTCTTGCCATTTTATGCCTTGTAAAGAAAGTTCTTGCCATTTTTTGTTTTGTAAAGAAACTTCTGGCCATTTTGTTTTGTAAAGAAAGTTCTTGCCATTTTTCAATTTGTAAAAAAATTTTCTTGCCAAGTTAAGCACCGGAAAAAAAGTTCTTGCCATTGTATGTTCTGTAAAGAAAGTTCTTGCCATTTTGAGATTAATAAAGAAAACATCGTATTTTACAAAAACCTTACATTATCCCCCTCGACCTTCTCCTTGACATAATTTAACAGTTCTTCCTTTTCCTTATCACTTATCAGCCCTAGAAACTGTGCCATTTCCTTAAAACAATATGGTTTGTCCAATGAGGTATCGATCAGTGCCTTCAGATTCTGTAGCACTCCACCGTAGCTATTCGAATCGAGGTTTAAAGAGTGAAGTTGTTTTAAATACATGCATTTTATGATTAGTAACGAGTGCTTTTGGTATGTTTTTTCGACCGATTGTTCCACTTTCTTGATCATCTCTTGGATTGAGGTTAAGACTCTGAAAATGGTTTGTGTTATAGTAGGTAAAAAATGCTTTTTCAGGTCAGGTTAAGTCTGTTTAAAGAAAGTTTTTGCCATTTTATGCTTTTTAAAGAAAGTATGTGCCATTTAAAGCTTTGTAAAGAAAGTTATTGCCATTTTATGGTTTGTAAAGAAAGTTCTTGCCATTTCAAACTAAAAAGCCAAAACTTTTTTCAAATTATCCTAAATAACTTACCCCTGTCTCAATTTCTCATCATCCTTAACCTGCTCCAGCACTTTCAACACCTCTTGCCATATCTGCAGATCAAAATTGTTCTGCTCAAGACACACAGAACATTCCTTCACAACCTTTTCGTATTCCTTCAGTTTGTTCAGGGTTTCAATTATCTTCATTTTCACATCATCTAGGTTAAGATTCTGCTTTTCTAGCTGTCCTTTTAGGTAATCGTAAACTTCTTTGTACTTTTGTTGACCTTCCAGGATTTGGACGTATAGTGAAGATTCTAAAATATGTTATTAAGTGCAAAAAAGGCATTAGATCTTCCTATTAGGTTGCCCAAGTAATTCTGCACCCTTAACTTCAGCAAGTTGCTTTGAGAGGGAGCACAGAATTATTTAAACAACCTGGTAAAATAAGTTTAAAGTTGATAAATAATATAAATCTTTGTAAAGAAAATTACCTGTTCTAGTTGGCTTTTCATTGTTAGACAAAGCTTTCTCAAACATCTTTTGAGCTAATGGAAAGAACACTTTGGAACCCATAGTTTCATTGTTTAATGCCTAAAAATACCCATTTTTCTTAACTCTCAATGATAATATAGAAGAAACTAAAGAAAGGATCTGATCGCTATATCATAATATAAAAAATTTACCTGCATAACCAAACTGCTGATAGTCCAATAAAGATACTCGGAGCTATGGAACTCCTTTGACAAAAGCTGTGCTACCCGTTGTTGATTTTTGTAGTCTTTGACCCGAACATAAGCAACAAATAAGTCTTTCAACAGATTTTCACATCCAGGAAATTGCTTATTAACGTCTTCCAAAAAAGATGCTATCCTAGATGGCACATAGGCTTCCTGAAAGGAAAAAGAAGTCACAGACAATATAAATTTGAACTGGGACTTTAAAAAATATTTTAAAATCAGATAAAAATTGAGATTTGGTGCACATTTGACGTATTTTACAATTTAAAGCGGGAATTTTCAAATTTAAAAAGAAAACACTTATATTTCAGAATCTTGCTACCTAAAACAATATATATGATGCTTCAGTCTCCAAAACTTCATATTATTCAATACCAGAAAATCAAAACACAAACTAAGGACTTACTTTATAACAATGAACAACCAATTGTATAGTATTTTGATCAAAATTTCCCTTCCGAACATATTCATCACATTCCTCAACCAATGGCCAGGCTTCTGCCGTTCTTTCAGATCTTACCAACGCCAAAGCTTTCAAACCTTTGGCCGCGAATGTTTGTGGATGCTTCTTGAGTAATTTCTCAGCTTCTTGAATCGCTTTCTTGTTGTTTCCATTGTCGACAGCATCTGAAACATTGATATCGTTGATAAGAAGGTAAAAAAAGCCTTAATTTTTAGACTGTTTTATAGCTATTTCAAGTTAGTTTTAGCTTTTATAAACTAAATATTGCTTGAAAAACGTGAAAAACAGTCTCATATTGACTATAGAATTTTCGAGCGTCTTCCAGAATTATTCTAATCACAGAAAACGCAAAGAAAACCTTACCGTAGATTGGTTTCAGCCTCCTGTTCAATATCACTTGCTCGCTGTTGTTTTTATTGTTGGCCATAACTCGAAGCAACCCGTATGTCTTCTCTAAAAGTAAACGCATAAAGCACGTACAAGCATTTTAGCAAAAGAAAACAAATTCTCGCAAAAGGTAAATAAATGACCGGTAAGGAAAAGTCCTATATCGATACCTATGTTGTCAAAAAGTCAATTATTAAATAAAAAATACAAAATAAAAAATAAAGAATAGATAAGAACAATAATACCCACAAAAGAAGTTTTGGAAAAGACACTTTTCTTATGTAAATGGCCGCAAAAATATTTTTAGAACAAAATATTGTTTTTGACACTTTCAACGTATAACTTGACGTTCGCAGGCTGCAAAGAACGGAGCGCATCGTGCGAATGTTTCTATTGTACAGAATTGTAGTTACTACTGTAATACGGTAAAAAAAAATGAAAATGTTGCAAAAATATTTATTTTAAACATTCTTCTTTTATATTTTACTTCTTAAGCAAAACTTTTACTTTTGAGTATGTTATTGTATCTGATCGAAACTTTTGCTTCTTTTGTGTTATATAAAGTTGAATTTGCTAGTTTGAAAGAAACCTTATTCTAATCTAGACAATCGAGGTACCATTGTATATTTTTATAATCCAGAAATTGATGCTTCAAAAACTGTAGCAGTATGCCAAACATTGAGCGCGAAAATAAAGCGCGCTCAGCATTTTTCGAAAAGAAAAATATTTTTTCCTCGAAAATTGTTCACTTCCATATTCCTCAACTAACCAGCACTAGAATAAGGTGTTAACATGTCGGACAATAACTCTGTACGTGCTCCTTCTCCAACTCCAAGTGGTAAGTAACTTACATTGTACTAGATCGTTTTTCTCTTGTTAATTTAAATTTTGAAGGTTGATTTTATAAAAAAATATTTTCAGATGCCAGTGCCTTGAACTATGGCTCAGAATTTGGTGGTTCCATGGTGTCAGCCTTCTCTCACGCTTCCCAGAACACCAACCGATCTCAAGGTCGGAATGGTCAACGTGTTCGTGCGGATTTGGCCGGCTTGGCCAATTCGAATCATCGTACGATTCGAGTGGATCAAGTTGATGATGTGTTGAATATGGAAGTTGATGAAAATCAAGCTCCCGGCCAGAAAATGTACATTTGGGGTACTCGTATTGCCGTTGATGTTGTTCAAGCTCAATTCAAAGAGTTTATCAACAGTTTTACTGTAAGTTTTTTTGGGTTTTTGTTGATTTTTAGGTAAAATTCGAATGCTACTTTTTGGAGGGTGAAATGAATGGTTTTCTAAGCAGATTTGTTGAGATTTCCAATATATTTGAGTAGTGGTCAATTTTCCTATACCTCCAAAGAAAGCTTCACTATGCAAAACCTCGACTAAAACTCAATCTCTCTTTCAGGCGGCTCAAGTAGATGAAGATGAAACCACAGCAATTGGTGAGGATGGTAAGCGGACTGAAATGAACTTGAACGAACCTTATTATATTCAACGTTTGGCTGAAATCAGTATCTCTGAAGTTCCTGTACTGAACCTCAATTTGGGTCATGTTAAGCAGTTCAAGGAGTCGTTATACAAGATGATTGTCTCATATCCAGCTGATGTGATTCCATATCTTGACATGGTTGTGAACGAGTTGTTTGAGAGTTTGCACCGTAAATTGTTGTTGCCAATTGAAGTTCGACCTTTCAATGCTGAACAGACCAAGAACTTGAGGGATTTGAATCCAGAAGGTTGGTTTAAGGGTTTCTTGGCTTAGAATTACGATAGAAAGGAGAATATTTGTTATTTTAGGTATTGAAACGTCAAAAATTTATATTTTTTGGTAAAAGGAGGTGAAATTGATGTTTCGGGCTAAAATTTAGATATAAATTCAAAAAAGTGATGTTTTTGATTCTTTAAAGTTAAACTTTTAAATGTTTTAGATATTGAACAACTGATTACGACCAGTGGAATGGTTGTGAGGATCTCACCTTTGATTCCAGAGATGAGAGGAGCTTACTTCAAGTGTTCCATCTGTAACTTCCCTGTAAGCTTTTATAACTAATTTTTTGATGTTTAGGTATCAAAATTGGTTTTTATATGAAGCGCTTGACTATGTAAATGCTTAGGATTACTAAATTTTGTATTTTACGTGATTTATATTAACATGGATTTTATATATGATAATATAAATCACGATTTTTACCAACAGGTCAATTTAAATTATGATTTTCGATGAAAAACTACATTTCCCTTACTTAAACCTAACATTCTCTAAACTTTTAGACCGAATGCGACGTAGACCGAGGACGAATTGAAGAGCCAACCACCTGTACCAACTGCAGTAACTCGATGTGTTTCCAAATCATTCACAATTTGTCTGTTTTCCTGGACAAACAGGTCGTCAAACTTCAAGAGATTCCAGGAGACGAAAACACTGGTCATACCCAACACACAGTCAACTTAGTTGTTCATGGTGCTCTGGTGGAAAATGTACATCCAGGAGATCGTGTCTCAGTGACCGGCATCTTCAGAGGTAACTTCAACAAAGTTCATCCGGCTAAAAATGCTCTGAATGCTATTCTGGCCACTTCTATCGATGTTCTACACTTTAGAAAGATGAATCAGAATCGGCTGCACGATGTTAATGATGGGTAAGTGGGTTGGGAAGGTTTTGAGGTTTGAATTGTAGAGTTTTGGTGGGGTTTTTACTGATTTTTTAAAGATTTTTGGTTATTTTGGCTTTTTGATAACGTTATTTGAAGACAGATCAATTTAAGATGGAAAAATATGTTGAAAAGCAACAAGACTTGTTCCAACAAGATTATAATATTCATGTTTTTCAGAAGCTACTTGACAGAAGAACGAATCCAAGAGATCCTCAAGCTCTCCAAAGAACCAGACGTCATCCACAAGCTTTGTGGAGCCATTGCTCCTCAAATCTTTGGCCATGAAGATGTAAAACAAGGTCTTCTCTGCCAACTCTTTGGTGGAACTCGAAAACCAACCAAAGAAAATGAAAATCGGTCGAAACTTCGCGCCGAAATCAACGTTTTACTGTGTGGAGATCCAGGAACGGCCAAATCACAGTTGCTCCAGTACATTTACCGCCTCATGCCTCGCTCCCAATACACGTCAGGCAAAGGCTCATCAGCTGTTGGTCTAACAGCATCAATTGCTCGAGAACCAGAAACTAAGGGTGTGGTACTACAAACTGGTGCTCTGGTTATGGCCGACAATGGAGTGTGTTGTATTGATGAGTTTGATAAGATGACCGACTCGACTCGCTCGATTCTGCATGAAGTCATGGAACAACAGACCTTGAGTATCGCCAAAGCAGGCATCATTTGTCAGCTGAACGCCAGGACTTCGATTCTGGCCGCTGCCAACCCGATCGGGTCGAAATGGGACCAGAAGAAGACCATCATTGAGAATATTAACCTGCCTCACACATTGTTGTCCAGGTTCGATTTGATCTATTTGATTATTGACCCAAAGACTGAAGAGTATGATAGGAGATTGGCTCAGCATTTGGTCAACTTCTATGTGAAGAATGAGGAACAAGAAGAGGTTCAGGCGACTGTTGATATTGGATTGTTGAGGTAAGGGTAGATAAAGGCTGTGATTATGGGTTGAAACGTCTGGGAATGACTGTTTTGAAGTAGTAAAGGAATGCCTATATCTTTGAAGGCATTTATTTAGTTTAAAGTTGATTTGAATGGTATAATAAGGCCCTTTTGCTACTTTTTTGTAAATTAATATGGTTGAAAATTTTTTATCAACTAAAAATTCAACCTTCAGAGACTACATTGCCTACGCCAAGGAGCACATCAACCCAAAAATCAGCGAAAAAGCGGACCAAGCCCTCCTACAATACTATCTAGAGATGAGAGAAGCCGGCAAACGAGCAGGCCACATCACCGCCTATGCTAGACAACTGGAATCTCTCATCAGACTGGCCGAAGCCACGGCCAAGATGCGCCTAAGCGAATGGGTATCGAAGGAGGATGTGGACGAAGCCTACAAGCTCTACATGAACGCTCTCCGCCAGTCGGCCGTTGACCCGGACACTGGTTACGTAGATGTAAGCATCCTGGCCACAGGCGTGGCAGAATCAACCAGACAACATGCTGCTGCCCTGTCAGAGAAGATTATCAAGTTGTTCAGCGCAAAGAACCTACATCAAATGAGTGTAAGCAAGCTGTTGACTGAAGTCAGGAATGATGATACTACGATTGATAAACACGTCTTCAATGAAGCATTGCAACTGTTGACAAAGGAACAGAAAATCAACCGTGCTGGTGATAAGATCACTTTGGTGGCTTGAGTACTTAAATCAGGCTTTTAGCTTGATACTGATATTATGGTTGCTTTTTGGCTTGATTTTAGTCTTAAGCTCAATCTTGTGGCTTGATTTTGGTTTTTAATCGATGTTACAACTTCGTGCGGATCTTAAAATCACTTTTTTGGCTTGAGTACTTAAATCAGGCTTTTAGCTTGATCCTGATGTTATGATTGATTTTTGGCTTGATTTTGGTTTTTAAATCACTATTATTTCTTGATCTTGATCCCAAAATTACTTGTTATGGCTTGATTTTTTCATATTTTATTCAGTTCGATCTCAACTGTACTTTTTTCTTTTAATTACTTGTTTAAAGTCTTGTCGCTAGTTAGCGTTGATTGGCACGTGAAAGAACGACAAGACTATTAAAACTTTTAGTATATGATTTTTAAAAGTTTCTTTTTGAGAAGTTTTTATGTACTTTTTCATATTACAATATCAACATACATTCACCTTACGTACTAACATACAATAAATAATTTATCATATTGTTTTAGGTATTTTTAATCTTTCAAGTTGGCAGGTTTTGTTTATATATTTTTAATCTTTCAAGTTGGCAAAAACTCGTTTTCGGTGTTATGATTTGAGAAGGGTAAACCAACATAAGATGTCGAAAAATAGCGAAGAAATATTTACATTACTGTAACTCGACGAGTAATGGAGCTACAAGAGCAAGCGATACAGTTTCTGAAAGCCCATAAAAAATGACACCTTATGTTGTTTTTGTCCGGATAACATATAAAGAGTTTTTTTGTAATACTCGATCGTATATTCACCATGTATAACATAGCTAGTAAATATTTACATTACTGTAACTCGACGAATTATACAGTTACAATAGCAGACGATACAGATTCTGAAAGCTTATGAAAAATGACATCTTATGCTGGTTTTGCCACAATAACTTATAAAGAGTTTTTTTGTGGTACTCGATGGTATATTCATCATGTATAACATAGCAAGGAAATATTTACATTACTGTAACTCGACGAGTATAAGAGCTACAAAAATGAACAATACAGATTCTGAAAGCTTATAAAAAATTACATCTTATGTTGGTTTTGCTACAATAGCTTATAAAGAGTTTTTTTGTGGTACTCGATCGTATATTCATCATGTATAACATAGCAAGTATATATTTACATTACTGTAACTCGACGAATTATACAGTTACAATAGCAGACGATACAGATTCTGAAAGCTTATGAAAAATGACATCTTATGCTGGTTTTGCCACAATAACTTATAAAGAGTTTTTTTGTGGTACTCGATGGTATATTCATCATGTATAACATAGCAAGGAAATATTTACATTACTGTAACTCGACGAGTATAAGAGCTACAAAAATGAGCGATACTGATTCTAAAAGCTTATGAAAAATGACATCTTATGCTGGTTTTGCCACAATAACTTATAAAGAGTTTTTTTGTGGTACTCGATGGTATATTCATCATGTATAACATAGCAAGTATATATTTACATTACTGTAACTCGACGAGTAATAGAGCTACAAAAATAAACGATACAGATCCTGAAAGCCCATACAAAATAGCATTTGATGTTGGCTTTGCCACAATAGCTTATAAAGAGTTTTTTTGTGGTACTCGATCGTATATTCATCATGTATAACATAGCAAAGAAATATTTACATTACTGTAACTCGACGAGAAATGGAGTTACAAAAACAGTCGATACAGATTCTGAAAGCTTATGAAAGTCGACATCTTATGTTGGTTTTGCCACGGTAGCTTATAATTAAAAAAATAGTGCCGCCACTGACATCTAGTGTTGGTTAGTGTTGACACTAATTATTAGTGCTGATACAAAAAATATTTTAACTCTAAATCGATGATTTGAAAACGTTAGCCTTACAAAAAGTCGTAAAGAATTCAAAATTTATAAGCAAACAAAAAATTACAAAAAAAAATGAAATAAAATAAACTATATTTTGAATATAACTAAAGGATTCGGTATGGGTTAAAGTGCTTGACATTGAGCACACGGGTTACGATCGCAATCGAGTTGTCTCGGCAAGCACTTATCTTGATTCCACTCGACTTTCTGACTGATGCACGTTGGGTACATTCCTTTTAAGTTGTCGATATCACACAACAGTTGCTTGTATTTTGCGCTTCTTTCCAATAGTTTCTGGGGTTGTGAAGCAGGGTCTTTGTTTAAACCTGGATTAGGTTTGTGGAAGAAGTTTCGCATTCTTTGAAACCATCCACGTTATTCTCTAAAAAGTAATAAAAAATATTAAAGGTTTGTACGCTCGACAACTCACATATCTCTTACTGACACTAACTTTGGTGCATAAATTACAATAGGTACTGACACCAAAACCAGGTGCCAACAAAGCATGTATATAAAAATTAAAAAATAACAGCTCCTTACTGAATTTCATTATTGGACTTCAGCTTTTCCTCGGCTTTTCATACGCACGCTCCAACCGACTCCGGCAAAGTGTTTTCTTTAAATTCACGCTCTGTTTCACATTCAGTGCTACTGGAAAAGCAATACATGTCGCTAGTCGAATTTCTATTTATCGTTTTCTCGTCTGTTGACACAGAATTCCTATCCGACTCCGGCACTGATCCTTCCTCGTGAATATTTTCGCTGAAATGTAAAAAAATTAAAAGATTCGACCACTCTGACACCATCAACTTCGTGTCGACACTAAACCTAGTGTTGGTATATCAACTCTAAAAGTAGCAAAGTTTGGTCCCAAAACAACAACAAATTAACTTACAAATCTCGCTTATTTCTTCTGAGGCAAGATACCATTTTAAGGAACCAACCAGTCTTCTTTACTCTAATGGACTTTGGTTTTGATTCGCTGATACAACATTCGCTGAAATGTAAATAAAGTAAAAGTAAAAATACTAAAATGCTAGCAGTGTTTGTCCCCAAAAACAAAAAAGCATACAATAACAACAAATTAACTTACCGAGCTTGCTTATCACTACTTTTTGAAACCATTTGGTATTCTTCCGGTTGATCGACTTTGACACCACGGAATGATCGCTGAAATGTATAAAACGAAATAAAAGCTGACAACACTTCAAAATAGTGCCGACACTAAAATCCAGTGTTTAGAATAATAACACTAGATTGTAGTGTCGGCACTGTTTTACAGAGTTGATATAACAGGACAAGATTCCTAAAATAGTGCTGAGTAGTGCCCTCAAAAATTAAAGAAAAATTTTTCTCCATAAAACAAAAAACGTAAATTTACACTTAAATAACTTACCTTTTACCAACTCTTGGTGACGAATCTTCAATTTGAGCCTCAAACATTGACCACGACATTAACCATGAACCACATACTTCAGCGATTGATTCGTAATAACTTTTGTCAAACAAGGACCAGCCGTTAAACCAATCCTCAACCGTCTTTAATTTCTTCTCATGGCTTCGAATAATGATTTTCCTAAAAATAGTAAGATAAGGAATATAAATGCTAAAACGCACCACACAAAAACAAAACTTACTCAGCCAATGCATCGTATACTCCGAATGACGCTGGATAGTTATATACTGACTTTCTGAAACGTTGTTTAGTCGACCCAAAATTCCCCGACAATGTGACGTCGTCTGAACTGAATGAAGCATGCAACCTAAAATACATCAAAATTTAAATGTAAACGCAAAAACTTACAATTCATATGCTTCAAATATATTCACCTGCATCCACTGCTTCAGCAACATCCTTCTCAATTCGTATTTTTTGAGAAAAATATTTTAATTTATTTTCCACGTTCTGTTCGCGCCCGTTTTGTGGTCTCGGCGCGAAAACACGGGTGCTGAACAGAACATTTTAAATTTCGCGAAATATACTACGTTTGTGTTTTTTGCACTGTTTGTGGTGTTGGTTGGCGCTGAAAGTTGGTGCAAAAACGTTTTAATTATTATGTTTACGTTGTTATTATGCTTTATTCTGTAATTTTTTTTTACTTTAATTTTTTAATTTATGCAATTTAATTTTAAACTCAATTTCTTAATGTTTCGTCTTCAGTCGATTTTGATCGGTGGATCGGTGGTCAGTCAAGTTTGATTGTTGTTGTTGGACTACTGTTTATTGATGGGCGATGTTCGATTGTGTTTGTAGAGAACGATCCTGCAAAGAGAAATGGTAAGGTTTGATATTGTATATTGTTGGTAGGTTTTTTTCTGAGGTTTGTGTGAAGCCGTAGTGTTATAGGCCAACACTAATTTTTATTTTTTAGTGTTGGCTATAACACTATTTTTTAGTGCTGTTTTATAACACTATTTTTTAGTGTTGGCTTATAACACTAAAAAAATGTGTTGGCTTATAACACTAAAAAAATGTGTTATCTTATAACACTAAAAAATAGTGTTGGCTCATAGTGTTATCATTACTGTAAGTCGAGTTACAGTAATGTAAATTTTACTTTCTATATAATACATGATGAATATACGATCGAGTACCACAAAAAAATTCTTAATAAGTTATCATCGCAAAACCAACATCAGATGTCATTTTTGATGGGCTTTTAGAAACTGTATCAATTGCTACTGTAACCGTATTACTCGTTGAGTTACAGTAATGTAAATATTTTCTTGCTATATAATACATGATGAATATACGATCGAGTACCACAAAAAAATTCTTAATAAGTTATCATCGCAAAACCAACATCAGATGTCATTTTTTATGCGCCTTCAGAAACTGTATCGAATGTTATTGTAGCTCCATTACTCGTCGAGTTACAGTAATGTAAATATTTCCTTGCTATGTTATACATGATGAATATACGATCGAGTACCACAAAAAAACTCGTTATGCCCCTTACTACTGCTGACTTAAGCCGATAAAGCATAAAACTGTCAGTTACAGTTCCTAAAGCTACCTAAAAAGGCTAAGAATTTAATTTATTAGACTTAAAATTATTAAAAATACTCTATAATAAGTATACGCAGTAAGCTATCGCAGTAAGATTGATATCACAGTAAGTAAATAAACGCGATGAATAATATGCAAAGTTGTGAGTAATCAATAGGAGACGTCGAATAGTCGGTTGATGATTATTTCGACCGACTCCGCGTCGTATTTTAGTTGTCGGTCGAGGTTGAAGTTGGCCGCTTCTTGGGAGTGTCTATAACAATATAGGTGGTGGGTATGACATTTATAACTAAGTTTTTGAAAATTTTAAACAAATAATACCGTATTTTTTATGTATAAACCTATTTTTGTTGTTTTAGGTCAATATAAAAAGTCAAAAAACTTGTCGTTTTTTACCGTGCAAACCAAGGCAAAATGGCAACAAGACTTTTTTGACAGAATAATTTGAAGCCTGACTACCTATATATAAACTGGCCATCATTGAATAGACCTTCATATCATAACTCAAAATTAAAAAAAATTTATTACCTAAAACTTTTAAAAATTTAATTTTTTTTTCAAAATTTCAAAACTCACTTTCTGGTAAACTCGATGTAAGGTGCCAAAACCAAATCTTTGATCCGTTTTCGAATGTATTCTGCTGTTGGCACGTCTACCACACAAAAGTGTTTTTGGGCGGCTATCACATTGTCAAATTCTTTGTTAAAATTCTGAAATGTTCAAAATGGAATTCATCGTATAACTTGTCACTCTCGGTCTGCATAACGCAAAATTTGTTTTCTTTTGAACAAAATGGCAAGAAATTTCTTTACAAATCATGAAAGAGTAAGAACTTTCTTTACAAAAAATTAAATCGAAAAAACTTTCTTTACAAAACATAAAATGGCAATAACTTTCTTTACAATACATAAAATTGCAAAAACTTTCTTTACAAGCCGCACAATAACAAAAAGCTTCCTTCCATTCTTCTACACTACTACAATATCCCTCAAAACTCCTATATGTACACCCCCACTCACCGCATATTTCGACTTGACACTGCCATTGGTGTTGTCATTCAGAACCGCCAGTACTCTATTCCAGCTCTCTAGGTACTTTTTCAAATATCCTGAGATTTGTTGTTCATAAAATGACACCAATTGAGCTGACTTCACATCCCTCGCGATTCGCTTCAATGGCTCTTCCTTGAGGCCGTTTTTGATGTAACTAAAGTTATTGAAGAGGAAGAGGGCTGTTAATGAGGGATCGGCGTAAGCTCCGGATTTGTTTTTGAGATTCACCCCGAGGGCCGCGAGGATTTGCGCTGAAATTGAAGAACAAATTAGGGTTTTAGGTATGATTTTTTAAATTAAAAATGGAAGGTACCCGACCTGCAACGCTCAGATTTCGTTCAAATTTTTTTTATTGAAAGATCATGTAAATGTAAGACCTTATGTAAAATTCTAAGTTGCAGTTTGCGGCCATACTTGAGAAAATCGAAATCAAAAAATCGCGTTTTGAATTTCCCGCCAACTTGGCATAGTGTTTTAAGCTTATAAATTTGTCGTTTTTTGACTTTTGACTATTTTTCTTTAATATAATAATAGAAAAACTTCAAATAAACCTGGAATTTTAAATTTGTAAGCCTATCTTATCGAGAACATTAAAAAAAGTGCTTGCAACACAATGCCAAATTTGCCAAATTGGCGGAAAATTTAAATGTATTAATTTTAAAACTTAAAACCGCAAACTAAGATTTTTTATATGTGCTACTAATACAACAAAGAGTCTGTATAAAAATTTTGAGCTAATTCTGCAATTTGCAGGTTGGGCACTTTCCTTATAAATAAAATTTTTGAAAGCCGGCGCTGAGACAGTGGTAAGATAATAAGCGTAGGACGGATAAAAGAGCTTACAAAACAATTTAGGTAAAACCGGTTCACTTCCATCCGCTTTGCCCGACCTTGTCATTACATTCACCACCACATTCTGATACTTTGCCAGGATTTTTAAAAAGTTCATCGTATTCGAAGTGATTTCATGGACATTGCCATCTTCGGGCACAAATCTCATATGTTCATTAGTTAGATGGTCGATGAAATCGTTGATGACGTGAGCTCCTTTATTGAAGACATTGCGGCAAAAGCTTTGGTACAGGTCGGATTGGCCAGCATTTTGAGTTAGCGACGAGAGTTGGGCCGAGTGGACTGTTAGGAGGCGAACTAGCGGGATCATGGAGACAAAGTTGGATTCGAATTGACTTACTGGGGCCTGAAAATGAATAAAATTTAAAAAGAAACAGTTAATATAGTAAAACTTCTGTATAACGAACTCCTCCACAAGAAAAACCATTTGTCATTCATAACATGTTTTTTACCTTTTCCATGACCTCCTGTAACGGTTGACTTGCAATTCGTCGTACCAATTGGGCTTCAACGTCCACGTTTTGAAAGATTTTTGATGCTACTTCTGTTTCGATCTAAAAATGATAAACTTTACATTAGTAAATACGATTTTTGACTATAACAAACATACAAAGCTATATTTTTTTTAAATCTCACCTGAATCATAGCCATGACAATTGATAACGAAATAGCTGTTAGGGTCATCAGACTTTCACCCCATGGATCATCAGTTTGCCTTTCTCCAGTCTTTCCTCTTCGGAATGTGCTGAAAATTCAGTGTAAAATACGAAGAGCAGCGCTATTCGCTAAAATTGTTTTACAAAAAAACTAACATTACACTAGCCTAAGCTTTACTAGGTTACCTCAGCTTAGCTTATCCTAATTTCCCTATCCTTTGCTCTATGTCTCACATTACCGTACTGCACTCCTACCTTAACTCTTAATATCACTACGATAAAAATAGAGATATGATTAAGATTCATACTGCTATTACAAAACCCACCACCTCCAAACCCCTACCTTTTGATAAACTGTATCCTAGTGGCCTTATTCTGAGCGAAGCCTCTCAACTGATCGTTCGCCAATCTAATCGTCTTTATGATGTTCTGAGCTCTATTTGTGATATAATACTGTAGGTAATCTTGATTGTTCGTATTTTTATGCAAATATCGTCCTAGAATCGCCAACTTTGAGGTGTCTTTGATAGTCTGCAGCTCTGACAGTCTGGTGGATGAGATTTCTGAAAAAATTGTTTTACAGTACTATTACAGTATAGCATTAATCTCAGTTATTAATTATTTAAGCAAATATAATCAAATAGAACTGTCAAAAAAGTTTTGTCGTTTTTCGACTTGCAAAACAATGTAAATTGACGACAAGACTTTATTGACATGACAATGATCATAATTTTTAAATAAATATAAACATATATCCTCATGATAATCATAATATAGAAACATATTCACATTATAATCATAAACTATACCATAGTTCTCATCCAGACAATCAGCAATCTTCACTGGATCCAATGGTACCGTTTCAAATCGTACTGCATTGTTGAATTCTGTCTCCAGAAATGAGCAGCCAACTTCGAAACTCTCTTTCTAAAAGACGTTGTCATTAAAAATGTCATTTTAACTTAACTTTGATTTTTATTTTGACTAAAACGACCAAAAAATCGGAAAAATTTTGAGCTTCGCTACCAATGTAGTTCGTTACCACGGCTATAGTAAGTTGAATTTAATGAACTAAGACTTAACTTGCCTTCAACTATATTTCCTAAATCATCTTACAACAATATAACCTCAAAATCCACTAAAATCTAACAGCTATCACATACTACAATATAACTTTAAATACTTATTGCCCACAAAGTAAAGCTTTCTGTCATAATCAAAAAAAGCTAAAATAAAACCTCGATAACCTTTGACAATATAATCTAAACCATCTACATAAAAAAAACTAAAAATATCATCCAAAAACCAACTCCAATCACCTACTACAATATAACTTATTATAAAACCACGTATATTGTTCTTAATGTCAAGTAAAACCCAAATTTCCCTCAAAAACAGCCCAGATTGATTGAAAAGTGTTTGCACAAACCATTGTATCCAGCTGCCCTTTATGGGCGGAATTGCGGCCAAAGAAAGCGATCGCCTCCCTCAATCCGTCCATTCGCTCCAGATATTCGGGTAGCGAGAAGTTGGCCGTCCCCCTTCGGAACGCCGACTCGAATTCCACGGTTTTGCCATAGAACTGTATGCTTGCTTCGACGATTCCCAACAGTTTTTTTACGTCTGGAAACAGATGGGTAGGCTGTTTTCAAGATCTTCGTGGATAATATACGAAAATAGGAATTTAAGGGATGTTTTAATACTTCTAATCATAACTTTTTTTAAAGAATAGGTAACAATTTAAAACATTGAGCCTATTTCGATCATACATTGCTCTAACTAAAACAAGTAACAAAAGTTTTAAACCTCGTGAGTTGAAAGCAAAGTTATAATAAAAATAAGTTAGCCTTCTAGCTCATTGGGATAACGTGTTCTTTTTATCATACAAAATTTTTTGGACAAAAATTTAAATAAATTTTTTATGCCAATAGTTTCACTATTACTCTATTAAACTTCTCACAAAATTCAAATTGATTTCGACAAAAGACCCTTGAGATATTAAACATTCCGTCTTTGACCACCTAAAACAATATAAATGACTCATAAAACCAATTTACTTTGTTGTTTCCGTTGAATACTCGTTGTCTTGCTACACAATGGTGCTACTCTAGCTCTGAGTTCATCAATTTGTTGTGTGAAGTTATCCAATCGTTTGCAAACATCTTCATTTATCCGCTGGTTCGTGGTTTGGCACTTTTGGAAGTCTTTTAGCCAATTTTCTTCCTAAAAATCAATAAAATAAGAGGAAAAATACTTACCTTAGCCAAAGTTTGTTGTAATTCATCCAAAGTTGGTACATATCTGTCTGGTTGCATGGGAAAGACGGTCGAAATCGAGATTTATATTGTTCTCGAGAAAATAAAATATTTATTTCTCGGCGACATGTTATACGAGGGAATGTGTGTTTATAAACCTTTTCTTGCGATTTTCTTGGATGGGGGAAGGTAAAATACGGAAAGGAATTTAGTTACTGACAAATTTATGAATACAAAACTAATTTTGTTACTTTACACTAGGCTTTTAAAGTTTTGATTTTAGAAGGTAACACTGGGCCAAATTCATTTACTCAATGATTCAGAATCAAATTTTACGTTTTTAAAACAATTGAAACTGTTCAGTAATAGTTTATTATCATTCTGTTGCAATCCTGTTTAGTAAACATTCGTAGAATGAGAAAAAACAGCTCAATATTTAACTAAAATTACACGTGGGGTGAGCATAGCTCGTAACAATACCGAAAACGGTGAAATTTAATTTAAAAGAATACTTGATCATAACATAAAAATACCAAAGCTTGATTTAACATCAATTTTTGACTTGGTTTTGTTATGTTCAAGGTTATAAAGGCTATTTAAATTAGGATGACAACTAAATTTGATAAGAAAATTGAAGATTATAAGGGGAAGAAGACTAAAATAAGGATAATATGGCAAAACTTATGTTAGACAAATGTTTTTAGGTTATGAGTACTTGTTTTTAGACGTATTTTAACATAGTAGAGCTTCTGCTTTTATATGAACGTCTTTAAAACGTCTTGTCGCTTTTTCCCGTGCAAATTAACGTAAATTAGCGACAAGACTTTTTAAACTCTTCAGAACTTTAGAAACACGTACAAGATAGCATGTTTTCTAGATGCAATCTATAACTAGGCCTCTGTTATTAAAGTATAAGACTATATAATACCTTTTCATAGACTATAAGACGACACAATACCTTATCATAGGCGACACAATACCTTATCAAGAGACATAGACAGACGATTTATTTGACTAATTATGGTAAAAAATGAAAACATTGATCCTAATGTAAATTCTTGCACATTGCTGGAAGGTCGGTCAGGATAGGTATGTTGAGGACACGACGCATCCAGACGGCTTCGCTCAAGTCGTTGACAGTCCAGGCACAGACACGGCGACCAGCTAGCCATTGTTGTTTTACAAAGGTCCTGCAAACTTAGGTATTAAAATTAGGTTTTTAGGTATAAAATGAGAATTTTGATTAAGATAAATATTATTTTTAAAAAAAATTGGATAACAAAAGTCATTTTATAGAACCAAAAAAAGTCTTGTCGTCGATTTATACGTATTCAAATAGTAAAAAACGACGTAACTTTTTTGATACTTAAAACTCGTTTTTGAGCAAAAAATGTCATTTTTGACCATTCTTACAAATTTCAAAAAATTTTTTTTTATTTTTAAAACTTTGAAGTTTTTTTTTTCAAAATTTTCAAAAACTTACGATGAGATATCCCTCCTCTCAGTCAGCATCATATCCACTCCCAAAAACGATGGTAACCATGTTAACAACGACCAGGTATACAGCACATCCACCAACATGGCTAACATAAGTCTTGGACCAACAAATCTCGGCTCCGTGGCGTCCAAATCCTTGTATGAGAAAAACCAACGGCGCCAGGTTTGACCGGTCAATATCTTTGGCGAATGACGTTTTAGTCGGTAGACGACTGTGGGGAAGAAGGAACATACGATGGCTAGATGGTAAATGTCGTAGCTAAAAAATTAACACGGTTATTAAGTTCAGAAAGTTGAATTCTTGAATTTTACCCTACCCTAATGTACCGTACCTTACCCTACCCTACCCTACCCTACCCTACCCTACCCTACCCTACCCTACCCTACCCTACCCTACCCTACCCTACCCTACCCTACCCTACTCTACCCTACCCTACCCTACTTCTACTCGCCCTTCCTATCCTTACTCTCCCTAACAATACCTGACCTTACGTTTCCGGACTGAACCTGCCCTCCTCTACCTAGCCTTAGTCTCTCTTACTCTCCCTACCGTACCTGATCCTAATCTACCCAACCTTTCCCTACCCTATCCTTTCCCTTACCGAGCAAAGATATCTTCCAACTGATCAACCAGGATTTGATCAGCATCCTTAACATCAAACAACATTTTCATATTGTTTCCCTTGGCCCACTGGACCAGCTCTTCCATCGTAGGCATATGAGTCTCACTAGTGCCATTATTATTGTTCTCTGCCTTAAATTTGGCAGCACAATTCACCTTCTTCAGCTCGCAATGTTCGTAATCTCGAATCAGGCCTGTCACATTGGTGGTACGGTCCAGAGTATCATCGTGTAGCAGTACTGCCACACCGTCTTTGGTCAATGAAACATCGAATTCGATCAGATCAGCGCCTTCCTTCTTAGCCAATTCAAATGATGGAATAGTGTTCTCTGGCTCAAGCTTGGGCGACCCTCTATGACCTCCGACTTTGAAGTCCATAAAGAACTTGTCGGCCTGAAAATTTGAAAATTTAATTTATTTAATTAAAAATTTTTGAAATTTTACTTCAAAAATATTAAATCGCAATAACTTTCTTTACAAAACGTGAAATGGCAAAAAATTATACAATAGAAAATGGCAAGAACTTTCTTTACAAGCTATAAAATGGCAAGAACTTTCTTTACATACCATAAAATGGCAAAAACTTTCTTTACAAGACTTTAAACAATAGAAACTTTCTTTACAGAATATAAAATAGCACGAACTTTGTCTACAGAGCATAAAATGGCAAGAACTTTCTTTATAATACATAAAATGGCAAGAACTTTCTTTACAAAATATAAAATAGCAAAAACTTTCTTTACAAAGTTTAAACTAACAAGAACTTTCTTTACGCAATAGAAAATGGCAAGAACTTTCTTTACAAAATATAAAATAGCAAGAACTTTCTTTCCAAAGCGTAAACTTTTTTTTACAAGGCTCGAACTAGTAAGAACTTTTTGTACAGAATATAAAATGGCAAAAACTTTAGTTACAGAATAAAAATGGCAAGAACTTTCTTTACAAGCTATAAAAATGACAAGTTTTAAAAAAAATCTTAAAACTTTAATAAGAAATTTAAAATTTTCATTTAAACTTGCGTTTCAAATCTTAAATTCAAAATTTTTTTGCCCAAAAATAAGTTGTTACCTAAAGTTTTCTTATTTTTAAAATTTTAAAAAACTTATTTTTAAAACATAAAAAAATTAATTTTGATAACTCACCGAATGCTGAGTCCTCCTGTGGTTCTTGAAGACGAAATAAGCGGCCAGCGCCATTAACGGAATGAAGACTGGCCATTTCAACAAAACGACCACGGCGGCGCCAAGTACTTCCATCATGTCTTTGAAACGACCTGCGTTTGAAAGATTAGTTAAAAGAAAAATTGCTTATAAAACCAACAGTTTTGCTTCAGGCAGCAAGTTGTTCAAGTTGTGTCAAAGTTGCTCAAGTTGCGTCAAAAGTTGCTCAAGTTGTGTCAAAGGTTGTTCAAGTTGTAGCAAAATTTGTATGACCAATTTGATTAATTTGAAAAATTTGATCAGATCCAAGCCAAAAAGACGACGTAGATGACAACAAGATGACAAAACCAACCGCTTGCTGCTTGGACTCGATAGAAATGAGTCGGATCGAGTAATTCAGGACCGGTGTCGAAGCGGATTCGTTGGGCACGAGCCAGAAAATACTGGATTCAAAACTTGTGTGGCTTTATAAGTGTTTGCGGACAAGCCGCGGTACGGTGTTAACCTGAAATACAGTATTTTAGTACAGGAAACTTGAAAGTTTTAGGTTTTAACACGGTCGCACGAATTGTAAACGAGCTGTAACTACCCTACACTACTCTATCCTCTCTACTCTACCCTATACTTTAGAAAGTCAATCTAAAGTTAATATTTTATGTAGTTAATATACCTTTTAAAGACAACCATCTACCTCTACTTTCCTTACCCCCCCAAGCCAAAAAAAATTTTTTCCAGAAAAAAATTTAGCTTGGATCACCCTGTTAAATTTTTTTAAAATTTAAAAAAATTTTTTTTGTGACAATTTAATTTTATCTACCCCAACCTTCTAATTTACCCCTATTTCTCTAGCTTTTCGCTTTTAAAACCCATTTTAAAACCCATAGTTAGACGCACCGCCCTTTCAAACAGAGGAATACCCTTGTGAGGCTCCGCCCACCACAAGCCGTGAGCCTCTTTTTGAGCTCAAATTTGATGATAAATATTGAATTATCAGTTGTTTAAGCAAACTATTATAAAAAGATTAGTTTTCTAGGTTATACTTTACTAAGTCTTTACTAAAATGTCACGTTTTTAAAATTTAAAATTTAAAAAAATTCTTTAATTTTTAAAATTAACTTTTTTTGTGCAAAAAAAGGCTATAAAATGACAATTTTGATGGAAAATTGATAGCTGATGACAGTTTAATAATAGAAAAATGTAATCAGCTATGGCTGCTATCAGACTCGATAAAAATAGTCTTCCATTGCTTTTTGTAGATAAAACAATACTACAAAAGAATTTTTGTTCTGGCAAGGTCAAAAATATTGAGAGAAAAACACGTTTTAGGCTTAACAACTCAACTTTAATCTTGTAGATTAAAAAAAAAGATGTTTAAAGATTGTCTGTAATCAAGGATAGTCTCTAAAAAAGGGGGGGGTGAGTTCGTTTTATCTGGGTGGGTGGGGGAGAAGAAGATTTTCCTCCACCTCTACAATTTTCTAAAACATAAGTTAAACTTGCATCCTCACTGATGATTTTTAAAACAAAAATGGCCACAAATAGCACTTGTGCCTACTTTTTAAACCTTAAAAACTTTTTCCAAATTTTTAAAAATCTTATGATACCGTTTCATTGAGACCAGTATCTGCAAGCCAAAAGTCTCTTAGAAACAGTAAAACTAATTATTACAATAAATACGTTTCCGAAACGTGACTTTTGACCTTACACTTTTGTTTGCATTTTAAATCAAACAAAAGAAACGATAGTTTTGATTTTAAAATTATAAAAGTATCAATTAAACTCTTTTTACTATTTTTTTCATTTACGACTGTTAAAACACGATCTAAACGACAAAGTTAGTTGTACTCAACAGAAAGCCTAGGTTTTACTCAAAAGTGTAAAAAACTTTTATTGATAATCTATATAGAGTAATATTATTTTTTACTTCCCTTGTGTATAACAAAATTGTTTACAACTTAAAATAAAAACCCTTAAAAAATATTGCTGAGTTTGCATATTTGTTATCAAAAATTCTTCAAATAACAGAGTATAATATGTTGTAGCGTATACAATACAATGATAAAAATGATATCAAAGTTAGAACACATATCAGGAAAAAATAAGAAAGTGCTCTTTGTTAGGGTTTTAAAAAATACACGTTTTACAAAAAAATCATAATTTTCCATGCAACTGTGGTTTCAGAAGGACACTGATAGGAGACGAGGGGGGTGTGAATTTACCCCATACTCCTTCCCCTCAAAAACTGAGGATTCATTTAAGTAGACAAAGCTTCCTTTTCTTAAAAGTTATGAATCTACCCTTTCTTCCCTCTTTTCTTCTCCCCTACTTTTTATTCCCCCCCCCCTTCTTCCTTCCCCCACTCCGTCTTCCCCACGCCTTTCTCCTATCTTTCAGAGCTTGGTCTTACCTTAGGTTTTTAAAGCAAATTAAATTTATAAAAAAGACCTTCTTTTAGGCCAACCAGGAACAAAACTAAAGCAACGAAAGCAAACCAAGATTTCTTCAAACCCTCGAAGGTTCAAGAAAAGTCCACACTATAAATACGAGCGATTTCAGAACACGAAGAAACCAGCTGTTCTTATGATATAATGAGAGCAAAGATTTGGGTTGGGAAATTGGTAATAATCTTTCAATTTAAAAAAACCTGAAAATTTTTAAAATTTTTGGTTAACATTAGGCTTAACTATAACATAATTCAAACAGATTTACTAACCCTGCCTTCCCTTGAACTTACGTACCCCTTCAAAAAAATTTTGAAAACTCACCCTTCCTTTAATTTTTTATTCAAAAGAAGACTATCAAGTCAAAGTTTAGATAACAAAAACCGATAAAAACGCAAATTTAAGCCTATAAAACTAAAAAATCTTTAACTTCTCACGTTTTCAAAAACCCGACCCCAACGTTCCACAGTCGAAAAGTCATTGAAACGCCGTTCCTACGGCTTTCCCAGGCAAACTGAGCCGGCAGAGATTTCTCCAGAGCAATAAAAGAGTGCAGACACATCGATTTTGGCCATGTTTTTCCCTCTCTCATTCCGCTTATTTTTTCCTTTCCCTAACGGCCGCTGGGAGAAAAAAAAACTCGGTCTTTTTTCGTTGTAAAGGATGATATAGAGAGGGCTTGGAGAGCAAAGTACTTGACTTTTAGGTCCAGATTTAAATTTTGAAGTAACAGAATTTAAAATACCCTACCCTACCCTATTCTACCCTACCCTACCCTACCCTACCCTATCTGACCTTACCCTCTCTGAACTTACCTACCCTGACGCTAGCTAACCTTTATTTCGCCCTACTTGACTTTTTTCTTCCCAATCTACCTGATCTTACTGTGACTGACCCTACCTGATCTTAGTATCCCGGACTTCTTAATGTGCCTGACTATTCCTGCCTTAACTTTTCCTGATCCTACTCGACTAATTATCCTACCCTACCTGACCTTACATTTTCTAACTCTACCTAACCATAAGTTACCTTATTCTACCTTATCACATTTCTACAGTACATATACTGCAGTAATATATTTTTCTCTACTTCATCCTATACTACTCTACCTTACTTTACTCTACCCACATATTTGTTCTACCCTTGACTCTTATTATACTAAACTACTGCTGTTAAAAAAGTTGCTGTTACTTATAACTATAACACATTAAGATTTTGCAGCCTCTATAGCACAACATCTCACCGTAACAGACTAAAATTTCATGTCTTATCTGGTCTTTCAAGAACAAACTAAACATAAACATGATTTATAAAGAGCGGTCTGAATAGAACAGTCAACAAAAACAAGCTTACTATAAAGTACAAAAACAGAAAACGAAATACGGTTTTACTAAGTTGTTGGTTGTTTACTACTCTACTAATTTGGAACCTAAAAATTTCAAATTTAAGTCAAATTTTTTCAACTTTTATTTTACCTTGCACTCTACCCTACACTACCCTACTCTACCCTATTGAGCTCTAATTGAATTTTCCTATATTACCCTCCATTGCTACAACCCTAACTTACTCCTCCCCAGCTCACAAATTTCATACCTCAAACCCCAGCCATACCAAAGAACTCCAATCCACAATAACCAGCCTCGTGTATCTTGTGTAATATCAAATATGACACGTTTAGATGCGGTTTTCTCAATTCCTATTTTTCAGCTCGATTTTCGCTGTTTCCCAAATGTCTGTCATTGACATTCGGTTGGAGCGCCATGCGCTTGAGCGATCGAGGGAACCCCCTATCGTTACAGATAAAACAAACAGAAAGACATTGGGAAACGAACACGGAAAACAAAATACGTTTTTCATAAGACTAAAAATAAGAATTTGGTTTTAAAATATGGCATAGTTAGATCAAAGTACGTTTTTTTAATTATTGAAGAGGGGAGAGAAGGGAGGGGGGTGGGGGGGTAGGGTAGAATTTTCATAAGGACTGGAGAAGAGTTAAAGAAGAACAGAGCTAAAGTTTAGACCAAAGTAATATAAAATTTATGTTGTTAGAGCAGTGTCTTAGGTAAGGGCTGAATAGACTTCGGTAACTGTGATCTACCTAACGTACTATATACTATATATTACAATAAAACGAAAATCAGAGTTTAAGTACTGTTCAGTACAATAGAACAAAAGAGAACATATGTCAGAAGTTCTTTCAAAATAATTTAAAAATAGTTTTATTACTTTAGAAGAACTGCCAAAAAATAAAAATTGATTATGATATTGTTGTGTATATGGCTTGATTATTGTAACAAAGTTACCCATGGCTCATGATCCTCCTTCTTAAAACAAGTTCTCTTAGCAAAGTCGGGTTCGATGTTTTGTCTACGAAAGTCACAGTTCTCGATTGTCAACTTCATAACCTTCCGTTGCTTTGGTGTGGCTGTGTACTTGATGCCATTGGTAGCAAAACATTCACCTTCTAATGGGATAGTCGGGTTGTTGTGGTATAGCTGAAGACAAAGGTTATTAGCTGAAGTGAAGGCAAGGCAAGGCAAGGCAAGGCAAGGCAAGGCAAGGCAAGGCAAGGCAAGGCAAGGCAAGGCAAGGCAAGGCAAGGCAAGGCAAGGCAAGGCAAGGCAAGGCAAGGCAAGGCAAGGCAAGGCAAGGCAAGGCAAGGCAAGGCAAGGCAAGGCAAGGCAAGGCAAGGCAAGGCAAGGCAAGGCAAGGCAAGGCAAGGCAAGGCAAGGCAAGGCAAGGCAAGGCAAGGCAAGGCAAGGCAAGGCAAGGCAAGGCAAGACAAGGCAAGGCAAGGCAAGGTAGAATAGTCATTACCTGAACTCTATCCATAAGAGCAATCATATCCTTGGTCCATTTGTTCTTCTTCTGGTAGTATTCAATCGTAGCTTTCAATCGTTTTTCGTTTTCTTTAAAATTTTTAAAATATTCATTACAAGCGGCCTCTTCTCCTTTGATTTTGCAAAAGTTGCGAAGCCATTGATCTCCTTCTTCGTGGTTTAGATTGTAGTACAAGGCGGTTGATGTGTTGCAGTACTCGATAAAACTGTCTTTCTTTTTCAATAGTCTTTGTAGTGAAGTGTAACGATAAGGACGGTCGATCATACCGTAGCTGGCGAGTGGGTACACTTCTACTCCATTGTACTTCTGCAAGTAAAAGTTTTTAGCTTGAAGATCGTTCTTTGAATTAGGTTGTTCAAATAACTGTAAAGAAGTTTAAACTTACCACAGCATCGCAAGCAACAACAGCCAAAACCGTCAACAACAAGCTTTTAGTCATCATTGTGACAAAGCAACAATACACACCATTCTCAAAAGCATATTGTTCTTATATACTGGTCAAAATTGAATAAATTATCCTTGGACACAATCGTAATAATTTTATGATACAGTATGGTCGGACAAGTTTATGCAAAAACGGTTTTTATTGTCATAGACATTTTATGACAAACTTGCTCGTTCCGCAATACTCATGTATAATGTAAGTTTTGCTATACATATAATAGTATTTTAAAGGTATAGGGTACTGTGACTAAAAAAAATATTTTTGAAACGATCGCATTGATTTTATGGTATTGTTAGACTAGACAAGTTATGGTAAAATAATTTTTATGGTTATATGCGTATGACAAGATAAGGTAGTAAAAACCTATTAATTTTAATTCTTTTTATTATGGCGTAAAGTTGTTGCGTTCAAAACACAGTTCAACTCCTATAATGACGAATCTCTCTATAACAAGAACTTTGGGTAATTGGCAGCTTTTAAATCCTTGATTAACAATACACAGTGCATTTAAAAATCCTCTATACCAAAATACGCTTCATAACGAACAAACTTAAAATCTTCAAGCTACTAGTTATGCAGGACTTTTATAATATATGAGCTAAGAAAAAAAAGAAAAAGAAGTTGTAGTAATTTATCAGCCTTGAAAGGAAGGGCAGTTTTAATCAGCACAAGTGCAATGAAACTCTTGTATAACAAATCGCCTGTGGGTTTAAACTTTTTTCGTTATACATGCGTTTTGTTATTAGATTTTCGATATATTATACATGGGTTTTCATGTACTTTTATATAGTGGTTTTTTGATTTACATAAACTGTTCTGTGTATAAAAAATCTTTCATTAAAATTTTTTTGGAAAGTTTGATATGGTGCCGACATAAAGAAACCGCCATTTTTTACACGAAATTACAGGAAACATGGCGGATTCTTTATGTCAGCACCTAATAAAAAAAAGTTAAAAAGTTTTGTTTTAAAAATTGAGAAATTAAAAGATGAAAAATATTGTTTATTACATTTTTTATAATTTACCGGCCGTTTGGAATTGTTTTTTAAATTGACTATTCAAAGATGAACTGTTTAAAAATTACTATGATTTTTATTTGTAAGTAAATAACTATTGTTTTGAATTTTATTATTTTTGAATTTTTTTTTGCATTTTAGGTACACTTTTTCAATTTTTAGGCTTATTTTCTTATTTTTAAAAATTTTTAAGACTTTTTTGGAAATTTAAAATAAGATTTAAAAGTATTTTTTAATACTATATTCCATTTTTTTAGTACTAAGCCTATTACAAGTTCAATTTCCTGTAGAATGCCGCGCTTTTCGTCAAGGAGGTCAAGGTACAGCTATAAGAAGACCAGTAGGAAGACCAGGATACCAAGGACGAGTAGTACAAAGTCGAGTGCCAGTACGTAGGCATGTCCATGGTCATGTCCCTGTAGCTCATGGTCACATTCATGGAGCTGTAGTGCATCCTCACGTTCATGTACCAGTTGTTCACGCTCATGTGCCTGTCGTTCATCCTCATGTTCATGTCTCAGTTGTTCATCCCCATGTTCATGTGCCTGTTGTGGTACCGCATGCTCATGTTGCTCCTGGATTTTGTTGGGGATGTCATAGAAGTAGGTTGTACTTATGAGCTCTACCTTGTAGTAGAGCGTTCCAAAATTTCTCTTATCAGCCACTGAAAGTTCAGAGCCGAAACATGAGCTAACCTCAAACTTGGGTTAATAAACCGAAGATATTATCCTTGCTTCTGCTCTAAAGAGAAAGCTCTATGTCTTTTCGAGTGAGTTTGACTCGACTTCGGGAGCTGTTCGAGCGATCTTCCACTCTCTTATATTAACCATGAGCACGCATATCCTTTTTTTTTACTCGTTATCTCTATCGTATGTTAACAATTGCGTGTACATTTAATTGTATTTAAACACATACGATAGAAATAAAGAGTGAACAGAAGCGTCAGCGCGCTCATGGCTAACATACGAGAGTGGAAGAGCCCTCGAACAACTCCCAAAATAGAGTCATACTCAACCAAAAAGACATAGAGTCTTCTCTTTCGAGCAGCAGCAAGGATAATATCTTCGGTTTATTAACCCAAGTTTGAGGTTAGCTCATGTTTCGGCTCTGGACTCTCAGTGGCTGATAAGAGAAATTTTGGAACGCTTTACAAGGTGGAGCTTATAAACTTTCTAAAAGTCTTACTACAAGGTGGAGCTCATAATTGACTTTCCTGACGTTTTCACGACTTTTTCATACTTTACTATGCTAGGGTAGGGTAGGCTCGGTTAGGGTAAGGCATCATTCCCGACGTTAGTTTATCCTACCCTGCACTACCCTGCTCAATCTACTCTACCTTACCGTACTGTACCTTATTCGTCTTTACATTAGCTATCATGACCGTACTCTTCCCTACTTTACATCCTAAATTGTCTAACATTCCTCTCCCCAAATTTTTTTCTTTCACAGAGATAGGGTATGACAAAGTTTTTACTTTTCCTTATATTATAATTAATGTTTCAGCTTACTTTGTTGGAGGCGGTGCACTATTAGGAGCACTAATACTGATCGGTGGTCTTTTTGTTATTTTATGGTGTTGTGGAGTTTTTATGGTGAGTTACGTTACTTTTTCAATAAATACATTGTTTATAATTTCAAAAAAATAAAAAAAAATTGTTTGCTTTTTTTGAAACTAAAATGCCATTTTGAGTTATACATTTCTCTAAATTTTAGTCATGCTGCGCAACACACGAAGAACCAGTAGTCGTATACAATTCATATGAACCTCCAGTTGCTTATAACACGTGTGAAAACGTTATGGTCGAGCCTGCTGGACCAACACCACCGCCGCCATCATCAAGAAAGCAAATCGTCATGGTAGAAAAGGCCTGATTTAGGCGTAAAAACTAAAATATGTTGATTTAGATTGAATAAATACGGGTATTGTGGTTTGGAATGAACAGTAACAAGCCCTAGGTCTACTATAAGGCCTAACCCTAGCTTTAACCATAGAGCTCTACTAGGAGAACTAACCCTAGCTGTAGCCTAGCTCTACTCGGAGACCTAACCCTAGCCTTGAGCCTAGCTCTACTAGGAGACCTAACCCTAGCCTTGACTCTAGATCTACTAAGAGACCTAACCCAAGCTGTAGCCGCCTTAACCCTGACTCTAGCCCTACTGACATAACAAAAAGGTACAACCAAAAACATAATAATGTAACATTTATTCAGATGCTACTTCCGCGGAGTGATTGTGGGTGGAGTTGCAGAGGTGGCTGGGGTTTTTTTGGCGTTCCGTTTCTCCAGTGAACCGCCTCGTTCCTTCTTCTCCGGCTCCTCTTTTGTGGGTTCCTTACGTCGCTTGTGCTCATCTGAATCCTCCGACTGTTCCGTGACTGTCTTCTCACGTTTGGCTGGCTGTCCCAACGCGATCGTTCGCTTCTTCTGCGGCTTCTTGGCTTTGGCTTCTCGGGATCGCTTCAGTTCTTTGATTAGTTCGTCTTCTTTTGCCTTTTTTTGTTCTCGAGACTCGTCTTCCCTATACTTTTTGACCTGCTCTTCTTTCCTTGCTTCTTCTTTCTTTGCGGCTTCTTCCTTCTTTTGTGCTTGTTCTTCCTTCTTTGCTTGTTCTTCCTTATTAGCTTGTTCTTCCTTCTTTGCTTGTTCCTCCTTCTTCGCTTCCTTCTGTTCCTCTTCTTTCGTTCTCTTCTTCTCGGCATCAGAATCCTTTATCCTCAAACTATCTTCCGTCATTCCTCTAGGCATAACCGCTTTGTGGGTATCGGTTTTGACCGAGTTCACCTCCTGAGCAATGTCTTCGGCCGTTTCGCACAAAAGTGCAAACTCTTCGGCTCCCATCGCCTTCACGTTGGGGATCGAGTTGACGGTACAGTTGCTGAGGAAGGGTGCCGGGTACTTGATGCTGGCCTGTAGCAGGGTTTTGCAAATTTGAGAAAAGTTCAATCGCTTCGAGGGGTCTTTGAGCCAGATTCCCTCCAGTACCAACTTCTTCATAATGTCGGGCGTTGTGCTGGGAAGTTCGGGCATTCTGCAGCGTCGGATGTGAGTGGCTATTCGTTTGTTCTCCCAGTCTGGCCATGGTTTTTGGCCGAGGGCAAAAATTTCGTACATTAGGATACCAAAAGACCTGAAAACGAAGATTTTAGGTAACAAAAGTTATATTTTTCTGAAACTTTTGCATTACAGAACTTCAAATTACTTAAAAATAAATTTTAGGTAACAAAAAGTCTTTTTAGGCCAAAACAGACCATTTTACCAAGTAAAAGCAAGAAAAAAACCTAATTTTAGGTAACAAAAACCAAAAATCCATCTAAAAATCCTTACCAAACATCAGAAGCCTTCGAGAACTTTGGCTTGGCACACAACGTTTCAGGAGCCATCCATCGTACCGGAACGGCCATCTTCTTGAAATCCTCCCCTCCAATTTCGTTTACAATTTTACTCAAACCAAAGTCGCCAATTTTAATCACGCCATTCTTACTGATTAGGCAATTTCTGGCGGCCAAATCTCGATGGAGGACATTTCTAAAATCATATACAAAAATTTCAAAATTTTAAAAATCGATAACTTTTGTGACATTTCGTCAAGAAAGCAATGAAAATGTTGACATTTCGTCTGATAAAAAGCTTTTTAAAAAAATTTTAAATTAAAAAGAAGCTTCTCTAAAACCAATAAAATCTGTGACATTTTGTCCAAAATCAATAAACGATTTTTGACACTTTGTCCAAAATCAATAAACAATTTTTGACACTTCGTCATATAAAAAATACAACAAAATGAACTTTTAACAGTAAAACTTACTTTGAATGCAAATGATTCATGCCTTCGGCCGCTTCGCACGCAAACTTGACTTTTTCGCCCGTCGATATTGTACTGCCGGCGTTCTGTAAATGACCAAGCAATGCTCCACCTGGACACACTTCCATCACAATCATCACTGGGTTCTGGTCACAACAAATTCCGTAAAACTAAAAATTTTTCAAAATTTTTTTAAATTTTAAAATACTTTTAAAAAATTTATCCCGCCTTGATGCAAAAAGAATTGCGTGTTTTCAATTTGATGCAAAAAAATGAATTATTTTCCACCTGTTGCAAAAATAATGGCGTACTCTAACTTTGACGCAAAAAAAAGCGTATTTTCAACTTGATGCAAAAAGAATGGCGTGCTTCAAAATAGATGCAAAAAAAATGGCGCATTTCAAATTTGATGCAAAAAGAATGGCTCATTTCAAATTTGATGCAAAAAGAATGGCTCATTTCAAATTTGATGCAAAAAGGATGACTTATTATCAAGTTGATGCAAAAAGAATGGCGTACTCTATATTTGACGCAAAAAGCGTATTTTCAACTTGATGCAAAAAGAATGGCGTGGGCGCTTTGAAGCCTAGGGGCAATTTTAAAACCAAAAATTCATTTTTTCAAAAATTTTTAAGGTTTACCTTGATAATATTGGGATGGTCGATACTTTTCATCAAATTGGCTTCAGCAATCATGACATTGGTCTCGGCCGTCTCCGCCGGCGCTTCCATGTCTTCTAAAACACAAAATCGATTTTGAATTATTTGGTTTTTCAAATAATTCTGTGCCCCTATCAAAGAAAATTTTCAGGGCTAGAGAGCACAGAATTAATTGAACGATCTGATAAAACGTTCCAATAGCCTTACCTCTCGGCGGATGACAAACCTTGATTGCGCAGACAATCTTCTCCTTGTAATGGCCACGAAACACGTCGCAAAAGTTGCCTCTGCCTAAAATATTTAACTTACTGTAATAATCTACAATATCTTACATTTTGACATACATGTATAATATAAAAAATGGCACAAAAGTCATTAAAACTCAAAAAAAAATTAAAAATTAATATGTAGAAAAATTCAATTTTTTTTAGACTTGACATTTTCAAAACGATGTAACTCTGCCGAAAGCCAAGATATTAATAAGAAAATTGACAGTTGATTACTACAGTCTATTCTTTACAATAGTTATTTAAAAAATTAGTTTTAAAGTTTTTACTCTGCCCGAAAAAATTTTTTAAAAAAAGTTGACCTTGGTCCCTCTTGTGGATTATTTTAAAAGTTTTTTGATCTCCCCTGCCTTCAAAACCACAAAAAATATAAATTTTTTACTATGCCCAACTCTACCTTGCTCTACCTTACCCTGCTTTACCCTATCTACCTTACCCCCGCCCTCCACTCCTTCCCCACCCCCAAAAAACCCTTACCCAGCCGTTTCTTTCCAATGTTGATATCCGTTCGCCGCAGCAGGAACGATGGCCTCACACTAGGCGTTATCAGTTTGAGCATTTTCTCATCGACCGGTAGAGGATTGGAGCGGTAATATTCGACCAGATGGACAAAGGTTTTAAATTCGGGCTTCTTCTTCGGTCCCAGCCAAAATGAGTTGTTGTCGCTTTGCACGGTCAGGTCGTGATTGGTCTTTTCGCCTTTCACATTGATCTTCAGGATGCCAGAGTGCTCGTGTTCGACCAGTCGAATTGCGAACATTCCTTTTGTTTTCAGAATTTCCTGAAAATATTAGTTTTGTTATCTTAATATGGCTTTCGTCAGGTAAATATGATTTTTGTTACCTAAAATATTAATTTTATTAACTAAAATATACATTTTGTGACTTGAAATGCTACTTTTTGTTACCTAACTTATTGGGAGCAAAAGCAAAAACATATGTCACAAAAAATAAAAATTTTGAGAAAAAAAAAATTTTTTTAATTTACCACACCCTTTCAAATTCAATTTTTTTTACCTTGCCTTATCTCCGTACCCAAAAAATAATGTTACACCCCTCCTCAACCCAAAAAAATACCTTAAACCTCTCCCCCCCCCCTCAAAAAAAACTCTTAGAAACCTCTTCAAAGCCGATGCCATACTATAACATACCTCAGCATTGCACTTTGGCAATAATCCGATGTAAAATGATTCATTGTCTAGAATATCGATCAATTCCTTCCATTTGTTCTTGATATCCACCATAGTAAGAGACAGTCAAACGAGTCGAGCGACCGGAATCGACCGACCAAAGTAGAGGAAAATGTAATGAATGGGCTTGGTTCACTGGTTTTCAAAATATTTTAGAAATCTGCATATTTTGTCATTTTTTGAAATCTGATGTGCAAGGAAAGGTTGTTAAGGACCAAGGCTAGAGCTATCCATGGGGACGGGCCGGCCTTGACCGAAATTTTAGATAGGGTAGGGGAATTTAGAATAAGGGAGGGTGGGGTAAAGTAGGATAGGGTAAAGTAGGGTTGGGTAGGGCAGGGTAGATGATCGAAAGGTTGTGAAAACGTTAGGGAAGGCACTAATAAGCTCTACCTTATAGTAGAGAAAAGTTTATGAGCTCCATCTTGTAGTAGAGAAAAGCTTATAAGCTCCACCTTATAGTAGAGCGTTCCAAAATTTCGCTTATCAGCCACTGAGAGTTCAGAGCCGAAACATGAGCTAACCTCAAACTTGGGTTAATAAACCGAAGATATTATCCTTGCTTCTGCTCTAAAGAGAAAGCTCTATCTCTTTTTGTTTGAGTTTGACTCTGTTTTCGGAGTTGTTCGAGCGATCTTCCACTCTCTTATATTAACCATGAGCGCGCTGACCCTTCTTTTCGCTCTTTATCTCTATCGTATGTTTAGAGACAGTTAAATGTCTACGCACATGAGTTTCTGCTTTCTAATACATCATGTTAACATGCGATAGAGACAAAAAGTAAAAAAAAAAGAAGTGCGCGCCCATGGTTAATATAAGAGAGTGGAAGGTCGCTAGAACAGCTCCCGAAATGGAGTCAAACTCATTCGAAAAGACATAAAGTTTTCTCTTTAGAGCAGAAGCAAGGATAACATCTTCGGTTTATTAACCCAAGTTTGAGGTTAGCTCATGTTTCGGCTCTGAACTCTCAGTGGCTGATAAGAGAAATTTTGGAACGCTCCTACACGGTGGAGCTTATAAGCTTTTCTCTACTACAAGATGGAGCTCATAAACTTTGCTCTACTACAAGGTGGAGCTCATCAGGTTTTCTAAAGCGTATACAATAATGTGAAACTCATTATAATCTTTACCTACCCTACCGTTTAACTTAAAAACAACATTTTTATCCACCCAATAATGTTTACATTTATTAACGTCAAGCCAATAAAGCTACAATATGACAAAAATACAAATTTTAAAGTTTTGGCAGACCAGCTGAAACGCGATACTCAATTCCACAATGGAAATGACCTCTAAGGATCTTGAAGTAGCCCTTGACTCCCCAATCTTCATTCCAGGAATTGGCTACCAACCAGTAATTGGTACCGTTCTCAACACCCCAGCCAATGATCTTGACCGCATGTCCTCCTAACATTTTACCAGCCTTGTGCTGAAAAAGTAAATGAATGTAGCGTATGTTATAGAAAAGCATATTATAAGGTAGGGAGCAGGGGAGAAGTGTAGCTCTTTTCCTACCTGATAAACTCCACTTTTGTAGTTAATAAAGTCTTCAAAAACGGTAAATCCAGCCTCGACCGGTCCATTATTGTAAATCTCGTTCTTGATCCACCATTCTCCAATTCTAACTGGAAAGCCGATCTTTCCTTGATGAATATCATTGTTATATGTCAAGCCACTAGATTCAGAGCAAGTTCGTTCACACTTTGGAGTCTTTGAATATCCACCACAGGCTGGTTTTGGGCCGGGAACGTGATGTTCACATGGAGCAAATGGGTATGAACGACAAGTCGAGTTGTCACCGTAGGCACCGCCTGATACTAAACCTTTGGTCATGTAGTAGACCCATGCGGCTTCTGGGGCTCCACCAAAACAGCTAGAATTAGATTTTTATTTTTTACCTTAGGCAACTATGATCTATACATTACCTTCACCAAACTATAACCTATTCTAGTCTTCCAATATCATTATCATCTTACCCTAAGCCACAGAATTTACAACAGCTGATCAAGTCGTCGGCCGAAACATCAACCTGCTTCGTTCCATTACTGTGAATACAGATACGATCACTCATCGTACTGGTCGCAGCCACAGCCCAACAACTTCCACAAGTCGACTGATCTCGAATCGTTCGGATCGACTCACACTTCGGCCAAACCTTTCTCGAATCAAATTCATCTGGCACAGCCACATTATTGTGAATTGGTGGATCTCCTAACTGTGATTTTATCTCGAAATCTACATCTCTTAGGCCGAGAAGTGGTCCATAATGTTCTTGCCTATACTGTTTAAACTTATGATCGGAGGTGGCAGTCCAGGTAGTTTCAAGATTATTAATGTAGTCAACTAGCTTTTGGCCAGAGAGGTTTTGAGCTTCTTCTGACAGCTCTTCGTGATCTTTTAGGTATGGAGTGAAGGTAGCGAGTTTGGCGGTTACTGTAGAAACCAATAAAAACATGGTAACGGACTTCATGGTTTAATAACTAAAATGAGGTCAAAGTAAAATAAAAAAATAAAAACTCACGATTTAAAGTCATAACGTGCTAAAATAATAGTGTCATAAAGTATCTTACTTTACCCTGACCCACTCTACCTTAACTTGTCATACCTTGCCCTACCCTATTCTATCCTAAACTACTCTCCTCTACTTTACTTAGTTTACTATAACCTATCATCAATAGTATAAACCATATTTTTCAAGAAAAAGGTTTTATTTTAACAATTTTTAGAACAAAAAGATCAAAACTCTCATTGATAATAATACTTTCCTGTAGCCCCAGTACTTATATGCAGTTCAATCCGCTATTGTTATCACCAATATGAATAGAATAAAAATTAACAAAAAGTAATAACAATCAGCCTTGATTCAAAAAAATAATAACGACCAGCTTTGATTCAAAGCGTTTTTTAATTTATCAAGCCATATATCAATTGTAAACAATGTGATAAGCAATGGTCTTTCCGCTCATATGACCATGATCTATTCGTTTATTAAGGTCAAACATTGTGTCCGATGATTTGGACTTGTTATTGGACCTAGTCATAGGTTTTCGTATTGTTTTGAGGACTTTGATAAGGTCTTTAGATTTTTAGGCCTATTGTAAGGTCTTTAGATTTTTACGCCTATTGTCAAGTCTTTAGATTGTCATTAGGCTTATTGTAAGGTCTTTATATTGTTATTAGATCAATTGAAATGGTTTAACATTGTTTTTGAATCTTTTTTAAAGTTCTTACATTGTTTTTAACCTATTCAAAGTTATTTCTATATGTGTTGTCCTATTGAAACTAAATAATCGATCACTTGAAATTTGAAAACTTGAATTGATTTTGTTGAATAATCTTGCCATGTTATGTTAGACAAAAGATGCTTGATTTCTATGGAAGAAGCCAAAATTGAAATAAAAAATTTACACAGTATTCTACACAGAAATAAACAGTAAAAGCTTTGGTAAGAAAGTTAACTTTTATTGAAAATTTCCTTCGTTTTGCCATTCTTTTTTAAACTTTTTCCATGTTTCTGGTAAGTTCGACTCGTAAACCTTTTACAACAGATTCTTTAACCTCTTCTATCACTGAAAAAGCGTTGTTTTACTTGAAAAAACTGAACATAGTAAAATTACTTTGGTCCCGCCACGAAAGATTTTCTTTGACGTTCGTTTGGCGTTTCGCTGCATAATAAAAACAGAATTTTGTCGAAAAATGGCTACGTAGACTTTTCGAATTCAACGTTGAACTTGATTATGTTTTTCAAGGTTTTATTTTTGACGTATTTTATGGGTTTTTTTGTTTATTATAGTGCGTGTTTTAGTCTAAATTAACTTGATTTTGCTTTTTTATATAAGGAAATGATTTTGATATCCTTTCAGGATGAAGTTGTTGGTATTCTCATTAGTTTTATCAACTCTAGTTTGCTCAATTTGGGCTGATGATCCGGTAACTTGTTCAAGTGTGTTGAAGTTATCTAATGGACAAGATAAGAGTCGATTGCACTCGCACGAAGTCAAGTATGGATCTGGAAGTCAACAGCAAAGTATCACAGGCACTACGAGTTTGGATGACAACAATTCTCATTGGCAAATTTTGGGCGGTGAGTTTTTTACTTTATTTTTTTCGAATTTTAGGTGATGCGCTGGGTTATATTAGATATTGTTGAAGAAAATTAATGGATTTTAAGTTTTCGACTTTATTTTTGATGGAATTTGGAAAAGCAATGTTTTTTCCTTAATTTAGTGGTAATTATGACTTTTATTTATTTATTTAATTTAGGGACGACAGAGCCATGTAAACGTGGAGAACCCATCAAGTGTGGAGATGTGATCAGGCTTTTGCATTTAACAACCAAATGCTTCTTGCATTCACATGATTTTCCATCACCATTATCTCGAGGAAACCAAGTATGTGCTTTACACAATATTTTTTAGCATAGATTTACAGTTTTTTTTTAAAGAGTCTTTAAGCTTGTGAAACAGCTGATTTGAAGCCAATAAGTCAATTTTTTTATAACAATGAAACAGCTGAACTAAACGAGACTAATAAATAAAGTTTGTTGATAGCTATAGAAGCCGGAATGCTTTTGATGACTCATTAAATTCATTACATCAAGTTTTTATTACAATACATTTATATCCGTTACAGGAAGTGTCGTGTTTCGGAAAGCTAGATGAACAATCAGATACAGGAGACCATTGGCGTGTGGTCTGCAATTCAGACGTCTGGACGGATGAAGACCAAGTCCAACTAAAACACGTTGATACAGGAAAATACTTGGCCACGTCAGGCCAAACGTATGGGCGACCAATCAGCGGCCAAAAGGAGGTGGTTGGGCTTGGAAGTGGTAGTGGATATAACTCTTATTGGCAAGCAGCCGAAGGTGTTTATATTCAGAAGAAACAAGAGGAAGAAGAGTAAAAGACGTGGAATTATATGAGGAATGTGATAATGAATATAATCAGGAAGAGAAGATGAATAAAGAATAAATTATTAATGATTTTTCAGTAAATAATATTGTGATAGGTTGGTCTGGGTATTTTGTTGTCTTTTCATTAAATTCTGATTGTTTAGGGTTGTGTAAAGTTATTGTTAACTTGGATATGGTTGTAAATCTTAGTTTTGTTGCAATTTGAATTAAAATTTTTTTCAAAATTTGTTTCAAAAAAGGTTTTTTAATAATAATATTGATATCTTGCCTTTAATGAACCTTAAGGTCTTTGATAGCTTATATTAAGATGTCTGAAAGGATTTCAAAGATTCTTTAGCTACGTTTTATTTCTTTATGGTTTTGCTCAAAAGTTCTTATAATAATTCATTAAGAATTTATATTATGATGCTTAAAACTGGCAGTAGTAAATTATCATTTATTTTTAGGTAGTTTTTCCTTTTTTAAGGGTGGAGATTTTCATACCGTTTTTGATGGTAAAGCTTTTAGTTTTGTTTTTTAATAATAAAGGGTTACTTTTATTGTTTTTACCTTTGTTTTATATTGTTGTATTACTTTGATATTGATATAACATTAATAATATAGTATAAACAGAAAAACTTCGAAGTTATAAAGAATATACATCGTTTAGTCGAAGATAATTTTTACTTTTGTTTTAAATTTTGAAATACAGTTTGATTTAATGATATTTTAATGAATTTACGTTAAACTTGATCAACTAACGACCTAATAGACTCCAAGTCACATACTTTCTCTGCACGATGGAACTACGACAAGTAAGGTTTTAAATTAAAAATTTTTTTATGTTTTTAGGGTAGTTGGTTCAGGCTAGAGGTAAAAGACGACAAGGATATGGCATTTTTAGATTAGATCGTGATTTTCTGACCGTTTTTGACTTATAATGGGCTGTTTTGCTAGTTTTTGGCTTCGGCTGTCCGATTTTTGTCGATTTTTAGATCAGCGGTGCCTCTTTACTCATTTGCCTTGCTATACCGTGCCATTCTGGCCAAATTTCCATTAATCTTACATAAAACTTATCCTTAGTGTTTCAGATTCGTGCAGAAACGGACGAAAAATGTCAGACACAAAAGCTAATTGCCAATTACTATCGGCTCAACATATCAGCTCCATTCGTTTACATCTACGACTTTTTTGTCAAACAAAACGGAACGATAGTAAGGAATCCACAAAAGTTGAGAGAGCTCTTCTACAAAGTCATGGCCAGTGACTGGAAATTAGAGAAGTATGTCAGCCGAACAGTTTTTGACGAACAGCACACGATATACAGCATGGATCAACTGCCATTTGTCACAAAGGCTTTCAAATTTGGCAGCATGGTAAGGCTCATAGTAAATATTGAAAAAAGAGCTTAAATTTAATGAAATTTTAGTTAAAGTGCTTAAATTTGATGGTTTAAAGGGCTAATAATTTGAAAAAAGGCAAAAATTTAGAGAAAAATTTTAAATTTAAACCTTTTTCAAGGCATTTTTAGTTGTTTAAAGTAGTATAATATGTTCTTTTGGTATGTATGTTATTGTACTGGGATGAGTTTGAGATGAATTTTACATTTTATACAATTTCAGACAGTTACTATAGAAGAAAAGGGACGTTTAGAAAAGAAACGTGATGGCAGCTTAAGGCCAGAACATGTTGGATTGTACCAGGCTGTGTTAACGAACAGATTAAGGCAGTAAGTAGTCTTTTGGTATCATTTGTGGATTTAAAAGTAGTACCCTACCCCCCCCATTTTTTGAATTTTTAAGATGGGTGGGGGAGGGTAGTCAAAAAATTTTTTTTGTTTTTGAAGAATTACGAGGACATGATGGGTGAATAAAAATCGCATTTTGAAGCCCAGGGGAGAGCAGGGCAGGTATATTAAGTCATTCAAATAATTTCGTGCCCTCTCTCAAAACAAATTTTTGGGGTTAAGAAGGTCAGAATTATTTGAAAAATCTGGTGTTATCGTTTTTATTTTTGTTACAGTAAATAGTTTTTCTGTTACAGTGATTCATCGCATTTTGGAAAGGCACCATATGGAGGTGTTCGACTACTTCCTCAGCGTTTTTCGCCTCGACAAGAGGTCAAATATGGCTGAAATGGCATTTACACAAAAAGCTGTGGAGTCGTTCAATCGTGTCATGAGAGGTGGGTTGATTTGAACTGTAGGTGTAGGGATGGAGGTAAAGTAAGGCATGGGAGGGGGAGAAGGAAGATGGTTTTAAATAGCCAAAGAAGGACTTTAAATGGCCAAAGAAGGACCTTAATAATAGAAAGACTGCCATTTTACATTTCATTAAATACATTATTACAGGCGTTGAAGTGTCGACAACCTATGCTCCTCGCCACTACAAGATCCTTGGTCTCGTAGACCAATACCCATCCACAACATTCATCGAAACGACCCGGGGGCGGATGAGCATTTTGGATTATATGCGTGAGCGATACGAGATAATTCTCGAATATCCGAATTTGCCGATGTTGAAGATGAACAAGAAAAGTGAATGTCTCATTCCCTTGGAGTGCTTGCGGGTATGGCAATTTTGGAAGTTTTATTTTTTTGGGTAGGGTGGAGTTGGGGAGATTGCCTTAGGGAGGGGTGAGGTAAGAGAAAGTAAGATTGAGTACAGTTAGATAGGGTACGGTAGGATAGGGTACAATATGAGGGGGAACGGTAGGATAGCTTACAGTATGACAGGGTAAATGTTACAGTAGTATAGAATACGGTGGGGTAGAGTACAGTATGACAGAACACGGTATGATATGGTACAGTAAACTGCGTGGCAGTACGATACAGTACGGTAGGATAGGGTAAAGTTCGAAACGGTACGGTTGGGTATAGTACGTTAGGATTATATAGAGTGCATTAAAATGGGTTACAGTAGGATACAGTATGATAGGATAGAGTAGGATAAGGTAAAGTAGGGTAGTTTAGAGTAGGATAGCGTAGGATAGGGTAGGGTACGGTAGGGCAGAGCAGAGTAGGGTATGTAACGGTTTAAAAACGCTTTATTAAAGTAGGACAGGGTACGGTTTATGATGCATTTTAGACATGAATTAATATTTTTCCAGATATATATGAAATACAAAGGCTATCGTGACCGTCTCAATGCCCACATCACAGACATTGTCAAACGCATCACCCAACTGCCACAACAAATGTTCACAACCACCAGGAAGCTAGTGGAAATCTCGGGTCTGAAGGAAACCGGTGAGAATCAGGACGCAACAATGAAAGAATTTGGAATATCAATGGAACGGCACATGCTACGAACAGTTGGACATGTACTGCCAGCTCCAGAAGTGGATTTTTTTTGCCGCAGCACCAGAGATAGTCATCAAGATTGTACCAGTATATTTGTCGGACAAATGGGAGGCTCATCAGAAGACTGTCGAGTGGGTTTTTGAAAAAATTTTTGATTTTTAAATCTTTTCTTTAAACCTACTCTTACTTCTATAGTTATCAATAACTTTGTTCTTTCCAGGCGCTTCCTCAAACAGCTCCAAGACCAGTTTAATGTGTGGTTCAGCAGCGACGGCGGCCGTTACGAAGTGGTAACAACGGTGGAACAACCAAACACCGAACACTTGGAACGTAAACTGATAAAAATTGCAAACTCGGCCAAAGAAGAGGACAATGTGGTACTCTTGATGAATTTTTTACCAGAGCAAGAGCGTGGTTGTAGAAATCGAAGAATCATGAGAAGCGACCTGTACGATGCGGTAAAGACCATCTGTGATGTGAATGGAATCCCAAATCAATGCATTAATATGCTGGTACTGGTGAATCAAGGCGGCGCAAAGGCTTATGCTGACAATATTGTGAGGAAGATCAACACGAAAATGAATGGGAAAACTAATATGCTGACGAGAGAAGGAAATCAACCTAGTCCAGCGAATTTGTTGTAAGTTAATTTCTTAAGATCAAACAAAATTGTTTTGAATTTCCCGCCAAATTGGCATTGTGTTTCAAGCTTATAACTGTGCCAATTTCAGATTTTATTATCGTTTTTCTTTGATATACTGATAGAAAACATTTGCTTGAAACACAATACCAAATTTCCCAAATTGGCGAGAAACTCAAATATATAAATTTTTAAACTTATTTTATTATTACTACGAGGTTTTATACTTGAAAACTTTAGGATGGACTACTACGCGGCACAGAACACTATGTTCATCGGAATTTTCTCTTCGAAGTCCCCACGTGCCGACCGATGCCCATCCGTACACGCTATGGCATACAACGTAGATCCATACGCGGCTTCCTATATGAGCACGTATCGATATCAAGACGGGTTTGATGACAATATTCACGACATTAAAGCCATGTTCGACGAATGTTTGGAAGGATTCTGTGAAGAAGTCGGACCACCATTGAAGATCCTCATCCTACGAGGTGGAATCTCGGACTCAGTCCAACTCGAAGTGTTTGAAAGGGAAGAAGCACTGATTCAGCAGAGTATTGGCAAGTTTCGTAACGATTTCAAGGACAAACTTTCGAATTGGTGGCCTCAAGTCTGCTACTTGAATGTGTCCAGAACAAACTTGAGGTTTTGTACTGAGAAGACGGAGTAAGTTGGATTGAAAGGCATGGGTAATGGATTGTGGGCGTGAATAATGGCTTGGAGGGCGTGGGTAAATGAGCAGTTTTGGAGGGGGGGGGGGAGTAGAAAGGAACTCAAGGTTTTGTATCGATAAGACAGAGTAAGGTGTACTGAAAGACGTGGGAAGTGGCTAGCGGGCGTGGGTAAAGCAACTAATTTTTTTTGGGGGGGGAATGGGGTGTTAGGGAAAAGTAGGATTTTACGTGTTTTAACGTCAGGGCGAGTACAAGGGCTTTAAAAGAATTTTTTAATGTGGGCGTGGTAAAAAAATTGTTTTTGGGAGGGGTAAAAATTTTAAAAAATTTTCTTGTTGTTCAACGAAGGGGAGTTGTACTTTTCAAACAAAAATTTTTTTGGGCGTGGTAATTCTTTTTCTTGGTTTTACTTTTCAATTACTTTTTTTCTCTTGTCCCCCTCCCTTCCCCCCCCCCTTCTTGATTTTCTATAAAGGTTAATTGAAAAACAAAAAAAATCATCAATGTTACCTATTTTCTCATTTTCAGACTGGAAGGCTTCGATAACCTAAAGCCTGGCACTGTAGTGCGAGAACATGTCACTGAATCCCCAAACGACTGGTATATGACCTCTCACATAGGCAGGCTGGGAACATCGAAGCCGGCCCTATACAGACTGCGTAGCTCAACCTGGACTGATGCTGATGGAACAGCAACTCTAGAACGTGATGTGGAGCAGCTGTGTCATAACTTGTGCTTTCTACTTGGCCGGTCCGTCTTTTCGGTGGCTGTGCCCACGCCAATTTACAACGCTCAATTGGTGGTGGATCGGTGTCGCGCCTACAAGAGGCACAACATCAGCGGAGACTACAAACAGGCTGATCTGCCTTCGGACACCACCTACAGGCAGTACTATGGCTGAGTTTTATTGGTTTTGTCATTTTTTTTAGGTTTTGGGAGGGGGCGGGTTTGGATCTTGTAGTAGGATAGGGATGTCGCTACGGAGTGTATACATTGTTCTGTAGAGAGGGGGGGGTGGATGCCAAAAAACATTTTTTATTTTTTCATACACAGGTTACCAGTAGCTGTAAAATTTTCTTCGTCTTGTTTTTTAAAGGGTGCACCCACCCCCCCCCCTTCCTCCTCTTCCTTGCCCATTCATTCACTCCCCCTCCCTCTCCCTCCCCCTCCCCCCCCCCTCCTTTCTTCCTCCTTTTAGTGACATCTTACAGTTTTCCAATCTGGACTTGTTATACAAGTTTCTCTTTTACTGTATATGTCTACATCTTGGTGTAAAATGGCGGGTACTTTTTGCATAAAACGCATGTTAACTTTGTTTTTATCGTTCTTTATATATTGCCTTAATTCTAATCACCTCATCTAGTCTACAATAACTTTTTAGTGCTTAAAGTTTTATTTTTGTTAATCGTTTTAATCAAATCATGTATTACTAGAGCCACGGGCGAAGTTAAAGATTTTTTTTGATTTTTTTCTGGGGGGGGAGGAAATGAAAAAAAAAATTTTGGTTTACAGGTGCTACATGTGGATCAATTTTTTTAAAAATTTTTGTTTTACGTTTTCTACCTTCTTTCCTCTCCCTTTTTTTACTCCCCCCCCTCCTCCTCCTTCACCCCCCCCAGGCTCGAAAAAATTCGGACCTGGCCTAAATAATGGTCCCGGTCCGGCCTGTTTCCCATGTCTAGCTTTAGTAATACAGTAGCGATTGTCATGCTCTCTTTGCTTTCTAGTAGTTACCGCGGCTTATTTGATACCACATATCATTTTATTTTGTCTGGCTTTTAACAAAACGTGCATTACATGAGCCTAAACTACGGTTAGGCTTACCCTATATCACTATTTTATGTCGTTATTTCTTACGCTTGACAGATCTTGTACCTGTCATTTAGTCATATTACTCATATTTCTATATCTTTAGTTACATTTTTGACGTTTTATCTTACTATTATTGATCTTAACACAATTCTTGTAAAATATGTACTTATTTGTTACCTGTATTTAATGGATATTGCGCTGAAATAAAAAAAGAATGAACTGAAGGTATCGAGGTTACGTTTTGATGTTTTTAATGGTTATTTTGGTGCCATGGATTATTTACTACTTTGAAGATTTTACAATTATCTATATGGTGTCTACTAATATACTCGTCCTGTTAGAAATTTAAAATTTTGAGAAATATTGTTTTAGGTACAGCACTCTCTCTTTGTGAGAAACCCGAAGGAACTGACATTTTATCATTATTATAGGGGGTTTTGTTCTTACAGTGATTGATTTTTAATGCCAATTGATTTGGAGAGGCCAAATTTTTGTTTACTAGAGAGATTTGCTTATACAGAAGGTTTACGGTACCAAAACCCACTGTATTATTGATTAATTTTTATTATCATATTTTTTATGAATTTGATTAGGTAAAGGAAGGTAGAATGTATTCAGAAACGGAAGATAAAAGACAAGAGCTTAGCTTTTAGGTAACACGAGTTTTTATGTTCTAGCCAAAAAGAGCGGGACAATAACTGTAGACAGACCAAAAAATATCAAGGCTTTACTGAAGTATGACAACAGTTGTGCAGACTTCACTATAATATAGTCGGCTATATCAAGGGGGTACAATCATTTAAAAAAAGCATATTAAGCTTCTAATGTAGTGTTCACGATTTTACTATAGTATAACAAGGAATTATAAGGGATACTGTAGCAGAACATCCATATAGAGCTTTTGATGTATTATAAAAATCGCTTGAGAATTTCAATTTAGTTTGTTATAGGAGTTTTAGTGTAACAAACATTTATAAGGTTATACCATAGCAGAACAAGCCGTATTAAAATTTTATTGTAGTAAGGAAAACAATAAAAAAGTGATTTCAAGAGGCTACTGTGGTGTTCACTGTTTTACAATACTATAAAAAGGTATTGTAAGCGGATACAGTAGCAGCACAGTGGTATTGAACTTATACTGTAGTAAAACAATGTATATTAAGTCATTTTCATTCATCACTCCTTGTTTTCAAACCGCTTCAAATCGTACTTCTGAAGCAGTTTAACTGCGTCTCTGAATGCCATTCTGCCCCTCAGTTGAAGCTTGGCCATTCGAGCTTCAAGAACTTCAGGGGATACTCCTCTGGCATTGCCCAACATACTAGCCGGTATCAGAAATACATAGTAAATGGCTTGATGTATTGTGGCTAAATCGAACAGCTCACGAGCTTGCTCGAGAGTCTGCGGAACTGGTTGTTTGACTTGGGAAGACAAGTGATTGTAGTAGGTAACGAAGGCTTCTTCTGCGTATTGACGACGGATTTCGGCGTCTACACAGATTGTTATGAAGCGGGCGAGGTCGAATAAGCCGTTTCCTAAAGTTTTAAAGGTAATGGTAGAGTACGGTAGGGTAGAGAAAACGGTATGATGATATAGGGTAAAGGTTATGGCAGGTCAGGGTAGAATAGATAGATAAGGTAGGGTAAGTTAGGGTAAGGTAGGGTAGGCTCGGACAAGGTAGGATACGGTAAAGTAGGGCAGGGTAGATGATTGAAAAGTTGTGAAAACGTTAGGGAAGGCACTTATTAAGCTCCACCTTGTAGTAGAAGCATCAGAAAAGCTTATGAGCTCCACGTTGAGAGCGTTCCAAAATTTCTCTTATCAGCCACTGAGAGTTCAGAGCCGAAACATGAGCTAACCTCAAACTTGGGTTAATAAACCGAAGATGTTATCTTTGCTTCTACTCTAAAGAGAAAGCTCTATTTCTTTTCGAGTGAGTTTAACTCCATTCCAGGAGTTGTTCAAGCGATCTTCCACTCTCTTATATTAACCATGAGCGCGCCGACGCTTCTTTTCACTCTTTATCTCTCTCGTGTGTTTAGAGACAGTTAAATGGTTGCGTTTCTGCTTTCTAATACACTATGTTAACATACGTTAGAGATAAAGAGTAAAAAGAAGCGTCGGCGCGCTCATGATTAATATAAGAGAGAGTGGAGGATCGCTAGAACAACTCCTGGAATGGAGTCAAACTCACTCGAAAAGAAATAGAGCTTTCTCTTTAGAGTAGAAGCAAAGATAACATCTTCGGTTTATTAACCCAAGTTTGAGGTTAGCTCATGTTTCGGCTCTGAACTCTCAGTGGCTGATAAGAGAAATTTTGGAACGCTCTACTACAAGGTGGAGCACATAAGCTTTCTAAAGACTCTATTACAATTCGGGGCTTGTTAACAAACATTAAGGTAGAGTAGGGTAGGGTATTTTAGGGCATGGTAGGTTATATATTGGCTTTAAATGCTTTTCTTACCCCACCCAACCAGTTGCAGGTCCACAAAACCAGCCAATTCATTACCAATACTTCCATCAGGGTTTTTCTTGAACAAGGTGTTATTACCGTAGCAGTCACCATAAACGAAGCCTATGGCATTCATCTCCACAGCACGATCAATTATACAGTATTTTAGGAATTCTGGGTTGACCATTTTTTTGAGAGGGAGGAATTCATTGTAGACGTCTAAAAATGGCAAGGACTTTTCTTTACAGAACATAAAAATGGCAAGAACTTTCTTTACAAAACATAAAATGGCAAGAACTTTTTTTACAGAACATTAAATGGCGAGAACTTTCTTTACAAAACATAAATGGCAAGAACTTTCTTTACAGAACATAAAACGGCAATAACTTTCTTTACGAACCGTCAAATAGCAAAAACTTTCTTTACAAACTCTTACCAGGACATTTATGTTGCAAAGCGGGTAAATACCGTGGCGTAACGCTCATGGCTAAGTAATCGGTCTGTAGTGGTGTATTTTCCAATTCTTTCCAAGGCTGACCCTCCAAATTCAAGCATGTGGCATGTAAATCGGCCAAACACTTGGCCAAACTCAGTACCATCTCTTTTGTAGCACTTTCAAATAGTCCTACTGATAAGGATGACTTGGCCAAACTTTCTAGTACCAGTACTCCACGATCTTCAGTCGGTATTGGACCGACTTTTTTGATAAAATACGCCTTTGGCGTGTGGGTTTTGGAGGGGTTTTGGTTTCGAACCATTTCATAGAATTCGCATTCTCGATTATGAGACTCGTAGACTAGTTGAGCTCCTGAAGAGTCTTCTTGATACATCTGAAAAAGACTACAGTAGTCTACTGTTATTAGTCTTATCTTAATCTAGCTGTATTTTTGTATTTAATCTCAGTCTTCTTTAGCCTTAGCCTTAGTCTTAGCCTTAGCCTTAGTCACGGCTTCAGGTAATGGTTTAGATTTTTCGTTGGACGTAGTCCAAGCCTTTGGTTTATTCTTAGCCTTCGCTTCAAGTTTAGTCTTAGCTTTAGTCTCATTATTAATCCTAGCTCATAGCCTAACTTTTAAGCTTAGCCACAGCTTGAGACTTAGTTTAAAACTTACCTCCTGTCCAGTATGAGCTCTAATAGCATTCAAAATGGCGATTGTAGGCACTTTGACGACCAAATCAAGTTGTTCATCAGTAGAAAAGAACAGAGTAACTAGGTATACTCTACTCAAATGACCTTTTCCGGCTCCAATGTCAGTTGTTGTTACCTAAAAATTGGGTTTTGTAAGATACGCAAAGCAAAATTTTATTAAACATAGCTTTAGGCTTAGCTCTTTAAGGATTTTTTTAAATTTAGTACAGTGTTTAAAACTTACTAGTCCACAAAGTGAAATGACTATAGGCTAAAAAAAGTCTTGTCGTTTTTTGCTGTGAGCTATTTATTCAAAAAACGACAAGACTTTTAAGAGTGTTTTAAAACAAGTTTTCTACCTTGACAATGTTGTTAAAGTCCAAATCAAGCTTGTCGAAGTTAGTGTCAGGTTCCAGTAGGCAATTGAGTAGCCATTTCAGTTCGAATCCACTGTCACTTAACTTGGTATTCAAGATATCATGAGACAGGCTTAGATTTGACAGTTCTAGGGATAATAGCGCCATTTTGGATCAATAAACTTTGTTTTCAAAGTTCAGTTTTGAAATTGAATTTGTTTTTGACGTGGTTTGAAGTGCAAATGAAGTGAATTTTACTTTGTGTGTTGTTCTTGTTCACATTAACACCTATTTACTTCTTTTTAATGAGGTTAATAGAAAATAAAAGGAACTCTTGAGTTAACTTGCAAGTTTACAAAAGTTAAATTTAAGTTATTATGGTAGGGTAGGGCACGCTAGAACAAGATAGAGCTTAATAAACTGAGTTGCAGTACAATACAGTACGGTAGGATAGGGTAATGTATGAAATAGTACGTTAGGATTCTTACTGTGGCATAGTTTAACTCAACGTAGGACAGGGCGATACTTTAAAGTACGGTCAGATGGGGGTAGGATAGGTCACGGGTAGGGTAGGATAAAGCAGAGTAGGGTATAGACATGTCTTGAAAACATTAAGAAAGGCACTTATAACGTCCACCTTGTAGTAGAGCCTTTAAAAAACATATAAGCTCCACCTTGTAGTAGAGCGTTCCAAAATTTCTCTTATCAGCCACTGAGAGTTCAGAGCCGAAACATGAGCTAACCTCAAACTTGGGTTAATAAACCGAAGATATTATCCTTGCTTCGGCTCTAAAGAGAAAGCTCTATTTCTTTTCGAGTGAGTTTGACTCCATTCCAGGAGTTGTTCTAGCGATCCTCCACTCTCTCTTATATTAATCATGAGCGCGCTGACGCTTCTTTTTACTCTTTATCTCTAACGTATGTTAACATATAATATTGAAAAAGCACAAAGCTATAAACGCAGCCATTTAACAGCTATAAACATACGCTAGAGATAAAGAGTGAAAAGAAGCGTCGGCGCGCTCAAGTTTAAATAAGAGAGCGGAAGATCGCTCGAACAACTCCCGAAATACAGTCAAACTCAAACGAAAAGATATAGAGCTTTCTCTTTAGAGCAGAAGCAAGGATAATATCTTCGGTTTATTAACCCAAGTTTGAGGTTAGCTCATGTTTCGGCTCTGAACTCTCAGTGGCTGATAAGAGAAATTTTGGAACGCTCTACCCAAGGTGGAGCATATAAACCTTTCTCTACTACAAGGTGGAGCTCATAAGCTTTTTTAAAACTACTACAAGGTAGAGCTCATAAATCTTTCTCTACTACAAGGTGGAGCACATAATTATCTTTTCTGACTTTTTAATAAACTTTTCATACCCTGCTCTGCTGGACCTTTCCTTACTTTATCCCACTCTACTTTAATGTATCCTACTCAACCTTACCCAACCCTGCTTATTGTACCCTACCTCACCGTACTGCACCCTAATTTTCCCACCCCTACGCTATCCTTTCCTATCCTATCTCCCTCTTCCCTACCCTATCCTACGTTGCCCTACCGTATGCACATCCTACCTACTAGAAATTAAAAAATTACGAAAGTAAATTTCAATCATAAGCTTTATTGTAATAAATTTACATTCTTATTAATAATTACGGTCAACAATAATATATACAATTGTTAAAAATGAATGATAAGAGAATAATCTTGAGCATCACAGTGTTCTCAAATCAATTATAAATTTTAAAAAATCACTTTGAAGTTATATAAATGTTAAAAATAAGTATCGTTAGGTTGTTCACATAATTCTGTACGCCTAACTTTAAAAATTTGCCTTGAAAAGAGGCACAGAATAATTTGAACAACATAATATAAAATAATATTTAAAAAGTTATAAAAAAGTTTTGTCGCCAATTTGCATTGAGTTGCTGGTTAAGAAGCGACAAGACTTTTTTTTCCACTTCTATATAATATAAAGGAAGGTAATATAAAGAAAGATATGACAAACAAAAGACATGTACAATGAGCTGAAATGACAGTATGACAAACCCGAAATGTCAAAAGATACAGTATGGTACAAAAAACAAAAATTTTGTAAAATCAAATATTAAGGTGTTCAAATAATTCTGTGCCCCGTAACATTGAAAAATTGTTTTGATAGGAAGCACAGTATTATTTGAACAACCTAATATAATAAAATTCTGTGCCCCCCCCCCAACTTTGAAAATTAGTTCTGAGAGAGGGCACAGAATTATTTGAACAACCCAATATTTAAAAAATTAAAAAAACATTTTAAAATTTGGAAAATTCAGGAATAAAAAGTAAGAACCGATGACTGATTACCCCTTACCAACAAGGTTGGGGGTAGGTCGGCGGTCATCAAGTCCAGCCATGCCATGTACAAACAACTGCCAATGTTTTCCTGAGGTACGGGCAGAGTTACCACGATCAGCGAGGCATCGTATGAGTGTTTGATCAACAGCTGATGGGTGATCAGCTGTCTGTAGGTCTTTCTCTTGTGGGTATTCAGCTCTTGATCAGTGATTAGGCCGTCGTGAGGTGGTGGACTGGTGCTTTGTGGTACTGTTGGTGCATTTGAGTCCATTTTTTCTGGATATGGTAGGTTTTGATCCATGGTACTATGTATATTTGGGACGGTGGTACTGTGTATATTTGGTACAGTAGTACTGGGTAGGCTCTTTGGTACATTTTGTGGTCCAGATGGCACCGCTGAAGGGTGAAAAAACGATTCTGTACCAGTTTGATTCGACATGGTACCATAGTTGATGCTGTTCAAATTCTGGTCCAAGCTGGCCTTGTTCTTATCACTTTTGAATATTAGGCCTGTATCTTCGTCTGGTACCACAATGTTGATGTCTTTTCCTTCAATTGGTACCGTATTGTTATTGGGTTCATCTGGTACCAAATTTTTGTTGCCTTCAGCTGGTACGGTGTTACTTCCCTCTGCTTCAAATGGTCCTATTTTGAAGCTGGTACCAGTAGCTTGTCCTTCTGGTCCATTCCAAGCCTCTTCACCTTGTTTTAGACCAGCTGTACCACCTTTGCCGGCATTTATTCGAGCGTCAAGCACTTTGAAAGGCTTTTCTGTACCATTTACATTGCCTGCAGTACCATTTCCATCACCTGCAGTACCATTTCCATCAACTTTTGTCCCATCTGTTCCTGCTCTAGTACCATGCTTTGGCCCTCTAGTACTATTTCTGGCTTCAGTACCATATCCACCTATTCCAGTAGTAGTAGTACCATATGCTCCAGCACCACCAGTATTATCTGCTCCAGTAGTACCATACGCACCATATCCCGGCTTATTGATGCCAATACTTCCACCATGAATCTCAGCACCAACAACGTTAAATGGTGCTTTTTCCTTTTTGGAGCTTCTGGTACCATCACGATTGTACTTGGTACCCTCCGGCTTGTATTTCCATTTATTGACCAAAGCGTTGAACTTCCTCGTAATGTCAGGATGAAGCTTTTGATGAGCAATCTCGAGCACTTTCACTGAATTACATTCGATTCGGAACTTGGCCAGCAATGTCAACATACTCTTCTCGTCCACGGCGTTCGCGTTGCCACTCAGCGTGATTACACGGAGTTGTGCACCCTGGAAATGAAATTTTTAAAACTTAAAATTACATTTTGAATTTGAATAACCCTACGCGCCTATTATTGAAAAATAACTGGCGTGGTGATTTTTTACCCTGCCTTACTTAAAAACAGTTTTTATTCACCCTGCCTTTCCTCTGAATAGATTTTTAACCCCTCTTAACCTGAAGAAATGATTTTTAACCTCGCCCAGGTTCAAAATTTTTTTACCTTGTTCAAATTAAAAAATAAAACTTTTACCCCGCCCAATCTCAAGAATAAATTTTTGACCCGTTCCAATTTGAAAAAAAGTTTTAAACCATGCCCATCCTCAGAAAACAAAGTTTATCCTGTCAGTCCCCGAAACAAATTTTTTTACCCCGCCCAAATTGAAAAATAAAACATTTATTCCGTCCGATCTCAAAAACGTTTTAAACCATGCCCATCCTAAAAAAAGGTCACCCTGCCAATTTTCAAAAAAAAATTTTTTACCCCCGCCTGCCCTCAGAAACATTTTTTACAATGCCCAATATAAAATAAAATGTTACCCTCCATGCCCTCAAAATTTTTACCCCCCCCCCCCCCCCCCAAATAAAATTTTAACCCTTCCCTAACTATTTTTTTATCAACGCCACACCCAACCCTCCTCCACCCTCATAAATACCATTTTTACGTCGCCTTACCTTTTGTATCCTACCACACACCCTTTCCCTTCAGTGCCCTCACAAATCCCTCCTCTTTAACCCCACCTTACCTCCAAATAGCTCTTGGGTAACCTGAGTAGATGTGGCAATAACAATGTCAGTCCACCATCATCATACAGCCACCAAACATCGATTCTGGCGTTGGGTTTGGCCTTGTGGAAGGTGTTCATCTTGCTCGCCAATACCTTCTGCTTACTCTTATTCTCGTGGTAATGTTCCATGAAGGCTGGTATCTCGAAACTGTCACTGATTCTCCTCGTTGATCTTGACTGAAGGTCATCTATTGATAAGGATACTGGTATCTTTGAAGCGTTTGTGAATTGTGAGGTGGTGTTTACTGTACTGTCGGCTATCTTCTTGTTCAGGGCGAACATCCAACGGTCGGAGAAGAATTCTGAAGATAAACAGGTACTACAGACAAGAGTACGGTAACAAGTATTAATATGCGGAGGGGGGGGGGGAGAGCAAGAGAGGGGAGGAGAGTGGACGGTACAATAGTTAATGCTAGCTTAAACGGGGCTATATTACGGTAGAGGCTACGGTATATTAGAGGCTACGGAGTAGGGGGTAGAGGGTAAGAGGGTAAGAGGATAAGGAGTAGGGGTAAATGGTAAGGGGTAGGGTAGGTGGATAACTACAGCTTCTTCACTTACTTCTCTTCTCCTTTCCCTCGCTATGTTGCTCATGTTGTTGATGGCATTGTCCTTTCGTTGTGATCCCAGGTATGTTAATGTTATGTTTCCTATTGATATGTCTATGAACAACGTGAGTAGGTTCAAAAAGCTCCGAGACTTGGCCACTAGATTGAGTAAGGAGATCTTCATCAATGTGAACTCGACTTTCGATGGCTCTCCGCAGTTGTTGTGGGTTAACAATGTCATTGGCTAACAGAGCGTCGGAGAGATCAAAGCCGTCTTCGCAGTTGCGTAGGATTCCAACGCCATAATTGTTCTCGAAGGCGTCTCTAAAATACGATTTTAAAAGTTAAAAAATTAAAAAATTTCAAGTTTCAAAAAATTTTAAATTTTCAAAAATCACAAGGAAAGTACCCGACCTGCGCCGCTCTGATTGACTTCAAACTTTTTATATAGGAAGATCATGTAAATAGAAAATATTCAGAAAAGTTCTAAATCATGCTTTAAAGTCAATCTCATGAAAGTCGAGATCAAAAATTACGTTTTGAATTTCCCGCCAAATTGGCATTGTGTTTCAAGCTTATAACTTTGCCATTTTTTGACTTTTAGTAATTTTTTTAATATACTAGTAGAATACCTTTAAATAAACCTACATTTTTTAATTTATAAGCGTAGCTTGACTGGAAAGTCGAAAAAAGTGCTTGCAACACAATGCCAAATTGGCGAAAAATCAAAATAATTCAAATTTAAAACTCAAAAGCGCGAGCTAAGATTTTTTATGGGTACTATTGGTGGTACAAAGAATTCATACAAAAATTTTGAGCTGATGCTGAGCGGGGCAGGCAGGGTACTTGCTCTGTCATCTTTAAAAAAAATTTTTTTTCATTTTTCGTCCAGAGACCCTTATATGTAGGTATACCTACCTCAATATCCCCACATAATCATTGACCTCCTTAACATCCTTCTTTTCCAAATTTTTCCATTCTGATTTGAAGCCGATTAAGAGTACATTCGGCTTCAACTTGCCCAGTCCAGCTAGTTGAAAGACGTTTTGCATTCCAGTTCGAAGGTTTAAATTGGCCAAATTTAGATAAAATGCCTTTAGTCTAGACTCTTTTAGCCAACATTCAATCTCTCTGACCAATAACCGTAGGATTTCGAACACACGCTCTATTTGAGGGTACTGTAATGTAAAAAGTAAAAACTTTATTTTCACCTACCGGTACGATGTGAACACACATCAATAACGAGTCTCCTTTAGTGATGCCATGAGCAAAGTCGAGTAGTCCAACACGGCTGGCTGGATTACCGCTCATTAATAATATCTGAGGCCTATAGTTCTTGACATGAATCTCTGTGTAAGTCAACTTCTGAAGGCTGGTCAAGGCGTTTCGGTACATATGGGCTTGGTTTGTGTCACCCCAATTAACCTCTGAAAAAGAATGTCATCATTTTTGTATAATAGCAATAACTTTGTTTACAAAGCTTAAAATAGCAAGAACTTTCTTTAAAGATCTTAAAATGGCAAGAACTTTCTTTACAAAGCTTAAAATGGCAAGAACTTTCTTTCCACGCCTTAAAAATGCAAAAACTTTCTTTACAAAGCTTAAAATAGCATGAACTTTCTTTCCACGCCCAAAAAATGCAAGGACTTTATTTACAAGCCATAAATTGCAAGAACTTTCTTTCCAAAGCTTAAAAATGCAAAAAACTTTCTTTACAAAAAATAAAATCACGATAACTTTCCTTCCACCTCACTTACCTGGATGAAAATAGTGAAAGTAGCCCAAACAACAAGCAAATACGATGACAATCACAATACTTGACACAATCGACACAATAAACATGACCCCAATACATAAAATGGCACCGAACAGCGATACCCACATATTGTAGTAGGGGAACATTGGTCGCCAGCCGGGCGTCCGCGCAAACGATGCATCGAAACAGGCATAGTTCACCACAACATAGATAGCCATAAACATTGCGGTCACGATCTCATCGATCAGGTCCAGGTCGCCGATCAGTGTCAATAGGGCTGTGAGCGTGGCTAACATAACATAAGGTCGCTTGATGTCTGCAGCGAAGTACTTTGTGTACGGAAAGATACGATCCGTGCAGGCGGCGTGGAAAGTGATTGGACCTTGATCGAGGTTTGTCATTGTGGAAGAGATTGTCATTCCAAACATTCCTATCACGATTAGTGGCGGCCATGCTGAGGTCAGCTTTGCTACCTAAAATAAGGTTTTAATACCTAAAATAACAAAGCTATTGTCGTAATAAATACTGTAAAGAAAGTTTTTGCCATTTTAAATTCTGTAAGGAAAGTTCTTGCCATTTTAAGTTTTGTAAAAAAAGTTCTTGCAATTTAAGCTTTGTAAAGAACATCCTTGCCATTCTATGCCTTGTAAAAAAATTTCTTGCCATTTTATGTTCTGTAAAGAAAGTTATTGCCGTTTAATGTCTTGTAAAGAAAGTTTTTGCCATTTTATTTTTTTTAAAGAAAGTTCTTGCCATTTCATGCTTTTAAAAAAATTAGCGCAATAAAAACACCCTAACCGAAAGAATAACGCTTAACTTAAAATACCCTGCCCATATCCACAAACAACCACTCTTCAATCTGAAAGTTACACCTCCCAAAACAAAAGCAACTCCTACCCAAATACACCCTTTCCACCCCAAAAACGCATCTAAAGTCGAAAAAACACCCCTCCCAACCTCAAAAACTATTTACCTGATGATCATGATTCAGTCCAGAATCACAAGTAGTAATCGAGCAATTAGGTATCAACCAGTACCCCGTGCTGTTATCAATGACCGGCAAGTCCACTCCAGTCGAGTGTCTTAACACACTCGCTCCACACGCTATCACTGCCGCCACATACATCACGAACGTGCTCACAATGCACGAGAACAGTCCGGCTGGCACGTCACGACCTGGGTTGCGCAATTCGTCCACGTACATGCAAGCTGCCAACATACCAGTGAAGCCAGGGAAGAACACGGTAAACGTGGATATTATAGTAGACCAGCTGGTGTTCTCTTCGGGTAGTAAGTTCATTTCAAAGGTGATCCAACTGTAGCCCGTAACTCCACGACGTTGTTGTTCATCATCTGGAGGTAGGAAGGTGCCGATCAGCCAGTTGAAATAGGAAATGTAGTAGGTAGAGAAGAAGATCAAGGTAAACCCATTCTCGACCTTTGGGCCGGCAAAGGCTATCAACATCAAGACTATGCAGAGCACTGAAAATAGAAAAAAGTTTGTTTACAGAGTATAAAGTGAAACTTTCTTTACAGAAGTTAAAATAGCAAAAACTTTCTTTACAAAGCGTAAAATAGCAAGAACTTTCTTTACAAATTGTAAAATGTCAAAAACTTTCTTTACAGTTCACAAAATTGTCATATCTGTTCTACAGTAAGCCCAATCTTATCCCACAATACAGTATGAGCTACGCTACTGTAATATACAAAAAACTCTATCTTTCTTACAGTAGCCCTACCAAAAATGACAGTATTTTTAACTCGCCGCCCTACCCTGTCCTGTACCGATTTGCCCTGCCCTACCCTCACCCGCCCTACCATCCTTTAACTAATTTTACTATATGCCCTACCTTACAACAACTTTCTCTACAATACCCTACCTCTAAACAAACCATACCATAACTTATCACCCGCAGGCTGCGCAGCCAAAACATAATCTTTTTCAAAAAATTTCAAATTTTTTAAACTTTAAATAAAACATTTGTACTCACCGACAGAAAACAGTCGAATATCATTGTACTTGTCTCCGGTGACCAACTCGTATTGGTTGTCAATCATCAAGTCCACTATGAATTCGGAGTTACCCACAATATAAAGCGCTGCCATTCCAACATTGGCCAACGAGAAAATGACTCCAATCACTCCGCCGAACTGCGGTCCTAAAGCTCTAAATTAATAGGCCACTAATTTTTAAATTTTTAACTTTTTATTTTATACTATCTGTAAAGAAAGTTCTTGCCATTTTAAAACTTGTAAATAAAGTGTTTGCCATTCTAAGCTTTGTAAAAAAAGTTTTTGCCATTTTTAGCCTTGTAAAGAAGTTTCTTGCGATTTTTATTTACAAAATCTAAATTTACGCTCTGAGCCTGCGCGTGCCATTTTATACAACAAATCGTGTTTTTAATATGTAAAGAAAGTTCCCGCCCCCAGACAACGGAACGGGCCGTGCCTACCATCGGAGCCGGCCTTAGCCCAAATTTAGACCGGGTCGACCTACCTCACAGCCCCTGCCCGTTCCTCATGACTACCCCCCCCCCTCCCTATCCTAGCTAATTAAGCAAAGAAATAGCTCTCAAAAACCACCTACCTCGAGACCACATAGTAGACCCCACCCTTCCTCTGCTGACCATTCGAGCATATTCCGGCCAGTGATAGGGCGGTAATTGATATGACAAACGTTGAGAAGGTGACAATGCCCAGTCCGCCGACTATGCCCGCTTTGCCGGTGACCCAGCCCATACGAATGTAGAGCAAGGTGCCTACGATGTTGGTGAATGATGGTATGTAGACGCCTTCGAAGGCGCCCAGCTTCTTTTTCTGCTCCTTCTTCACGTTCTCCGACGGTTGAAAGGTCTCCAGATCACGCTCCGACCGGTAAGATTGGCAATTCGAGGAGGTTTCTTCATTTAGTCGTCGACCGACCGATGGCTTGGTATGCATTAACTGTAACATTGACGGTCGATTCTTGAGGGCTTGGACTGTCATTCGGTAGTGGTCGATGTGAGGTGGTCGATCCATAGTATTATTGTTGCCAATACTGAAAATGATTACATTATAGTGGGTTGTAAAGAAAGTTTTTGCTAATTTTTGGTTTGTAAAGAAAGTTCTTGCCATTTTATGGCCTGTAAAGAAAGTTCCTGCCATTTTAAGTTTTTTAAAGGAAGTTCTTGCCATTTTGTGTGATTTGTAAAAAAAATCTTTGCCATTTTTTAGTTCGGAAAGAAAGTTCTTGTCATTTTCAAAAAAATCATTTTAATTGTGCAGCCTGCGTGTGCAAGTTCATACGATGAATCATGTTTTTCATTATAAAGCTGTCGTTTTATGTTTTGTAAAGAAAGTTCTTGCCATTTTAAATTAAAAAGACATACCTATTTAATGTTGTTACAGTATCTCCATTCTCGTCTTCAACGTTTATTGAAAACTTGGGCTGAAAATTCAAAAAGTAACAACTTTAACCCACTATTACTACTGTAATTTTAGCCCCCCCCCCTTTAGTAGAATACGGTAGTTAGCTCTAGCCAAAGTCCGAGCCCAAAACCTAGTCTAAGCCCTACCCAGAGCCCTAGCCCAGAGTCCTAGCCTAAACCACAACACCCGTAACCTACCCTAGAATTACTAGTCTTGGTGTTGTAGTTACTATTGGTAGTGAGTTCATGTTCGACTTGATCCCTCTCTTCACCGTCCATCTCTTCGATCTCTTCCACTTCTTGTAGACTGTCTCTGTCCTGGCTCTCTAGACTCAGACTACCTTCGTCGACCGACTCTACTTTGAAATGACTGAGGGCTTTCGAACGTAACGTTGAGGTCATATCATTGTCCGATGAACTTTTGTCTGAAAATTTGAGGATTTTAGGTATAAAATAATATTTTTTGCTTGAACATCTTGATTTTAGGTATATAACAACATGTTTTTGTTTAAAAATCTTGATGTTAAGTGAATTTTAGGTATGAAATTAATGAATTTTCAAAAAATACAAACTTTTGATATTTTAGGTAACAACTGTTATCTGAACATCAAAAAGACTTCATTTTGTTATCTTAACATCAAAATTCCTTAGAATATTACCTAAACATCGGAAAGGCCTTCAGAATGTTACCTAAACATCAAAAAAGCTTAAGAATATTACCTAAACTTCAAAAAGAGCTACAGAATTTTATCTAAACCTCAAGTCTCATTCAGAATGGTACCTAAACATCAAAAAGCCCTTCAAAATGTTAACTAAACATCAAAAGAATTCAGAATGTTACCTAAACCTCAAGACTCATTCAGAATGTTGGCTAAACATCAAAAAGATCTTCAGAATGTTGTCTAAACATCACAGTTCCTCAAAATGTTACCTAAACACCACAAGTCTTCAGACTTTTACCTAAACCTCAAAAAGTCTTCTGAATGTTACCTAAAAATCAAAAACTTTCATTTTATAAACCCTCACCTGATCCAGAATCGAGAGCCTTCCCATTGTGGGAATTGTTATCCATTCGAACGGTCACAAAGGAATCTGAAAGCAGAATATTCAGATTTCGAAGAAAAAACAGATAAAGCGGTCATTTCCTTTCTTTCGAATAAGATTGTTCCGCGTTTACTCCGTAAGTCTACTGTAATATGAAAGAGAAAGGAGTTAAATCGAAAGAAAACATTAGTTTAGGTAACAAAAGCTCTGAAAAATCTTAATTCAACTAATTTCTTATGTTCTAGATAATAAATTAGATGTTTGATAAAATTTAGGTAACAAATCCAACTTTTTAAAATTTTAGGTAACAAATTAACAAAAAAAAGTAAAAAGTTTTAAGAACTGATATTTTAGGTAAAAAATAAGATTTTCAAAAAATGAATTTAGATAACAAATACGAGTTCTGTTCAATTTTAGGTAACAAATTACCAAAATTAAAAAAAAATTTTGAAAAACTGATATTTTAGGTAACAAATAATGTGTCAAATATATTTATCCCAAATTGTATTGTATTTTTTGAAACTAGTAAAGTTTTATAAGTAATTGAATTTGGAATTTTGAACTCGAAATGGAGGGTAAACCCCTTTTCGAACAAATGCTTTTACTGTATTTTAGGTAACAAATAGCAAAAATGTTTAAAAATTTATAAGAATTTGGATATTTTAGTAACAAAATTGATTTGCAAAATGAATTTAGGTAACAAATACGATTTCTTTTAGATTTTAGGTAACAAAAAAAACAAAAAAAAAACAAAAAAATTTCAAATATTTAAGATTTTAGCTACCAAAATCATAATTTCCAAAACAAGTGATTTTAGGTCTAGAATCTAAATTTTAGACCTAGAATTCGCCTTTTCTTATTAAAATTAAAAAAAAGTTTTTGCCGTTTACGAAATCATAAAAAAAACGTAAACAACAACAAATACGTGCTTACTTTTTGGGCGGTCAAACGAAAGACATACATTTATAAACGAATGTCCAGAAAAGTGGTCATCTTGAATTGTAAGACCACCACACATCTGTCTGAAATGGGAAATGACCAATAGTGGCTTTTCGTTCGTTGCAAAGTGTCCAAAAATTTTTCAAATGGTCTTTTTATTTTCTCTTTTTCTTTTCTCTATTTTTATATTTTATTTTAATTTTTGACACTTCGCAGCACGTTGAAACGTAACGAAAAGCCAGAAAATTGCATTTCCAACTTTTGTTTTACTTCAGACAGCCGTGTTGCCAAAAAATTTCCCCTACCAAAAAACAACCCCTGCCATCAAAACCACCCCTGCCATCAAAACCACCCCTAGCCACCAAACCCATCCCCGCCATTAAAACCACCCTCAACCATCAAATCCACCCCTTCACACAAAAATCAATACTGCCATTTTTAGTCGACCATAAACCTGTATTACCCAATAATAATATGAAAAGTTGAAATTTTTGGTACGACAAAAATGACAAAACAAATAAATAAAGGTCAAAAGTGGAAGACATTGCAAAAAGAACATTACAATGCCTGGTGATCATTGTAAAGTTTCAATTTATAATGAGCAAACTAGCTGAAATCGAGCCGTTTTCCAAGGAAAAACGTTTTTGAATTTCATAATTTAGTGGGAAATGGCAAGAACTTTCCTTACAAAACATAAAATGGCAAAGACTTTCTTCACAATCCATGAAATGGCAAGAACTTTCTTTACAAAACATAAAATAGTAAGAACTTTCTTTACAGATTATGAAATGGCAAAGACTTTCTTTACAATCCATGAAATGGCAAGAACTTTCTTTACAGATCATGAAACGACAAGAACTTTCTTTACAAATCATAAAATGGCAATTTTATTTAAAAAATACTTTTCATCGTATAACTTGTCACCCGCAGGTCGCACTGAATACATTTTTGATTTTTTGGAAAAATTGCAAAAATTTTCTTTACAAAACATGAAACGGTATGAAATTTCTTTACAGACCGAAAAATTGCTAAAACTCTTTACAAAACCTAAAATTGCAAAAACTTTCTTTACAAAACATAAAATGGCAAGAACTTTCTTTAGAAAACATAAACGCGCAGAAACTTTCTTTACGGAACATCAAATAGCAATTTTTAGTTAAAAAATTACTTTTTATCGTATGACTTGTCACCCGCAGGTCGAACATTCTAAATTTTTGTTTTCAATGAGAAAAATAGCAAGAACTTTCTTTACAAAACATAAAATGGCAAAAACTTTCTTTACAAGCCTCAAAATAGGAAGAACTTTCTTTACAGACCAAAAAATGGCAATAACTTTATATACAAAACATAAAGTGTCAATTATTTCAATTTTTTGAAATTTCAGAAAGAAACCTTCCATTTGTAACAAAAATACTTTTTCCCATTACCTTCAAAGGTGCTATTGCTTATTTGAACTATCGATACGATCCCCTCCTTCGCATGATTGTAATATTTCGTATGGTGACCAAAAACTACTGCCTATAACCTTTGAAATGGCAGTGTAAAATTTGAAAATATAAAGAAAATGAAAAATTTAGTGATAAGAAGCGGTAAAAAAGTCTTGTCGTTTATTTACGTTGAGTTTCAGGGGTAAAGACGACAAGACTTTTTTACATTTTGATATTGAATGGTTTGTAAATACATTACTATATAGGTATAGAGAAATGTGTGTTGTAACGTAAAAGCTTCTAATGTATCAAAAAATGTCGTCATAATGTCAAAAAATGTCATCATAATATCAAAAAACTAATAAAATGGCAAAAATACTTGATAGTAAAGGTCAAGTACATACAGATAATACCAAGTAGATCTAAAATAAATTAAAAAGTAATTGTAAGAAGGTTTATATTGTTGTTGAAGTAATAAAAAGGTAATCGCCGCTTTTTTCGAACAAAAAACTAATTTCACTTCCAGTAAATCATTGATAAGTTTGTTACGAAAACTGTTTTATCAATATTGTTGTACATGTTTGTCATGTTGTTTTAGAATAACATGATAAATAGTGAAAGAAGTGGTCGTTTCTTGAGTTGTAAAGAAAGTTTCATCCGTTTTTGGTTTGGAAATAAAGTTTTTGTTCTTTTACTTAACCTAGCCTAGCCCCAGCCTAGAGCCCTAGCCCAGAGCCCTAGCCCACAGCCCTAACCCAGAGCCCTAGCCCAGAGCCCTAGCTGAGAGCCCTAGCCCAGAGCCCTAGTCCAGAGCCCTAGCCCACAGCCCTAACCCAGAGCCCTAGCCCAGAGCCTTAGACCAGCACCTTAGCCCAGAGCTCTAACCCAGAGCCTTAGCTCAGAGTCCTATATAGTTTAGAGCCCTAGTCTAGAGGAAACATGGGTAACGGGCCGGTTTTGAGAAAAATTGAGATCGGACCGGGCCCAGTCCAAAGCGGTAGCTCATAGCACTAATCTAGAGCTTAAAAAAAAATTTAGCTCAAAGCTTTAGTCGAGAGCTATAACCCTAGACTAGAGCCCGAGCCCAGAGCCGTGAGCCTAGACTCAGCTCTAACCTTGGCCCAATGCTCAGGCCCGGCCCGTTTTCATTTTTGCCGCAGACCGGCTCGACCAGTATTTTTTACGTGCAAACGAACCGGACCTTCATTTTCAGGCCGGGCCCGACGTAAATTTAGCTGAAAGGCGGTCCGGCACGATCGTAAGGCCGGACCGCGATTACATGGCCCGTTTTTCACCCCAAGCCGTCTTATTACTACTACGTATATAAACAGATACGTATCATATGCCTTTACAGTAAAGTTTCAACTTTACAAAAATACTTTGAATTTCGATTCGAATGAAATTACAAAACGATTACTTTTGTAATCGATTTGAAATGACATCAAGAGTTAAAGTAACTGTAATATATAAATACAAACTGACTTATGACACTTTTTTATTATTATTTCTAAAAGTTCAAAAAATGAAAAAAAAATGAATTTTCGATATACTTTATGAACTGTATAGGTTGGTAATTTAGAAAAAAAAATAAATTAACAGAAATTTTCTTTACAGTTTATAAAATAAAAAAAAAATTTTAGCAAATCTTAACCGTAAAACAGTTTTCTTCACAGATCAAAAAATGACAAAAACTTTCTTTACAAGGTTTAAAATGGCAAGAACTTTCTTTACAGAACATAAAATGGTAAGAACTTTCTTTACAAAACATAAGATGGCAAGAACTATGTTTACAAAATTAAAACTAGCATTTACCGTATAACTTGTCGCCCGCAGACTGCGCAGTACCTAATTTGGCTTTTTTAAGTGTAAATGGCTAGAACTTTCTTTACAAAACTTAAAATGGCAATAAATTTCTTTACAAAACATAAAATGGCAATAACTTTCTTTATAAACCAAAAAAATGCAAGAACTTTCTTTACAAACCATAAAATGACAATTTTTAGTACCAGAACAACTAAAACAATATAAATAACTCATTTTTATGACTCTTGAAAACTAATAAAGTCCAATTACACTAATATAACATTCTTTGATTATCAGAAGACAAAAAAAAGTAAATTATCACTTCACACGAAATGACTATAGTTCCTTTACTCCGCTGTCTGATAAGGTATCTTATCAACAATGTTTATTATGTAACGTATACGATGTTCGGTATTTACAAAGCAATAACTGAAGCTTTGGAGCTGTATTACCTAGTTGTAGCTATTCTAACATTAGATAAGGTCTAGCTACTCCATCGTTATATGACAAAGCTTCGAGAAAAGTTTTGTCGTTTTTTACCATATAAACTAATTTAACTTAACGACAAGACTTTTTCGGGCCTTTATAAAAACAAATAGTAAAAGGTATTAACAGCCAACAGTAAATATAACACAAAAAAAAGTTTTGTCGTTTTTCATCATGCAAGTCAATGTAATTTGACAACAAGACTTTTTAAAGCTATTGATATTAACAAAGTCGTACTACAATTGACTTTTATTACATTGTTCATAATCCTGCGCCACAGCATCCCCAAAAATTTGCTTTAAAAAGAGCACAGAATTATTTGAACAACCTACTATAACATAATAGATGCATTAAACTCTAAATATTCTTCAAAATAACTTTTTGTAATGCCAAATAGACTGAGAATATAAAGCAAGACCAGCTATAGTCCTTAGCCACGCAGTTCTTTATTCAAATAATACAAAATGAACCCAAATCAAGAATATGTCAAGTGAAGTGTTGATGCTGATCGTTGTGACTTGACTTTACGATTCTAAGGCTGCGAATCTTCCGGTAAGTATTGGCATATACAGGCTCTGAAAATAAGATCAATATTCGTTTTTTATAAACAGTTATGCTCTGATAAGAGCTTTAATACTTTTATAAGAAAGACTATCTACTCTGATAATCTAGTACAATATAGGGCCTATTTTGACTAAAGATAGTAGAGTATGAAGGAGGTTTAGCCTAGCTTCGGCCTTAATAAAAGTCAAACTTAAACGACGACTTGACCCTACTCTAGCCTAAGCCCTAGCCTAAGCTCTAGCCTAAGCCCTAGCCTAAGCCGTAGTCTAAGCCATAGCCTAAGCCCTAGCCTAAACCCTAGCCCAGAGCCCTAGCCTAAGCCCTAGCCTGAGCTTTAGCTCCAGCTCAGGCCCTAGCACAAACTCTAGTTCAAGTTCCGGCTCTAGTTCTAGTTCTAACTCAAGCTCTAACTCAAGCTCTATCCCTACCTTATCCTTAGCTCTAAGGTGAGTAATATTTTTAGCCCTGCTACTAGCCTTGCCCCTGAGGACTACCCCACCTTACGCTAACCCAAAGTTAAAGTTTTAAAAAGCAAAAAAGCATCCTAAAATCGCCCCTACTTTGTCAAGATCTCCTCATTCCGTTTGATGACATGCCGCAGAAGTTGTGAGTCCACAATTCGATTTTTGACGTTCGGATCATTGATTGAAATGTGTCGTTCCAATGTGTAATTATTGTTCGAATCCTTCTTCAAGTAATCGCGAATCAGAAGCTTTTCCGGTGGCACCGTCAATGCCGAATCCGGTTTGATAAAAGGCAAAAGATATTGGGATTCGGAGCGGTCCGAGTCCAACGAATCTGGAGTTTCATCGAAGGTGGGGTCAAAATTGATTCGGTCTCGTGGGACTTGCTGTTTACTCTGAAAGATGGTGAAGATTAGGCTATAAACTTTATTAAACTGACAAAAATCATAGTTAAAAAGTAGTTTAACAGCATAAAAAGTCATTAAAAACCATCAGATCTAGGTATTACATTGCGATCGTAATGATTTTCAATTTTTTTTAAATTTTTGATCACTTAAAACAATATCGGAAGCCCTAGCTTTGTATCTCAAAAACTATCTTACCAATTTCTATCATTTAGGTATCAAATTAATTCTTATTTTATGCTATATCTAATAATATAAACCATTTTTGATTAAAAATAGTGTCTACAGCGCTATTTTGAAAAGAAAAACCTTATTGTAGACATCAAAGCCATGGATTTTTAAATTGATCGCGCAAGGCGCAAAAGTGACAAATCTTCAAAAACTCGTTCGCAAATTAATATTTAGATATTAAATTATATTTTTCAAAAAGAAAGTGAATCAAAAATGATGGTTTACCATCAGAAAAAAAGCGTCAGAGCCAACCACAAGGTTATTTTTCTTCTTGTTGCAAAATGCCACGATTTTCAAATTTATAGGCGGTTTTACCTATAACAAGGCTAATAACAAGATTTTTTATAACCATTAGTTGTCTTTGAATCTGTAAGGTATTTAAATTTCATCAACTTTACCTATTGCGGCGTTAAAAAGCCTTGTCGTTGATTTACACGGTTTTGTACGTAAAAAAACGACATGACTTTTTTTGGCTCTTTATAAAATAGCCTTTTGAAAACTTATGTTATTTATATCTTTTCATACCCAGAGTCTACCAACAAATTTAAGAAAAGGCAAAATATAAGCCTAAAACCACTTATTATAACCCTAAAAACCAAGCCTACCCCCTCCTTATCGACCAAGCTCTGCCACGTTTCTGGACCACTCTCTCGTACTGATGGTTCCCAAAACTTTTGATCCTCATTTTGTTTTACACCGTGTCGCTGATGCATTGTACGATGCTTGGGACATTGGTGCACCTTCTTCTCCTCGTCAAACATTTCAAAGCCCGGCGATTCCGAGGATTCTTCATATTTGGGCACTCGGCGGAACTTGTGATGCTTGCAGTGCTGGAAATGAAAAATTAGAAAAATATGATTGTAGCTAGTGTTAGGTGGGTAAGTTTGGTTTGGGGAGAAGGAAAAATAAGGAGTTTAAAAAATTTTTTTGAAAATTTTGAAAATGTCAACAGACCAAGTTCAAGTTTTTGAAAACGTAATCAACAGGGGAGGGGATCAACTTTATATTTCTGAAAAAAATGATCAACAGGGGGGACCAAGCTCAACTTTTTGAACAAATGATCCACAGGGGGGGCATATTCTTTGAAAAAATAATCATCAGGGGGGGGAACAAGATCAAGTTTTTAAAAAATGATTACCAGAAGGAGCAAAGTTCCAATTTTGAAAAAATAATCATCAGAGAAGACCAAATTCAAATTTTTGAAAAAATGATTAACAGGGGGGACCAAGTTCAAATTTTAGAAAAAATGATCCACAGGGGGAAACGGTTCAACTTTTTGAAAAAATTATTACCAGAAAGGACAAATTTTAAAAAAGTTATAACCAGTATAAAGGGCAGGAAAAAACTAGTACATAGCACAACTTACTATATGCTGATGCTTCTTTGACTCGTTTTGGTCTGACATTCTCCAACTGATGAGCGAATACGAAGTCGGCCGGCGACTAAGCTAACAAGGTTTTCACAATGAAAACTTTTCATCTTTCGACAGTAAAAAATGCAAATTTTTGTATGAAAATGAAAAAATTTGAAGTTCTAAAACTTTTTACTAAAAATGTGCTAATTTCAATTTTAGCATCAAAGTTGGCTAAATTGGTACTATATAGTATAGTACTAAAAATATAGTACTAAAAAACAACAAAGTGGTATAAGATGATTCAAAAGCAAACTGTAGTATCAAAAATTTAAAAAGTGAGCGTAAGTTAGTGCAATGGTCAATTATGGTACCAAAAATGTAAAAATTTTGTACATATTAGCTGATAAAATGTTCAAAGCATGATAATATAATAAAAAGAAAAGTCATTTTTTATCTTTGAGAAGTGGTAAAGCTAAGATTGGTTTTTAATAAGTCCCACAATACCCTTTAGAAAAGCTTATGAGCTCCACTTAGTAGTAGAGAAAAGTTTATGAGCTCCACCTTGTAGTTGAGCGTTCCAAAATTTCTCTTATCAGCCACTGAGAGTTCAGAGCCGAAACATGAGCTAACCTCAAACTTGGGTTAATAAACCGAAGATATTATCCTTGCTTCTGTTCTAAAGAGAAAGCTGTATGTCTTTTCGAGTGAGGTTGACCTTATTTTAGGAGTTATTCGAGCGATCTTCCGCTCTCTTATATTAAGCAAGAGCGTGCTTTTCTTCTTTTTTACTCTTTCCCTCTATCGTATGTTAACATATAATATTGAAAAGCAAAAAGCTATAAACGCAACCATTTAACTGTCTATAAACATACGGTAGAGATAAAGAGTGTAAAGAACCATCGGCGCGCTTTAAGATAAGAGAGCGGAAGATCGCTCGAACAAATCCTAAAATAAGGTCAAACCCACTCGAAAAGACATAGAGCTTTCTCTTTAGAGCAGAAGCAAGGATAATATCTTTGGTTTATTAACCCAAGTTTGAGGTTAGCTCATGTTTCGGCTCTGAACTCTCAGTGGCTGATAAGAGGAATTTTGGAACGCTTTACTACAAGGTGAAGCATATAAACTTTCCTCCACTACAAAGTGGAGCTCATAAGCTTTTCTAAAGACTTAACTACAAGGCCGGGCTTGTTAACAACCACTAGGGTAGAGTAGGGTAGGTAGAAAATGTAAAACAGAATTTTAGCACGTGGCAGGTGGAAAAAAAGGTGGAAACGCTGTTCGAGTGATTGGTTGAAGAGTTGAAAATGGCACTAAATACTGGTTGATAACAAACTCTTGGAATGAAGATTGGGGAGAGAGAGGCTTGTTTCGAATTTTGAAAGGAAAAGATCATTGTGGAATCGAAGCCTTTGCTGCTGGTGCCCTTCCAAAACTTTAGTATTAACAATAGGAGCCTAAACGGTTACAATGCATGAAGTTATAACAATAAATGAGGGCCGTGAGTGCGGTCCAATTCTTTTTGTTTTCGTTGTATAATAATAATAAATCTCGAAACGATTATAATATATTCTACATTATAATCTGTATAAAAATGTTGTTTTATAGTTATACAATAACTTTTGACTCTTTGTGTCAAGTTTGTCTCATCCCTTTGAGCAGGGCCGGGCGGGGACTTTTGGTCTGAGGGCAGGGGCCCAAAAAATCGGCACAAGTAGCTGTGCCGATTTTTTGCGAAATTTTTTTTCGAAAATCCACAGGGGGACCACGTTCAACTTTTTTCAAAATTTTTTTTCTGGGGGAGGGGGGGTACCCCCCCCCCGTCCCGCTCCCCCCCCCCTCGCGCCCCGCCCTGCCTTCGAGTATTTGAATTCCAACAAAAGGTCTCGACGGGAAATTGACGTTATGAACCACGCCGAGATACAGTAATGAAAGGTCAAAGTAATCAATATACATTGAAACCTCTTTATAAAGAACTCCTATATAACGAAACCTTTGTATAACGAACAACTTTTGAATTCCCGTCTAACACTACACAGTACATTTAAAAACTCTGTATAACGAAACCTCATAACGAACAAATTTTAATTTCTCTAGCGATTTGTTATATAATGAGGTTTTACTGTATATCCATAATAACATCGAAAATATACAACGAAGAAGGGACAATACAATATTGATATTCTGTCTTTAAAACTTAAAATGTTTGCACTTAAAATTTTGCGGTTTTAGGGTAAGGTAAAGTGAAAACGTATTATTAAATTTAGTTTTTGATTAGTTTGCAATGCCTATGTAATTAAAAAAACGCGTTAAAATGTAAATAAAGACAAAAATTTTAAAATGCTTCGTTTTAGCCTCTTTACAAAGTAATTTTTTGGAACGTTCTTACCATTTTTACATTTATTTTTATCCATGTACTTTAAAGTACCATGTTTACTACTATTCACCATAGTTGCCAAGGCTTTTTCTCAAGCCACTAAAGAAATATCAGCTGAAGCCGCAGCCTTAACAGGCCAAAAACTAGTAGACTACATCAACAGTCTTGGCACTACATGGACAGCCACATTTGAGAACCGGTTCCGATCAGTACCTCGAGAAAGATTCGTTTCATTTCTAGGTCAAATCGATGATCCGTCTATAGATCTATCAAATTTTGGCCAACCTTTGACATCACGTGCGCATATCAAACTGCCAGAACATTTTGATGCTAGAGAGAAGTGGCCAGAATGTAAATCAATTCGCACGATTACCGACCAGTCAAGTTGTGGGAATTGTTGGGCCGTTTCATCGGCCAGTGCTATAAGCGACAGGATTTGTATTGGCAGTCATGGAAAGAAGCAAGTCATCATATCGGCACAAGATTTAACGAGTTGTTGTCCATTTTGCGGGGCAGGGTAAGATGTTTATAAATAATAGCCTTAGCTCTAGCTTGCGCCCTAATCTTAGCCATATCCCTAGGTCTAGTTTAACCCTACCTCTAGCCGTAATTCTACCCTTTAGCCTTAATCTTAGCTTTAGCCTTAATCTTAGCTCTATTTTTAATTACTAATCGAGAAATGTTGTTTATAATACCTACTGCTTTTAAAGTTCTTTTTTATATCTATTTTTATATATATTCGTTTATTTGATATTACTTTCTATTTATTTTTTTTCACGTTCCGTCTTAATCAATTGTGGTACTTTGTCTTTCCCTGTTGCCTCAAGCATTCCTTTTATATTTTCTTTGTTTTTCGTCTCACGCTTCGGCGAGCGAGCATGTATAGAGACAGGGGCTAGTTTTTGAGAGAAAAGAGTTGTTTTTAGAAGGAGAATAGGACAGATTATTTAGAAATTTTAAGGATTTGGAATATTATTTACTGTATTTTTACTTTATTTTAGGTAAACTTTGATAATCGTTATTTTTCGGACTTTTGGTAATTTGAGTCTAGAATCGGTATCAACCGAACGATCACGGTTTACTGTGTTATCAACGTCTTCATCCTATATTGCACTATCAAAGTCTCCATTCTATATTGCGGTATTGAAACTGGGATCATCGGTTTGCCGACCTTTTTGAATGAAAGGCAGACAGACTGGCCAAGCTGAACTTCTAGTAGAAGCAATCTTGAACTCACATCCATCAAGGGCCATAGTTTTCGTTACTTTACTAACTGACATCAATTATAAGAACATAAATTATTGTCACAATAAGTGAAAATTATTTATGACTTTCTTATTTGACAACATTGTCGTGGTTCTGTAGGGTTTCTGTTCATCTTCTTTCTTCAGCTACCATCTACTCCATGTCAATTTTCTTTTGCATCTTATCTTCTCACCTTGTTCTAGGTCTGTCTACTGGTCCCTTCTCTTCAGAACATAATTATTACTATCTCGGCTCGCCTTAAACAAAGCCTTGTCGGGATTCTAGCTCGATCTCTAGTCTGGCTTTGTCCTCTTCTTACTGTGACGCTACTTCCGTTTCGGCCTAGCTGTTTTTTGGTCCTACACTATCTTATTCAAGCTCTACTCCTAGTTTAGCTTTGTCCTATTCTTATCGTAGTACAAACTTCACTATTTTAGGTGCTTTGGCGGAGATATGAGGACAGCCTTCCACTACTATGCACGCTATGGCATAGTATCTGGTGGTGCATACAATGACAACGAAACTTGTCGGCCTTATCCGTTCGCGCCATGTGATCACGATGTCACACCGGGAAAATATCCAGAATGTCCAGACACGTATTCTGAGACTCCAAAATGTGAAAGAAAATGTGTGAATGGGAGCAAAATAGAATATGAAAAAGATCGTCATTATGGTGTATATCCGTTTAGCGTTCATGGTGAAGATGCCATGATGAAAGAGATTTATGTAAATGGACCGGTCGCTTCTCGCTTCCTTGTCTTTGAAGACTATTTTTATTATAAAAGTGGTATTTATCAGGTTAGTGAAAAGTGAGTGTATTTATGGGCTCCAACTTGTAGTAGAGAAAAGCTTATGAGCCCCACCTTGTAGTAAAGCGTTCCAAAATTTCTCTTATCAGCCACTGAGAGTTCAGAGCCGAAACATGAGCTAACCTCAAAATTCGGTTATTAAACCGAAGATATTGCCCTTGCTTGTGCTCTAAAGAGAGAGCTGTATGTCTTTTCGATTGGGATTGACCTTATTTTAGGAGTTATTCTTACGGTCTTCCACTCTCTTATGTTAACCATGAACGCGCTGACCTCGTTTCTCTCTTTATCTTTATCGTATGTTTAGAGACAGTTAAATGTATTCGTTCATAGCTTTATGAGTTGCAATACTTCATGTTAACATGCGATAAAAACAAAGGGAGATGAAAATTAATAATGCTCTCATGGTTAATATCAGTGAGTGGAAGACTGCTTGAACGCTCTTAAAATACGGTGAAACCCACTTGTAAAGAGCAATAGATTTTACTTTAGAGCAGAAACAAGGGTAATATCTTTGGTTTAATAACTCGAGCTTGAGGTTAGCTTATGTTTTGGCTCTGAACTCTCAGTGGCTGATAAGAGAAGTTTTGGGACGCTCAACTGCAAGGTGGAGCTTATACACTTTTCTCTACTACAAGGTGGAGCTCTTAACCAAAGAATAACGTTGGGCTTTGTTTGCAACGCTGTGCACTTTTTTTAAATTTTAGCACGTCGGAGGTGGTGAACCAATAAGTGGACACGCTGTTCGAATCATTGGTTGGGGAGTCGAAAATGGCACCAAATACTGGTTGATAGCAAACTCTTGGAACGAAGATTGGGGAGAGAAAGGCTTGTTTCGAATGTTGAGGGGAACAAGTCATCTGAAAATCGAATTGTTTGCTGGTTGTGCTCTTCCAAAGCTTTAAGGCTTATTTTTTATGTATTCGGTAATAAGGTTAATAAATAAGTTTATTTTACAAAACTTAACCCTAACTTAATATATTACAGTACTCACTCTATATAAGAAAACTTTATAGAGTGAGTACTTTGAGCGACATTTTGAGTTTACTACAGGGGATGTTGTCTTTACAGAGTGATGTTTAGTGCAAATTGATTTGGGGGGGGGGTCAAGGTTCTTGTGTATTATAAGGAGAATGGCTTAAAGATGGCACTATATAGTGACACCACTGTATAACCTTACTATATTTTGACCTTATTCTACCTCTGACTTGTCCTAGCCGTTTCTTGGTTTTACTTTTAAAACAAAGTTTCTAGCCCTAGCTCTAGTCCTAACCATAGCTCTAGCTATAGCCCTGGCTCTAGCCCTATGTAATCAAAAATAGGATCATTTTTGATTTTTGTTAATTAAGTAAGGCGGGCTTGTGGCATAGCTAGGGTTGCTTATTAATGAGCCACACATTACAGTAGAGCGTTATGGAAAGCTTATGAGCTCCACCTTGTAGTAAAGTCTTTAGAAAGCTTATAAGCCCCACCTTGTAGTAGAGCGTTCCAAAATTTCTCTTATCAGCCACTGAGAGTTCAGAGCCGAAACATGAGCTAACCTCAAACTTGGGTTAATAAACCGAAAGATATTATCCTTGGTTCTGCTCTAAAGAGAAAGCTCTATTTCTTTTCGAGTGAGTTTGTCTTGTCTTTAGGTGCTGTTCGAGCGCTCTTCCACTCTCTTTTATATTACACTTGATCTCACTTTTGTTTCTTGTTGTATTTTAAAGCGCGCTGATGTCTCTTGTTCTCTATCTCTATCGTATGGTCAAACGAAATCTAATATTTCTTGTTAACATACGCCAAAGATAAAAACGAATAGAAAGAAATAAGGGCGAGGTCAAGCGTAATATAAGAGAGTGGAAGGTTGCTAGAACAGCTCCCGAAAATCAAGTAAACTCACTCTAAAAAGACATAGAGCTTTCTGATTAGAGCAGAAGCAAGGATAATATCTTCGGTTTATTAACCCAAGTTTGAGGTTAGCTCATGTTTCGGCTCTGAACTCTCAGTGGCTGATAAGAGAAATTTTGGAACGCTCTACTACAAGGTGGAGCTCATAAACTTTTAACATATTTTTATTGCTGACGCAGAGTTTGTAAATCAGGGCTAAAACAAGGAAGTTTCAAATCAAAATAATACCAGTTGTATATATTATTTTCATTATTAAAAATTATAAAACTATACACAGGAAAATTATTAATTTGTTGTTGAGGGCAAGTTCATGGCAATTTTTGTAGAAAGGTTTGACTTTCCGATCCACAATTCCAACAAAATCGATCTTCTCTACTGAAAAATTTTAAGTTAATTAAAACTAGCTCTAGCTAAGAACCCTAGCCCAGAGCCCTAGCCCAGAGCCCCAGACCAAAACCCTAGTCCTGGCTCAGATCCTTAGTCCAAGCGTAGTCCAATGGTCCTAGCCAAGATGCCTAGCTATATTGAGCCTAAATACCTTGCCTATACCCGTAGCTCAGAGATTAATCTTGGTTCAGACTTGTCCTGGTTCTGGTCCTGCTCTTGATCCTAATCGTAACCCTAGCCTAGAATTCTAGTCTTGCTCTAGTAAAAAATTTTGTCGTTTTTAACCCTCAAACCCTTTATAATTAGACGACAAAAAAAATTTTTTTTGTTTTTATATTACATAATATAAAAATCAGATTACCTCACAGTTTTTCCACATTCATAACAACTCTCTTTGATCCGATACCCACAAGCACTACAATATGTTATGTCCATGTAACACTGCTTCGTATGATGACATTTTGGGCATTTTACGGAAGGCATAAGGAGGAAAAGGAGCTTACTTCACGTCAACACAAATGTATATTGGAGAAAATGTGTTTTATATTGTTGTGTACATGTTACTTGATAAAGTAAATTGAGTTTTTCAAATTTTGAAATTGAGTTTTATATAAGGGTTTTAAAAAAGTTTTGTCGTTTTTGCCTGTGGAAGACAATGCAAATTGGCGACATGACTTTTTTTATCTTTTTGCCACTTTGCTATAATAATATATCGAAGTATTTTAGGTAATATTATAATGTAAAATACGATGATAACCACGTTAACAGTAAAAACTGGTTGTAACTAAAAAAAAATATAGGTAAACCTATTAAAAGATTAAAAAAGTGCTGTTCCTTTGGACTTTTAGCTCAATTTGTCGATCAAACTTGCACTTTAATCTCTTGTTTCAATTGTTGTCAACAAACAACACCTGCAGTCATTAGCCCTGTTTACGATAACAAATCTGGCTAGATTTAAAAAACAAAATGCCACATTTAAAAATATTGAAGTGTTAAGAGTGATCACTTGTTTTTTGGCTCTTATCTTAACCATTTAGTCAGTTTGGGGCTTAGACTGTCATTTGCTGCTAAAAACTTAGCCCTAATACTAGTCCTAGCTTTGAGCCCTAGATCAGAGCCCTAGTCCTCTGGCCTGATACCTAGCCTTAAACCTACTATAATATCAACTATCATTTTATCACTTTTCAATTTTTATCATTATCAAACCCTACAAAACAGAACGTTTTGCAGAATAAAGAGGAAATAAAGATCAAAACGGCAGACTTTGTAAACAAAAAAGGTCAAATTTTATTGTTTTTGAATTGTTTGAGGCTTATTTTCACTGCTTTTTATATAAATATTGTTCAAAAATTCTTGTTTTATTTATTTTTCGGCTTGAAATTGATCTTAAAAACAATATTTTTTAATTCTTTTGATACTAAAACAACGTTTTTGATGTTCTAGACATTTTAGATCCAATACCCTCCAGTTAAAGGCAACAATTTACAGGTGACGACCCGCGCCCGACGAGCTATTATCGTTGAAAACCGCGCGCGACCAAATTTTGTTTTCGGTTATTTTTTGGGCAATTTTCCTGATTTTTTGTGTTATTTTGCATTAAATATTGCATTTTATATGTTTATCGAGATTCTATTATAATTATCCTGTCTTATAAGCTCTACTTTTTCTTATTAAACTTATCTATTTTAGAATAACCATCAATCTACATCAATATGAGCTATTCCGTTCACAAATCTCTGGATGATGGTCTATATTTCCTCAATGGAAAGCGGCAGAATTTGGAGAAAACTCAATATTCTCGAGAATTTGATGTATTTGAACCAAGAACCGGAGAAGTTGTAGCGAAATGCCCAATTGCGCCGAAGGAGTTTGTTGATGAAGCGTGTGTGGATGCCAAGGAAGCGCAGACTGCGTGGGGTAAAATGGTGCCGATGGAACGGACCAAGATTTTGGTGAAAGTTGCAGACATTATCAGGGTATGTTCTTGTTGATTTTTGAAGTTTTTGGTAGTTTATTGACGGAATGACAACGAATTTGCGGGTAAAGGGTTATTATTCGGACTTTGTTGATGTTACTCAATTTTGCGTTTGAAAAATCGCTGAATAATTATTAATCCTATTGAAATCAACGTAAACGATACTGCAGAATCTTGTGAATTTAATTTTAATTGCCGTTTTTAAAAGCTTGATTAATATGTCGAAATTTGAGTTTTCTGGATATTAACCATGTTTTTCAGGCCAACGTTGAAGAGCTTGCTGTTTGGGAGTCAAAAACAAATGGCAAGTCGGTGAAAGAAGCTCGTGAGGATGTTTTATCAAGTGCTGATACCTTTATGTTCTATGGTGGTATTGCTCCAGCAGTTCTGAAAGGTAAACAACCGATATTAGTTTAGATACTCCTGGTTTTCTTTATTGGTTGTTTTTAGATTTATTGGCTGAATTTTGAGCTCTTGTTAATAGCTTTAGTTATGGAATGTTATTTATGTTTTTGTAGTAGTTATTTTAGAAAATAAGTGTTTAAATTTAATTTAAAACCGATTAAAAACAATATTATTATAGGTGATCACTTTGAGCTCCCAGATGATCGTTTCTGTTACACAAAATGTGAACCTTTTGGTGTAGTTGGCTGTATTGGAGCTTGGAATTATCCATTCCAGACTTGTGTGTGGAAAGTCGCTCCAGCTTTGGCCGCTGGCAATGCTGTTATTTATAAACCATCACCTTTCGCCCCCGGAAGCCCCGTAGCGTTGGGAGAGATTCTGAAGGCAGCTGGGGTTCCTGATGGCGTTTATAATGTGGTTCAGGTAATTTTTGATTTATTTAGGAGTAACTTTCGATCAGAATTTGAATATTTTAGAAATTTTTGATTTCTTAGGTAACAAATGCTGTATTAGAGTGTCATTTTTGAAATTTAGGTAACAGATGGAACAAAAAAATTTTAAAAAGTAATTTTAGTTTAAAAATGACTTTAAAATTTTAAAATTTCAGGGCGACGCAGAAACCGGCGAAGCGCTTTGCCAGAACCCAGAAGTTCGTCGTGTATCATTCACAGGATCAGTCGAAACTGGCAAAGCTATCCAAAGAAACTGTGCCAAAAACAATATCAAGCCAGTGACTTTGGAGTTGGGCGGTAAAAGCGCTTTCATCGTCTTTGAAGATGCCGACATTGACGAAGCCGTTGGAGCCGCGATTCTGGCCAATTTCCTGAATCAAGGCGAGGTTTGTACCAATGCCACGAGAGTTTTTGTTCAACATGATGTTGTGGGAAGGTTTTTGGAGAAGTTGACTCAGGAATGCGACAAGATTAAGGTTGGAGACCCGCTGGACGAGAAGAACAACGTTGGCGCCATTGTGAATAAACAGCACTTGAACAAGGTGTTGGGATTTGTGGAGGAGGCTGTTAAGGAGATGGGTTTTTGTTTTTAATGATAATTTTTGTTGTTTTAGGTATTGGAAAGGAAGTTTTTACGATTTTGTTTAAAAAAGTTGTTTTGCAGGCTGCGGGGGACAAGTTATACGATGAAAACGGTTTTTTAAAGTGAAACTGATATTTTTGGGTTTGTAAGGAAATTTTTTGCTATTTTATAATCTGTAAAGAAAGTTTTTGCCATTTTATGTGTTGTAAAGAAAGTTTTTGCCATTTTATGTGTGGTAAGGAAAGTTTTTGCCATTCTATGAGTTGTAACCAAAGTTCTTGTTATTTGATGTTTTTGTAAAAAAAGTTCTTGCTATTTCGTAATCAAAAAAACAAAAATTGAACTTATTTTAGGGCGCCCTCCTAGTTCGCGGCGGAAAGCGTCTCAACCCCTCAGGCGTCGAGAATGGCTTCTACTTTGATCCGGCCATCCTAACCGACCTCCATGATGATATGACAGTAGTGAAGCAAGAGATCTTCGGCCCAGTTCTCCTTCTCCTACCTTTCAAAACCGAGGAAGAAGTGATTGCCAGAGCCAACAACACCATGTACGGACTAGCAGCCGGCTTACACACGGGCTGTGTCAAACGTGCACATCGTGTAGCATCAGCGTTGGAAGCGGGTACTGTCTTTGTTAATACCTACAACGATACTCATGTTCATGTACCATTTGGTGGGTATAAAAACTCTGGGCATGGCAAAGAGAACTCGGTTGAATGCCTGAAGGAATACACTCAGATCAAGAGTGTCTATGTTCATGTGGGCAATGAGGTTCAACATAATTTGAACTAAAGGCTGTTGGGGTTTTAGCTATGTCTTTTTACTTCTTTTACTTACTTTTTTATGTCTTTTATTTTAGTAATGTTATGTAAGTTGGTATATATACTATAGTAAGGTTATTGTAATAGGTATATATACTATTTTGTGCAACACAACTTTTTACGCACTTTGTAGTAAGGTTACTATAGTGAATTAATGTTTACTGTATCAAGCTCATTGTATATTTGTATGTTTTTTTATTACTAGTACGTTTACTGTATCAGTAAGGTCATTGTAATAGGATTAGTAAGTTTATCTTATGTATTATTCATGATATGTATTATATTTTATATGCTTTTTCATTTTTGTAGCTTTTGTAACAATTTTTTGTAGCTTTGAGAATGATAAGAACTCCTTTATTACTATTTTTTTGATATTTACCTTGTGAATACGCTAATAAATATTATTAAGCATGATAAACTGGACTTTCTATTCTAAATACTGATTTAATGGTCACTTTTACTTATTGAAGACTGATCTTATAGTAGTTTTTATCCCTTTTTTTGTATTTTAGAATTGACTAGGGAAGAACCTAACATACTATGAGCGATAGAATTTGTATTGGCAACGAGAGAGACAAAACATCATATCGGCACAAGACCTGGTGAGTTGTTGCACATCATGCGGTAAAGGGTAAGGTATTTTTAAACTCTAGCTCCAGCTCTAGCCAGGCACCAAAATTAAGGTTGGAGATCCGTTGAACGAGAAGAACAATGTTGGTGCCATTGTGAATGAACAACACTTGAACAAGGTGTTGGGATTTAACGAGCAGGCTGTTAAGGAGGTAGATTTTTATTTTTAATAATATTTTTGTTGTTTTAGGTATTGAAAAGAAAGTTTTTGCGATTTTGTTGAAAAAATCTGGCTTTCAAGCTGCGAAGGACAAGTTATACGATGAAAAATGATTTTTTAGTAGTAAAACTGAGATTTTTTATTTTATAAAGAAAATTCTTGCCATTTTTAAGCTGTAAAGAAAGTTTTTGCGGCTTTGTTGAAAAAACTCGGCTTGCATGCTGTGACAATATTGACAAACTCTAGCCCTAGCTCTCGTCCTAGGCCCTAAAACTACTAAACCTGCCCTGGTCAGAATCAGCCCAAAATTTTTATATGAATTCTTTGTACCACCAATAATGCCCATGAAAAATTTTAGCTTGCGTTTTTGTGTTTTGAATTTGAAATATTTGGATTTCCCGCCAATTTGACAAATTTGGCATTGTGTTTCAAGCATTTTTTTTTACTTTTCAGCCAAGCTACACTTACAAATTTGAAAATGTAGGTTCAGTTAAAGGTTTTATACTAGTATATCAAAGAAAAATGACAAAAAGTCAAAAAATGGCGAAGCTATAAGTTTGAAACGCAACTTGGGGAGAAATTTGCAACTTACAATGAAAGTGCCCGACCTGCCCCGGTCTGATTGACTTCAAACTTTTTGTATAGAAAGATGTAAATAAAAGATCTTCAGCAAAGTACTAAATGCTTTCCAGTCAATCTCAAGAAAAATTACGGGTTGAATTTCCCGCCAAATTGGCATTGTGTTTCAAGCTTATAACTTTGCCATTTTTTGACTTTTAATAATGTTTCTTTGATACGCTAGTAGAATACCATTAAATGAAGCTACATTTTTAAATTTGAGTGTTTAGTTTGGCTAGAAAGTCGAAAAAAGTGCTTGAAACACAATGTCAAATTAGCGGAAAACCCAAATAATTTATATTTAGAACTCAAAAGCGCGAGCTAAAATTTTTTATGGATACTATTGGTGGTACAAGGAATACATATAAAAATTTTGAGCTGATTTTGAGCGGGGCGGGTGGGGTACTTTCCTTGTCAGTCTTATCCATATTTATGTCATTTTGTTTACTGTAAAGAAAGTTTTTGCATATGTCTATGTTTTGTTACTCCTCTCCCTATTATGTTATTTTTGGGGCAATTGGATAGAATGTGAAGTGGTTGAGGAGGGCTCGAACTTGTTCATTGCGTGGCCGTTCCTAATACTCACACTCTTCGAAAACCCTGCGGAAATTTAATTTCGAATCATTTGAAACAAAAGAAAACTTTCATCGAATGGATTTGGCTTGGCCTCAGGCGTTTTTCGCGGAAAAACAAAAATAATTTTTATTTTGAGTGAACGTTTCACGGCACGGTCATTGTGAACAGAACGTGCCTCTTGAAGTGTGAGCTGTGTTTTGGTTCGTGTGGAACGAAAGTTTCGGCATTTTTGAGGTTTTATGTTATTGTATTTGGATTTATGTCATTTTGTTCGCTGTAAAGGAAGTTCTTGCCATTTTGTGTTTTGTAAAGAAAGTTCTTGCTATTTTGCGTTCTGTAAAGAAAGTTCTTGTCATTTCATGTTTTGTAAAGAAAGTTCTTGCTAGTTTGTTCACTGTAAAGAACGTTTTTGCTATTTTACGTTTTGGAAAAAAAGTTCTTGACGTTTTTTGGTTTGTAAAGAAAGTTCTTGCCATTTTGTTTTCTGTAAAGACAGTTTTTGCCATTTTAAGCTCTGTAAAGAATTTTATTGCCATTTTAAGCTTTGTAAAGAAAGTTATTGCCATTTTATGCTTTGTAAAGAAAGTTATTGCTATTTTATAAAACTTTTTGGGCTTTGCAGTCTGTGGGTGACAATTTATACGATGGGTATTAAATTTTGTCGTTTTTTGGTGTGGAAAGAAAGTTATTGCCAGCTTAAGTTTTGTAAAGATCATGCATTGGGAAGAAAGTTTTTGCAATTTTACAAACTTTTTGGGTTTTGCTGTCTGTGGGTGACAAGTTATACGATAAATGAAATTTTTTTATTTTTTAAGTTTTGTCAAGAAAGTCCTTGTCATTTTATGGTTGGTAAAGAAAGTTTGTGCCATTTGAAGCTTTGTAAAGAAAGTTCTTGCTATTTTAAGAACAATTTTGATTTGGAACGTTGTGTTTCATAAAACGTTCTGTTCTCACGTTTCTTTTGTTCTGCGTCATACATTATTGCTTTTATAAATAACTAGATACTATTTATAATATTATTATAGGCATTTGGTTAGACACTTATAGCTCTCTTCAAGCCTCTTGTAGGGTAGGGTAAGGTAGGGGTGGGCACTGCTGAGAAAAACGCTATGGTAGGGAATGGTGCAATAGGGTAGGGTAGAGTGGGGTTGGATAGAATGGGGTAAGGTAGGGTAGGGTAGGGTAGGGTAGGGTAGGGTAGGTTAGGGCAGGGCAGGGTAGGGCAGGGCAGGGTAGGGTAGGGTAGGGTAGGGTAGTGTTTGTAGCGTATTAGACCTCAAAGTTCATTGTTCCTACCTTGTCATAACCAATATGTTATAGTAGCTAAAACGTCATTCAAGTTTCAACAAAGCCGAATAAACTTTGAAGCGGCTTATCATCGGCTTTCCTACGTCAAAATAAAATTTTGAAAAAGTTTTGGTTCATGGGTTAAGGAGCTTTGTTATTCGTAGTTATAAACGGTTTATATTTCTGCATATAGGTGCAGTATAATATAAGAAATGGCGTATTTTTACGGTTTTGTGTGGTTTTTATGTATCTTTTGTAAGGTTTGTGGACTCAATCTTAAATTTTAGAAAATTTTTAATTTTTAGGTTTTGTAAAGAAAATTTTTTCCATTTCGTGGTTTGGAAAGAAAGTTCTTGCCATTTCAAACTCTGTAAAAAATTTTTATGCTATTTTTTGCTTCGTAAAGAAAGTTCTTGCTATTTTGTGATTTGTAAAGAAAGGTCTTGCTATTTTTTGCTCTGTAAAGGTAGTTCTTGCCATTTTTGTTTGGGAAAAGAAGTTCTTTCCATGTTATGTCTTGTAAAGAAAGTTCTTGCCATTCTAAACTTTGTAAAGAAAGTTCTTGCCATTTGATGCTCTGTAAAGAAAGTTACTTCTATTTCTTCGAAATTTTATATTGAAATTGATCTTTTGCTTTTTGTTTTTGCTATTTCGAGGTCATATCGGATATAATTTTCGAATTAAAATCACCCAATCATGCAACATCCACACGTCTTTTTTTTAACTTCACGTATCTTTTTGTGTTTGACTTTTTAAAATATGTAAAGAAAGTTTTTGCCATTTTTTGATTTGTAAAGAAAGTTCTTGCCATTTGGAAGTTATTTTTTTGTAATTTTGAACAAAAAACCAAGTTGTGCAGGCAGCGGGTGACAATTTATACGATGAACCTTCTTTTTTGAGTTTGTAAAGAAAATTTTTTCCAGTTTAGGTTTTGTAAACAAAATTTTTGCCATTTTATAATCTGTAAAGAAAGTTCTTGCCATTTTGATATTTAGTTTTTGAATTTTGGACAAAACGGTTATTTTTGCGGACTGCAGGTGACAAGTTATACGCTGAATATCTTTTTTTTGTTTTTATTAGGAGTTCTTGCCGTTTTATGTTTTGTAAAGAAAGTCCTTGTTATTTTACGTTTTGTAAAGAAAGTCTTTGTCATTGTATCTTTTGTAAAGAAAGTTCTTGTCATTTTATTTATTGTAAAGAAAGTTTTCGCCATTTCAGCGTCAAAAAAATAGTTGTTTAATAACTTTAGCCATTTGATATGTCTACGATAACATAGCCAATTCAAAAAACTTTTTTTTGTAATTTGACCTCATTTCGAATATTTTTCCGAATTCAAATAATATTTTCGAACGCTTTTTAATTCCACTGATTTGCATGGAATTTGCATTCAAATTTTGTTTTGTGATTCGAAGCGCCTGTGGCTATTTGGGTAGGATTTATTTTGGCGGGTGTTTTTGGGACAGTGTTTTTGGGTTTTTTGCAGGAACTTTCTTTACAAGACATAAATTGGCAAGAACTTTCTTTACAAGACATAAATTGGCAAGAACTTTCTTTACAAAACTGAAAATCGCAAGAACTTTCTTTACAAACCATAAAATGGCAAGGACTTTCTTTACAAAACATAAAATGGGGAGAACTTTGTTTACAAAACCTGAAATGGCAAAAATTTCTTTACAACTATTAAAATGGCAAGAATTTTA